TTCTCGTTCTTCCTTTGCTGTCTCTCAATCTCCATCTGCTGTTGATATTGCTTCTCCCTCATAGCCGTTCGTTGTTGCGGGCTGATATATTGTCGTTGGATATCCTCGAGGATACGTGGATCCTCATCTAATAGACGGTTAAAGTAGGGGGAATGATGACGCATCTCTTCGACTTCCTCATCCGTCCATGTATGAAAGGTGTCACGATCCAGAACTTCCACCAGCCTAGGAGCCACCTTGTCCCTGGTCTTAGGGATATGGACACCATTGAAGAGGAGGTGATCGCGGAGCAGGCTGAGTGCCCTTGATCCTGCCGCGTGGAAGAATTCTTCGTCCCATCCATCGAAGTCGCGTTGGAAGGCGGCGAATAATTCGCGACCAAAGATTTGTTCTTGTAACCACGTAGCGATGGAGTAAGCAATGTGTGTACATACCTTCCTATTATCGCGCTCGCTAAAAAGGATCTCATCGTTGCTTCCCCATACCGTTAGGTCGATAAGTCGGCCAAAGCCGTACGGGATGGGCAGATCCTGTGACGTCTGCGATTCCGTCATGGTGTAGCGTAGTTAAGGGAGGAGGATTAGTGAAGTGAGTAGTCGCAGAGATAGCAAGTAGGAGCCTGCGGCCTTGCCACAGCGTGGATATCGCGTAAAAGTGTAGAAGGTAAGGAAGGTACAGTAGGTGTTTTTCGCGTACTTCCGCGAATCTTCGCGAATTTGTGGGTTGAAGGTGAAAAAAAAAAAGTATCGTGAGGAAATTCGTTGTGGGCAACGAAATTGACGAAGTTGACGAAGTTGAATTATCGTGATGAGCAACGGACTTCTCCAACGGCACTTGTCGTACGGAAGGGTATTCGGCTGCGAGGTCGATCGACGACAGCGTGATAGACGCCCTTATCAACGGCAACGTAGTTGCGGAAGAAAGGTTGACGATAATGCGGGTTGTGGAGGGCCGGCGATTTCGTGATTAGCACTGAAGGGATCCCGTGGTGAGGCGTCGCAACAGTCTCTTCTGTAATACCTTGCTGATCTGCAGTATATCGCAGTAGTGGTTACTGTGAGGTTAACCACTGATCAGTGTTGGATTCACAGGTGGAAAAGGAAAATACTCGAGTATCGTGGGTAGCAACGATCACCGACTGTAGTGGTGATATTGCTTGTTCTTGTTGTTCTTCTTTGGAAGTCTAACCAGGTGCCAGCGGCGGCAGGAAGTCTGGGGTATACCACCCTCGTGTGGCTGAGCCACACGGACCACCGTGGCTGGAACGGACCGCGGCAGCAACCTCCTGCTGCCTAATGTAGGCCTATTCCAACAATATCCTATATAATATTAACGAGTCGGTATAAGTGACTTAGGCCATTGAGGAGATAGCCTTTGATGTTATTATTACTAGACTCGGTCCCTAAGGTAACGCGAATACCAAAATTCTAATATTTTTGGATATAGTAGCGAGCCCACTGAGCTTTAACGGGAAGGTATGTCCTGTAAATATAACGTAATATTGGCCGCTGGTCGTCGAACTCCTTATGGAGACTAGCCCATGCTTTCTTATAAGTAACCTCGGTCTCCGCAAAGATAACGAGCTTCCATATTGCAAAGACTCCGAGATATATATGGGGGATTAAATCGTTAGTAGGCGTATGGATATACGTCTAGTCCTCGTCGCTTAATTCCGTTATGAGTGTTCTCGAGGGCTCATTGTCGTCTTCGTGGTCCGAGCTACTGCCGGCACCCTCTAGCCGTTTTCCCTTTACCCACTTCTGCTTAGCCCTAAGCATAACATTAGAGTTGATATAGTGGATGCAAAGTTATTACTGTACGTCGGCGAACTCGTAAGCTAAGGCGGCCTTCATCTGCTTATTATAGTCGGTAATGATGACATTTAGTAAGCGAATCGAATGCTAGTTAACTAGTTGACGGATGCCTTCTACGAGGAACTAGAACCCTTCCAATCTCTCGTTATTAATAAGGCCAAATGCTACGTTGAAAATAGATCCAGTACATGTCTGGCCAGTGGCTTGAAACAGCGGAAGCTTGAAGCGATTTGTGTTATATGTGTTGTCAAAGCTAATTACCTCCGGGAAGCGCCTCCATATTGAGAGACAAAATGGGAATGTCCATACTAAGCCAACAAGCGGGTTGGGCTCGTCATCAGCCCACTTAACAATATAGGGCACCTCTCGCTCGTCAAAGAGCTTTATCAGAGCGGCTGTTGGCGAGTGGCCGTCTAATTTCTCCCTATTTATAATGGCTCTAGCATTGTAGATATCCCGTTAAGTAAACACGGAATCTGGGAATTATTCCTGAACGATAGCACGAACGTCGCGGGCCCTAATACCAACCCGGCGGCTAGTGGCTTTAATAGTACTCTTAGTCAGTGGTGTAAGCCTCCGATACGAAGGATGTGCCGAGGAACTAAGGCTTAGCCCGTGGTTATGTTAGGCATGCTCGGCTTTAGCATGCCGTTGTAAAAGCCAAGCACCCTCTTCCTTCGTCTCAGTAATGATCATCCACTTATAGCCATATTTTCGCGATTTTCGTTAGCGTAACCCCGCACCCTTAGTAGGCCGCGGTTCACCAAAGCGGTCGTATTAAAACGTGTATCTTATCTTTTTACCTTTATATATATATCTATGTCGACGTGCAATGCCAAACCCGTTCTCTCTAGCAAATGCGTTAACTTGGTCGAATAGGGCATCGACTATGGGCTCTGGGTTGCCAGGAATCTATGGGTCTGGTATCGGGTCGGGTAGAGGCGAAGACGAGCGTTGACCTAGGGAGTAAGAACTTCGTAATAATGAAGTTAGCAAGTTTACTTAAGAATCGGTAGAAGGATACCTCGTATCGCGAGGAGGGGAATATAGTGGTAGGGGTGGTGACGTAGATATATCAGATAGGTGTAGTAAATAACCCCATCTCTATCGCCATCGTCGAACTCGTTCAAAAGAATCAAGCAGTTCTTTAGTTAGCTACCGGCCTTCCCCCACTACTTCCTTTACTAGGCATAATATAGATATGAAATCTTATATAGAGATAGCTTATATAGGTCGATGCTCTTCGTCTTATAAAGTGGATTCGTAGGTAAGATACGATGGGAGCAGGCCGTATTCCGGGCCAAGCATTGGCATAGTTACTCGATAAGTTTGAGCAGTATTCGTCGGAAATAACCGGTATAGAAATATTTTATGGTCATCCTATATCTCGATAGGTACCGCGTTATTCCCGCGCAAGCCATAGGGGCGAGTAATTTAATAGAACCGGTCTAGGTAGGAAGCAAAGATGTTCTCAAGAGCATTGTCGTCGCCAAGGCCATAGTGGTTACCAATGCTTATGTCCGAACTGCTAGCGGTAGGAGGTCGCGAGATAAAAGAATATCTATTGCGTCGCCGCTTTGGGTCGGGCTCGTTACTCGAGGTCGAGCTCCTAGCTCGACGTTGGGGGTTGCGCCTTGGTGGCGGTAGGGCGGACTCGGACATAGGAGGTATCATGATATAGCGATGGCGGCTTGACCGGATGGACGCGTCGCAATTGCGAATTCCGAAAATTCCTTTCCAGATACTTTGGGTAGAACCGGCAGAATCAGGATGAGTTAACAGCAGTTTTTGGGCTAATGATAGTGCGTAGCTGTTATGCCCGTGTAAGAGTCATGCCCGTGTATCAATTCTTCATGCCCGTGTATCAATTCCCTTTACGTAATAGGAGGACCAGTGTTACGGCCAGCTAGTCGTAGTGAGGTATGTTTGCAGAAGTTGAGGCTGCGGAACTGGTAATAGTATTCGTAGTCGGGGATAGCTTCAGGGAAGCTATGTCTGTAAGTCGTAAGGTAAGGGAAGGCTTCGGTGATCAATCGTAGTCTTATCAAAGAGGTTCTCAGGGAAGATAGCTGAAAGCGATCATAAGATCTGATACGAAGTTAATTGCTGAAGAAGCTATGGGAAGTCTGTCCTAGAGTCCGGCTCAAGTCCATCCTATATACAAGTCCTGATTCTGAACATGTCCTTTGTGCTGGACAGTGTCCTTGTTTGGATATGTTGGATAGCTCATATCCTGGTTATCCAAGGATCGCTTGGATAGCTCATATCCAACATATCCTTATCCTTATCTCTTATCTCTAATCATCACGTGACTTGTCCATAGTTCTTCCGTTCCGTGAGAGGGTGCCTAGTGTTCCTTGTCCTCTGCATACATGGTGCGCTGTAGCCGCCGCGAGCCTGCGGGGCAGGCCTTGTTCTTGGTCATGCATGTTGGGTCGTAACATATAGCTCTTTATATTAAGGGAGATTACTAGTACTTGTGGTATATCTAGAATCTATAGGTAATCGAGGTACTTTTACTCTATTGGTTAGCTTGATTAATATAGAAGCCCTTATTGGCTCTACCCCACCCTTGGCAAAAATGGAGCTATTCCGCACCCGATGGGATATAGCACCTATTTGGGTTAATACTGTTGAAGTGTGGAAGTGGAATTGGGCGGGTACGCTCGGACTAGAACGAGCAATCTGGACCCATAATAATCCGGGTGAGACCAACCAATGAAAATGCAGGAATCCAGGTGCCTCAGATGAGGGATATTCCTGGCTGCATCTGGAAAGGAGAACACACAACATAGAGAACAACATAGACAATAATATGATCACGATGATCCACGACAAATACAAGCCACTTTTACCACACTTCATATGCCCATTGCTGCGTGTCATAACTCGTGACATAGAGTGAGGTTCCCGAGGGAACAAAGCTCTACCTGCCCAGAATGCAAATAGCGTTTTCTTGTCTCCTTTTTTATTTTATTTTTTTATTTTTTTTGGTTCTCAGTAAGGATACAAATTTTCCTCTGCTTCACTCTGTCGCGCCCTTATTCTTTTCCTGACCAACATATCGCGTAATCGTACCGAAAACTCGAGATCACTCGACGATAGAATGATCCTCAACTCCTTCGTTGCTAGCCGAGCAAAGTCACCCGAATAACGCCGAGGTCGATTCGAACGCGACAAAACAAAATGGAGAGGAAGTGTAGTCTCGACAACCTGCCCACTGAGATCCTGCGTCATATCTTCGAATCCTTTGCCGCCGTTCCCGTCCGTGCCCGACGAAATATTGAAGTGCCGCAATTCAATCTCTCACGGGAGGGAAAGCAGGCACTGAGGAATGTCTCGCAAACCTGCCGAGTACTCCGGGAAGTCACACAGCCCCTGCTGTTCCGACACCTCTGCTTCTCCGTGCAGCAGCCTCCCGACCTCGAGCTGTACGCCATCCTCCACTGGTGGACAAGCCGCCCGGGACAACCGTTCATGGTGCAGTCTCTCTTCATTGATGCCAAAGAAAGAGAGTCCAGTCGGCCCCGGAACGAGGATGGGCCGGCGCTCAAGAAGTCAGATGGAATTCCTGAGAACTCTCGCGGAGCATTTTGGACTGCAGGTGACAGACGGTTGGCTGCAGCCCGGTATCCAGCGAACTCGTGTCTTGGCGATGATGGTTCTACTACAAGTTCGCCATATCCATACGTTGGAGCTCCGTATCAATATCAAACGGCTCTTGAAATTTCTCCCCAATGGTGACGTGGGATTTCCGACGCGCTACGATGCGCTTACGGACATTCGGCTTGGCAAGAACACATGGTTAACGTACGATACTAAGCGTGAAGAAGACCCGTACTCCGACGTCAGCGGCGCGAGACGTCTGCTGGAACCAGCACCGCGGCGCGAGACAGTCCATCTTGATTGGTTTGCTGGATGTAGCAATGATGAAGGGTTGTCTGCCGTGGATTGGTCCAGCGTGAGGAACCTGAGCTTGCAGCGCCTGGGAGCTCGCGGTGATGACGACGGTGGGTGGACGCTTCGTCGCATTGTGTCGGCTTGTCAAGACCTGCGAGAAGTGTCAATTGGCCTGACGGGCGGCGAGGACGACACAGAGATCGACGTGCTCTTACAAGCCATGACGGAGCACAGAAGGGCTTTGCGGGCAGTAGACTGGAGTCGGTTTGCCGGAGATCAGACGAACGATCTGGAGGAGATGGCGAGAAGATGCCAGAACCTCGAGGTGGTCAGCTTACCGGACATGCGGAGAAGCTTGTGGCTGATCGATGGTCTTCCCCCATCGCTACGTTGGCTGTATATTCCCGACCATGGGCAAACTGGATACAGCTCGATACCAGAGTGGCATGCCCAACTCTTCCATTTGGTAGCTTTGCTCAGAATGAGGGTGCTCGAACTGAGAAATCTCCCAAATTTCCAAGGGGTGGTCGTCTCAGCCTTCGATTGTGCACACGGATGGCGGTGTATGTCTGCGCTGCAAAGCGAGCTCAGCATGGGCCTATTGCAGAAAAGCCCCCTGCCCATAGGCGATTTTGACACGGATTGTGATCTAGCGAAAAATGTTCGACAGGAATCGTTCATGCTACTCAACGCCGGACTCCCCTGTAGCGTGGAATTCGATGATTTCCGTCGCAAGCTGGAGATTTGGCCAGGCACTTTGCCTGGCCGGAATGATCCAGGGCTGTGGGTGAAGCTCAATCCCACTGCTAGCTAGCCTAGGCCAGAATCTTGTCTCTGTTCCGCTTCTCACTAGACACGTCAACAAGCAAACAGAGCCCTATCTACTCTCCATCACAACAGATGGTGGACTTTGTTGATGAGCAAGGGAGAGGAGGGGGTCATGGTTCGAGTAGTTGAGAGGACCGGAAGCGCTGTGGGGGATATTGTATCTTGGAACATGACGAAAAGGTTCGATAGTGGTCTCTGCGGCGGTGCCACTACAGAAAGTGGCAGGCTACAAACACTGCTCCAGTTCATGTCGTCCTTGTAAAATCATGTGAGGCGGAACTGGGCGAGTCGGGGGCCACCTGAGTCGATCGAACCGTTTTGGCACCAAGGAAGAGCAAGGATCAGCTCGGTTTCTGATCACGCTAGGCACAGGGCCGGGACGGGCGGGAGACCGGGCTAGTGGCTGGGATGTTTGCTTGCGTTCTGGACCGTAGGCTGCTGAGACAGGGATGTTGGAACTTGAACGGCGTGGACGGGTATCACATCTCGACATCTGTTTGCTTCTTGGCGGTTGGTGACGACAAATGATGTGCTTGCATGGTATCTGCATCTTGAGCATTATCTTGGAAAGTCCATGCATGAGAACAAGGTGCCCGACCATATCCGTATGATCGTAGGTTCGAATGATGGGATACATGTATGATGTTAGCAGTCGCCAACCAGCCATCGAAGGCGGACATTTTTGTTGGCGGTCCAATCTATTGGGACCAGGGATTCAAGGAGATTCGTCACATCTCGGGAAAGACTATTGGCGGTTGGCGGTTCTGGGCGGCGGGGTCGAATTCTGTTGCTTTCGCCTGCTTGGGATGCATGGCAATCTGGACTTCCAGATCTGGATGAATACATACTGTGGGCTTGACTCGGGTAAAGACTCGACTGTCATCGCGAAATGCTGCAATAGTAGCAGAGAGAGGGGGGGGATTGACCATATGCCGGCGACGTTGGAACGGGCACAGTCAGTGGTTACAGGTTGCATTGAGGTTTCCGTTCTCAGGGGAATGTGGTGCATTGCAGAACTCAGGTACCAGCCGTTGAGTGAACAAAGGATTTGGTGCAGCAGAGAAAACAACTGTTCATCCAACGGAAACCAAGGGAAAGCTTGTTGTCAAAGAAGTATACCATATGGTTAAAGGGACGGATAGAGTGAGGTGCAGTTGCCAAACGTTCGTCAAGGGCAGGTCCAGTGGTTCTGGACGGAATGCGGCGGAAGCTAGGGCCGGAAAGCTTCATCAGGCAAGACCCAACTGCCAACCAACCAAAAGTCAATGGGAAAGAACCTGGAAGGTGCGGGCGACGGGGCGTGGTTGGCCCTGGCCGGTATGTACCGCGGTGTGACTAGCGCAAGGAGGGGCACACAAACGCGCATAGTGGGGAATAAGTCGACATTCCAGCCAACCAAAGCTATCTAATTACCGCCCGTAGTGGCCGGGGTCCGAACGGGAAAGTAACCCCACTGGAGCTTTCCCTCTCCCAAATCTGCGAATCACGTTGCAACGCCGGGGGGTCTCCCGCCTTTTTCGACCGTCCCCGCCGTCCCTCGTCGTCCTCCTTCGGCCTTTCTGTCAAAGTTGTCAACCACTTCTTTGCCCGTCACATCCTCTTCTCACTCTGCTATTCGACCGCCACCAAGAACTTCAACCGCCCCCAATATGCACCTGTCCACCATGTGTGCCGACCCATGCAGCTTCTGCAGGCCCTCGCCTTGCAGCTTCTTGGTCACCTTTGCCAGCTGTTGGTCAATTCCATCCCAATGTTTCCTTCGGCGGTCAACTCGATGACCTGGTCGCACTTCAGAATGCTCTCCCGTCATACCGACGTTGCTCCAATGACAGTTGGCCAAATATCAGTGGTACGCATTCCGGCCCTTCTCATGATCCCATTATCTCTTTGCATGACCGAACCAACAAAACCCAGTTCCAGAAGTCACTGAAGCACGATTGTGACCGTCAGCAACCGCATCTTCCGCGCTGTGGTATGCCGCAACTGCCGCTTACGTTTCTCGATTGACAATCTCCGGGTACACACACTCCTTCACAAAGGACGTGACCTCGACTGGAATCCGAGGTCGTTTCCTGTTTATACAGCTGCCTACGAACACCCTCGTTCAGGTGCCTGAACACCGACACAGACGACATCGACAAGAACTAGCGCTGCGGCGACGTTGGCAATCTGGACACCTTACCTCCCGCCGATCACACTCATGGCGCCCGGAACCAACGCATCCATCCCGCTTGCCATCCCTGGTCTTCATCTTCAATAGTCGTTGTCTGCCGAGCAAACGGCCATACCTTTGCCCAAGAGCTTGCAGCTTGCTCCTGCATCGCATCCACACCTCTAGCGCCCACGCACCGGCCTGCATTGTGTGACATCCGCCCGCGGGGAACGACCAGAATCGCGGCCAGCCAATATTAAAGTACGGTCAGCCGCTGGGCCTCGTGCCAATTCACACTCTGTCATCCGACCCAGAGAAGCCCTTCATCCCTCATCTGGCCTTTCATTGAACGACCCCATCGAGGCCGCAGCCCATCCGACCCCCTCCACATGGAAAATTCGCCGCCTTATCACATATCCTCTGCCTTTACACATGTCACCACGCTCGACTGAACCCGCTTCCCGACCGAATCTGTAGGCAACGTGACGAGACTGTCGGTAACTGAGGTGTGCTCATCACGCTGCCCACACCCCAGAATCAAACCACTGGGACCTCTCCGCCTCGGAGCGTCTCCGATCTCACCTCCATATATCCCCTGGTGGCGCCCCCAAACCGTGCTTTACCGCGCTCTCGTCTGTTTTCTTACCGGTCACTCGTTACTCCGCCAAAGCATAGCATCGCATTTCATCAAACCTACTCCTTTTGGCCCTGCTTCCAAGGCATCTGGGACACATTGCGCAACAATCCGATCTTCCTCAGCTGGCACAACAATCAACCGACCAGCGAGGCGCAGGTATCTTGTTATCTCGACGACTCTCAACCATTCGACTTTCTCAAACTGCACCGCATGTCGACATAACTGTCAACCTGCGTGCGCAGTCGCCTTATCGCGCAGCATAAATCGAGCTTCATCGCCTTGCAGCAATGGCTACTCGTTTACGTGACCTGGCAGATGCTGCCACCAAAACGGCAGCGCAACTAGCCAAGCGCATCGCCATCACCCCCAAACCCGACAGTCCGCCCGGCTTGATTGAGGCCTTGACAGTAGACCCGTGGGCCAAGTCTGGAAAATATGGAATGGGGTGGACTTACTTTGCGCTGGCCCTCATGGGAACAGTTCTGTTGATGCGATCTTGGCACTTTTGGCAGGACAAAATCCGCCAAGCTATCTACAAGCAGGAAGTGGAGGAATACTATGCCAACCTCTACAACACTGATCCTGACTATGCGCACGCCGTACATACCGGACAAGCACAGCATTTCTTTCCCGACTCTGAAGGGCTGGGCGAGAAGCAATTCAAACCTAGGGCTCACTTCTCCTCGGTTGGTTTCGTCAACGATACCTTGGCCCTCTTCCGCTGGGTCTTTTACCGGCCAATTCCCGACTTTGTTTGGGGTAGCCACCGATTCACATTCTCCTCGCTCGCCGCAGTTACCTGCGGTCTCATCGCCTTGGCTTTTGTGACGCTTTACTGCTTTCTCCAGCAACCGCTATACTGGCAGAGTATTCAATTCGGTTCGCCACCCGTTGCTATTCGAGCCGGAATGATCGCTGTCGCCCTGACACCTTGGATCATCGTCACCAGCATGAAGGCAAATGTGTTGTCCATTCTTATTGGCATTGGGCCGGAGCGTCTCAATGTCTTCCATAGGTGGGCAGGTTACCTCTGCCTGTTTCTGTCGCTCGTACACACCATTCCATTCTATATTCAACCGGTGTGGGATGACGGCGGCATGGATGTGTTCTCCCGTCTCTTCCCCGGCGGCAGCGGCGTCATCTACGGTACCGGTATAGCCTGTCTTGTGCCTCTCGTCTGGCTTTGCGTCGCATCTCTGCCCTTCATCCGCCGAATCGCATACGAGCTCTTTGTCATGCTGCATGTACCTGTTGGCATGGTGTATGTTGGGCTCTTGTTTTGGCACACCAAGAATTACCTTGCTTCTTGGGACTATCTCTGGGCAACAGTCGGGATCTGGGTACTCTGTTATGCCATTCGCCTCATCAATCTCAACTGGACAAGACCTTGGCGTTTGAGTTTCATGGTCGGTGACGAAGCGGCCATCAGCCTCCTCGCTGAGAACGCAATCAAGATTACAATTCCAACACAGATGAGGTGGAAGCCTGGCCAATATGTTTACCTCCGCATGCCAGGAGTCGCCTTCTTCGACAATCATCCTTTCACCATCTCATCGCTTTGCAGCGAGGATTTCCCCTCCGAGTACGGCGAGCAGTACCGTGATTGCGTGCTGGTTTTCAAGCCGTATGGTGGCTTCACGCGGAAGGTTCTCGACATGGCTATCGAAAAAGGGCCATTCCACACATATCGCGCCTTTTTGGACGGGCCCTACGGCGGCATGCGAAGAGATCTCGCAGCCTTCGACACCTGCATTCTGATTGCAGGTGGGAGCGGTATTACAGCATTGATGTCGCAATTACTCAACTTGATCAAGCGCATGCGTGATGGAAAAGCCATTACGCGGAAGGTGGTAGTGGTGTGGGCCCTCAAAAGACTTGAGGCCATGGACTGGTTCCGTGAAGAGCTCAGAATCTGTCGCGAGTCTGCCCCGCCAGAAAGTGTCACTTGCAAGTTCTTCGTCACTTCAGCAGTACGCAACCGGGCCATGATGATGGAAGGTCACGACCGTCCTGCACCAAGGGCCTTGAGTCACATGTTCCATGACAAGCTGGATGGCTTCGTGGCAGGAATCGCTTCCAAGCGCAATTCCGCTCTCATCCAGTCTGTTGCTCAAGGTGACCCTGACCGAGAGCAGGAACTACGCGCCGAGCAGGAGGATAGAATCACCGCCCTGCCGCAACAGAAATATTTACAGCCCCATCAATATCCGCCTCCACCCCCAGGACCACCGCCCTCCAATCGCTTCTCTGCCCAGGAAGAGTCATTACGCAAGCTCGAGGGCCGCGAATACGACGACGAGGAAGATAGAGATTCCAAAAAGCGCGAGTTCCATTTTCCTCCGATCAACACCAAAGGCGAAGTGCCGCACTTCAACTACGCTCCTGCTTCCCCAAGGAAGGTCCCCGATACCAGCCCGCGAAACTCAGATGTGCCAATACAACCTCCAGAGCTGGCTCACTTGAGAACTACCAACCTCCCGAGCGCAGGTCAAACCCGCCCCACCAGCACATTCGGCCCGCCTTCAGGCTTTGACTTTGGCTTCCCGGAGACGCCAACAGAGTTTCAAAAGAGTCTGATGCGGTTCGCCTTCCCCGTGCCCCATCAGATCGATGGTGGCTGGAGCGTCGAGTATGGCCGGCCGGACTTGGGATACATGTTGAAAGAATGGGCGACGGGTGGTGCTGATGGAAGAGGCATCCTCGGCAGGCGGACGGCGGTATTTGTATGTGGGCCTCCGGCCATGCGTGTTGGTGTAGCGAACACGGTCGCCCGGCTTCAGGCAGCGATATGGGGTGACGATATGCTCGAGGAGATTTACTTGCATACTGAGAATTACGCCCTCTGAACCAGGGGCCTGTATTTATAATGACTAGACGGAAAAGATACCACGGGTGATACATTCTACATCCATAATAACGAGCCTATTATTTCACTTCATAATCGCTATAGAATTTGCTCCTGATGCCAATTGTTGAACATGAACGCGCATGACGATTTGAAACCCAATATGGGTATGTTTGGTGCGATGAGGTCTGGGTCGTACAAACCCTCGAGGTTCCCGCCTTGGTCCTTGTTCTTGAACACAACCACAGCGGATGAGGGATCAGGATGACGGAAATAGACGTGGGCTGTTTGAGTAAGGAGTTTGACCTTGAGGTCGAGGGGGTAGTCCTCACGGTGCCGTTGTGAGTCAATATCACAGCATCTTGTACAAGGAGATTAGTTGTACTTTCGTACTTGTGACTCGCACGAAGTTCAATTTGGGGATTCCTCGATAGAATGGTACCTAGAGAACTTAACTCCATAAACCATGACGCCGGTATCACGGTAGTGGGAAGATATATCCCATGAACCGCTAGATGGCGTCACTATATCCGTCTCCAGTCTTTCTCTAATTTTGCTCTATTTCCCTTATATCCGCCTATGAATAATCTCGAAATAGACTAAACTTGGAGAAGGACTAGAGATGGATGTAGTGACGCCATCTAGCGGTTCATGGGTGTCAGAGCCCGCCCGGATAGGGGTTAGTTAGAGGTAGTAAGGGGCCCAAGCAACAAAGGAGCAGCTCAGATTTATATACAACGCAGGGAGTACACGTCGAGGGAGGAGTAGATTTCAGTAATTCATCATCTTACCTCTAACTGCAGTTGGCCTCTGAGAGCTTCCACCCTGTGTCAGCACCACTGCTTGACAATGGGATACTATCTCCATTGTAGGGTCAAGACTCAAGATCTAGCTTTCACAACGGCTAGAAAAGTGCATAGGGCTGGATTTGGGTGGCAAACCTTGCAAGGTCTAAGATGATTATTGTATTGACATCGTGACCTCTCTGGACTTTCAACTTTTCTTACAAAAAGGCTGCACTGCCTATCATTTGGCTTGACAACATTCAACCAACTTCCACATACATGTTCTTTATCTACCTCCATTCTCTCAAGCCCATATTCGTATCATCATCGACGGGACTTCAATAACGCAAAATGGCACCAAACAACTCTTCGTCATCTGCCAACCCAAAGGCAAATGAGCAGCCCGACTTCAACATGGTAAATGCAAACCGTTCATTCGGCACCGTGCAGCGCCAGATGCCGCCCAACGAAGCCAGAATTATTCTCGAGACCAAGGTCAACAATCACGCTCTACGGCAGGAGCAACTTCGCAAACAGAGAGCCAGGGCGTTCCTGGTAGCGGCCGTGGAGAGAGCGAGAGCCCGTTGCGATGAGCAGATGGCTCAGGTAGCGCAGAGAGACATCGAAGCTGAGATTCAACCCGATGAATTGTTCTACGGTATGATGGACTCGGGTCGTCTTGTCGGTACGCGGGCCGAGGAAGAGACTGCTGACAATCATTTGGACAGCGGCTTTACTGAGGCACAAGAGGAGGCTTTTGGAGATGAGGCGCAGTTACAACAGGAGGATGCAGGCGAAGGTCTAGAGGCTGGGGACGGTTCTGATCTGTCCGAGGGGGAGTGGGATGCGAACAGTCAGGCTTTGGCTGAGAGCTTTGCTTCACTTGATTCATATGAATTGAGCACCAACTTTCTCTGGGATATCCCCGAGGAAGGTCAGGAGTTTCGGGAGACGCGAGGGGATGAAGACGATTCCACTGCGTTTGATGAATGCCGTGACTTTGGTCTTCTTTCCGAGGAACATACCGCCAATGAATCTAATAACCACCTTGACGGGATCGAATCACGCCAGGAAGTCCAGGAGAGTCAGGAAGCCTGAGAGACTGTCACTGGAGACAATCCCACTCAACCCGATATGGATATGGAGGAATCCATCGAGCGCTTAAGCCTTCTCATGTCTGATAGTGAGGCATCACGCCGACGTCTTGTCGAATCGTTTACCTATTTTCTCTCGGGGGCCGCGCTTTTGGAATGATGGACTCCAAAGCCTTTAAAAAAGACGTTACGACGTTAGCTGTAGTTGAAGGGGTTCTCTGCCAGGAAGCGCCGTTATCAGAAAAGTCATCGAGAAGTGGTCCAGCAATACCACTTAGACCCTCGCATCGCGCATGGGGTCAATTTCGACAGTAAACGGCCCTTGGTCTACTTATCATATCCGGCGCGAGTAAGGTCCCTACATGTACCTTCGATGTCCTCTCCAGGAATCCGCTGAGAACAGAGATCGGTTAATAATCGACAAGTCAGCCACAAAGCCCCCAGAAAGGTTGACTGGGCTGAACACATGCAGGTTCCAGCTTCTTCCGCCAGGGTTGAGGGACGAAAAGATGTAGCTTCCTCGTCGCGCTTCAGCGACGAAGTTAGGAAATCTACGGCATCTTATAAGAAGTCGGGCTTGAACTTGCTGTGTTGCACAAACGGCGCATCTGCCTAGTAGTACTGCTGGTTAGCTACCTTATTTCAGCTAAGAATGAAAATAGTTTCTCAGAATTTTCGCCTGTAACTTGCTACCTTCCCTTTAGTTCTCCTACCTATTTGTATTAGAGTTTTACTATCCGGGAGGTATACCCATTTATATTGGATCTCAACCAATGAGACTGCTTAACTCGGCCGGGCCCACATCTCCGCCCGTACCGGACCTCTAGCGCCGGACCTCTGCTGCCAATTGCTTTGCTGCCAATCGCTCTGCCAATAGTAGCCTTACGTAATTACGAAAGTTGAGGTAATTGCGACTATGGAGGTAATTGCGACCGTGGGTAGGTGCGACCGTGTGGGTAATTATAGTAAGGTAAGGTAGGTAAGTGCGACTTCTATGTAAATACGCCAGTCTCATTGGTTGAGATCCATTATAAGTGGATATACCTCCCGGATAGCCAAAAAAGTACCTCCCGGATAGTAAAACTCTTGTGTTATCATCACTGATATTGTTACTATTACTACTGCTACTATTGTTGTTCATTCTATTTGCTACATATTCCTTGCAGTATACCCTTTAGAAAGCCTGCCATGCTGTTTACAATAATGATAATGGTGATAAGAAGGCAGCTTGTCGTGCGTTGACAGGCATACTGATTCCTATTATGTCACCCACTTGCTTGTCTGGCTCTTTGCTTATCTCTTTCGCCCACTCGAAACACCGCTATCGCAATTGCGGATGTTTAACTTCCGCACACTGGAGTTGGGGTTGACAAAGAGAACACCGGGAGTTCTTGGCACTGCGCCGGCCCTCTGGCCCCAGCGCCACCACATTCTTCATCCGACGATTGGTGATCAGAGCAAACCAGTAGTTCTGCAGCAAAATTCCAGCTTCCGGTAACCTTCGAGGGGCAGACCACATCCAGTGTGAATACCTACCTGGATCCCTTGCGCCCTTGCATTGACAACGTCATTTCTGCATCCCACGATGCTCTGTCAGCAAACCGGGCAAACTGGAGAAAACTGAGTGCTTTGATTCGCCTAACGAGTCACGACCCCGCGGAGATCTAATCAAGAGGCCGACAGCTGGAGCAAGTTAGCAAACGTCGATCAAAAGAAAAGGGTCCATGCATTTCCATATCCCCACGGCGCCTACCGTAGAAACTCGTCAAACTCGGATTTGCGCTAGCCCGTGCCCACCCTGCAAGCGCTGCTCAACGGCGCCCACTAAGCCCCTTGAGGGCCCTACTTTTGCTTAATAATAATGGATTATTCGACTGATCCATACCGCTTTAGGCAGGCGGTGAAGGAATTAATCCCTTTTTTTGCTCCTGCCCAACTTCCAATTACCACCCACTTCAACGATTAACCCCGCTGCCCACTGCGGCCCTCTGCGGCCCACCTACCTACCGCAGCCATTGGTCTGATCGATCGAAATGTTGGCTTACGCCAAAAATGGGTGGCGGCCACATTTGACCACTTTGGGCAGTATCACGATTCTGCCAAAACGCTTGCAGGGTGGGCACGGGCTAGCGCAAATCCGAGTTTGACGAGTTTCTACGGTATTACCTTACCGTGCTTACCTTAACCAGCAAACTAACCCCGCACATCTATCATGACAGGCAGGGAGGAGGAGTAAGAGGAGAAGCCCAGCTTCCTTGTTGCCGGCACTAACGCTAGCCGAAACTCTCAAACACGTATAAAAACGGCGATCGGACGTTCTGCACTGTAGATTCCCCTCATCTCAAATGGTTAAAGTCAGCCTATTCCAAACATCTCTACCTCGCTACGTCTTTTACACCTTCTTTCTACACTCTGATTACTGAACAGTATACTCATCATTAACTACACAAAATGGGTCTGAAGGGAAGCTGCATGTGCAAGGCGATCAAGTACGAGAGTGCTGGTAAGCTGACCTAGGCAATTGCGACAGTCTGTGAACGAAGCTGATAAGAAGCAGAGGACCCTCAAGTCACCGCGCTGTGCCACTGTACAGATTGCCAGAAGGTAAGGCACAACATTATAACTCTCATCGAGTTAATCGCTGATCAAACGCAGTGGAGTGGTTCGGCCTTCACCTCCAACGCCGTCGTTCCCCGAACATCCTTCAAAGTCACCCAAGGTACGACATCTTTCCCCCCAATTCTTCCCTGAACGTGCACTCAAACGTGAGAATCTAGGTGAGCCCAAGTTTTATGACATCACTGGCGACTCGGGCAAGAAAAATAGGCACTTCTTCTGCTCCAACTGCGGATCCAGCCTGTACACCGAGCTGGACTTGATGGCCGACGTCACGTGTATCAAGGCCGGTGGACTCGACGAGGGAAAGGCGAGCTTGGAGGGAAAGCCTGCTGTTGAGTTTTACTGCAAGGATCGGGTTTCGTACTTGGTCGACGTCAAGGGTGCTGACCAGAAGCCCGCCTTTAGTTGAGCGGTGAGAAACGTACATGTACATGTAGTTCAGGGGGCTGTTTGTTTGGCGGGCGTTGAAGTTGCATGAGAAATAGAGTAAATCAATTTGCATTATGCCCATTTAATTCTTTTCCTACGTGTAGTCCGTGCTACTGTCCCGAACTAGCTATGCAGTATATACTCCGTCCCATTTCTACGTCTCAGGTACAGCGTTCAAGCATCTTTCCCGTGTACAAAACAACTCAAACCGTGAGGCTTCGTTGCCATGGAACGTCCCAGGATCAAGACACCTGATCCAATTCTGAAGACTGTTGATCAAGCTTTGGTTGGATTTTGAAATTGTTGGTATCACAGGCGTGATACAACTCCTCATGAGGGTGTATCTTCGGCAACAATCACGTCGATGTCCGTGATAATTGCTGTTGTTCTTCTTCCTATTTACATTGTGGGCAGGGGCCGATCGAAGTAGGTGGGGACGGCCTGGGTGGTTGTCCCACCTTAACCGGCCGTGATGACTAAGCCGGTTGTCCCACTTCGCCCATGGCAGGCGCCAGCCAGCCCACGATACCTGCCCATTGCTCCTTATCAGTCTTGCCGTTCCGACAGTTATCTTCCATCGGCAATGAGAAATTCATAGACCTCCCCAATAGCTTCCACCGAGCCAACCCAGCTCATCGGAGGGAGGCTACATTCAATGTAGTCTAGCTCTCTTGGACCTCCCGGACGATCTATCTTTTCATTAGATCCGTTTTCACCCTCTGTTTAGATAAGTATGATGCTTACCGAGTTCCGGCTCCCTCCTGATTTAGATTCTTCGACTCCACCTCCTCGTCCCACTCGTAGTCGTCTCTTCCCTCCTTGCCAGCGCCGCGGAACAAGACCTTGACCTCAAGCCTCTTATCAAACCTCTTGTACGCCTTGGGAGCGTCGTCGAGGTCATACTCCGCCGTAGCAATAAAACCAGGTCTCGCCTGTCCGCTTTCAACCAATTTCACCAGCGCAGCGAATGTCGGCTGCCCCTGGACTGTGCCACTCTTCATAGTGAGAGCCTTGATCCAAAAGTCACTCATCGGCAAACTTAGGTTCTTCTTCATCCTCTCCGCGTTGGGTGCACCTGCGCTTTTCTCTTGAGCCCAGTAGACGCCCGGGATCCCGATCCCTCCGCCGACAGAGGTGACGGCGATGGCCTCACGCAGTATGTAGTCCTGCTGTGCCTTCAACTCGGTATTGACGCACTCCTGACCGCAGCAGTCGACGCTACGGTTCACACCGCCGGGCCGAAGGGCCAGGATCTGCTCCGAGGCCGAGGCGCCGCCCTTGGTGAAGTTGATGGGCACGGCGCCGATGTTGGCGACTTTGGCGAGGCGCTGCGGGACGTGGTCTACGACGTAGACGAGGCTCGCACCGCGGATGATGGCGCTGTAGGCGCAGAGCAGGCCGACGGGACCGCCGCCAAAGACAGCAACGGAGTCGCCTGGCTGGAAGCCCGACCAGCTTAGCCCTTCCCATGCGGTGGGGAAGATGTCGCCGAGGAAGAGCCACTCCTTGTCGGAAAGCTTCTTGGGGATCTTGATGAGGGAGCTGTCCGCGAAGGGTACGCGGACGTACTCGGCTAGGATAAGGTCAGGTTTCTCTACTGTTTTCCGAGTAATTAATTGCAGTGATTGATGACGGAAATTCACCTTGAAGACCTCCTAGATCGCCGAAGTCTTTGCCAAGACCAAATCCAGCGAGCTGAGGGAAGATCTGGTTGTTAGTGTCGATGACGCCGTCCTCAGGTAGACCAAAGACGACAACGCGATCACCGACTTGTAGATTGTCGACAGCGTCGCCTACTTCCTCGACGATTCCCATGGCCTCGTGGCCTACGGGGTAGGGTACCTCGGCGCTGGACATGATGCCATGGTAGACGTGTAAGTCGGTGCCGCAGATGGCGGATGTGGTGATGCGGACGATGGCGTCTTCGGGCTCCTTGAGATGTGGGACCGGAATGTCCGCTTTGACAGCCATCTCATAGGGTTTGCCTTCCCAGACCACGGCACGCATGGTCTTGGGGCGTGAGGTTTGATGATTAGTCATGTTTGTTGTTTTTGAGGAAGAGGAATTGAGGATGAGCTGAGAAAGATGGCTTTTGTGGCCATCGTTTCAGGTCTTCTCATTTCTATGCCTTCTTATACATCTTGAAGGTTACTTGATTGAGAGGCCAGGCGACTTTGTCAGATGCTAATTCCTTCATCAGCAAGGTGAGTGCCATTGAGACCAAACGGGACATATCTGATCCCTTTCTCGGCTCCCATCATCCCCAACTTGTCATTTTGGTGGCGGAAAATACCACCTGAGTACGTTTAGCCAATTGCCCATGCCTAAGTCTCCTCGTTTAGCAGGGTTGAATGTCTGGTATGCTCGATGTAGAAAGGCAACTGAGCCAAGAATCAATCTCGTGAGCCTGCTTTGGGTATGATTTATCCAACTCCCTTTAGTCAGACGCCTAGTGAGAGCTGAACGAAAGTTCCTTCTTGCTCAAAGCGACACGCAGCCTGTCCATGATATCACGTAGGGCTGACAGTGACGCGGTGTTACCCCCGCGGCTCTTGGTCCGATGGATCATGGTAAGCTGACAGCACCCCTCTCCATGCAAGGGCGCCTGGCAGCCATGCATGAACGACTGATGGCCTTTGCACCCGTTTATATTTTGTTGAAATCCCTATACGAGAGGGGCTCGTAGCTAACAGAGGGAATCCACGAGAGGCAAGTGGACCCATCTCAGTTATCCTTAGGGTATTAGGGAAAGATGGTGAATATACATGGTGACGGCCAGGTTTCTGGAAGAGTAGGTGTTCATTCAAAAGTACGCGCAGTAGCTGAGGTGCCTATGATACAGGTAGTAGTACATAAATGAAGTTAAGTGCATCTCTGTGGGCGATGAAGACTGAGTGCACGGCAATGGACCTGATCTCATTTACAAGCGCTTAGGCTCAGAACCGAACGCGGCCCTTCGTGAAAGCTAAGGCAAGCCAGCCAGCAATCAGGGCAAGACCACCAATTGGGGTGACGGGGCCGAGGAACTTGAGGTCGGGGTTGAGGATGAGTGCGTAGATGCTACCGCTGAAAATGGTCGCGCCCGCCGTGAAAAGACCGGCGGCAATGGGGTTAGATCGGGCGATGAGAATGGCAACAGAGTGGACGAGCTAACGGATTTCTCAAGGTAAGCTACTGATCAATGGTGTAGGTTCAGTGAGGCAATGCGAGAGCAACTCACCTGGTAGTGAGCGGCGGTGGACCAGCTAGCAATCTTTGCGGGATCAGAGATACGGTTCTTCAGGCCGTGGGCTCCGAAGGCCCCGAGGCCGACGGCGGTGGCGCCGAAGATTGCTCCGACTTTCCAAAAGGCCTGGCTGCTCATTGTCTCTTCTTCTTCGGCGGTAGTGTCGTAGTGGTTGTTTCGCGATGGCAAGAGCGACGTTGTCTCGTTTGCTTGAGCGCTGGACATTGGGGACGTGAGATGAGAGTGAAATGTGAGATGAATTGATGAGATTCGGTGGTTCACTTCTGAAAGTTACGTGATAGCGCGAAACGCCGAAAGAGCGACCCCTTGGCATTTGCTTAGATAATCATGGAGCTTGGATGGCCAGCTGGTCCCGACTGGCATCTGTTTCGCAGGTTTCTCTGGAACTTGGCGAGAAGCAGGAAAGAGAACTTGACCACCCGGACAAGAGAGAGAAAGGGATTTCTTCGCAGCCTATCGTTACTCCGTACACTGCAGAGGCTTTCACCAGCCGGCGCTTTCCGTTCGGACTAGGTATCGAACGCCGGGCCGGCACCTGTGGACTCGAAGGTCTGCCGTGCGGAGCTCCCGTCTGCAAGTTGAACTATCAACTCCACCAGGGCTCATCGCGCCTCGATTCCACCCACAGTAGGACAATTTCTCGCCCACGTCTTCAAAAATCTCATATGGTCTGGTGGTGCAGTTGGTTATCACGTCAGTCTAACATGCCGAGACGATCTCACGATCATCTCACCGTTCACTGAAGGTCTCCGGTTCAAGTCCGGACTAGATCATCCTACTGGGCGATTGGTTTAGTGGTATAATGACCGCTTAGCATGCGGTAGGTCCTGGGTTCGATTCCCAGATCGTCCATTCTTTTGTTGTAATTATGAAATGGGTTTCAATGTTGTGTTGCGACGCTGTTTTTGAGGCTGTCATGGCGTTATTTTGGTGGGTGTGGGTGGCCACTCTAATTGGGGACTAAAGCTCTCTGAACAGAAGAGTTTTTGACCTGCTAGTACACAGTAGAGATGCTCAGAAAGTGAATTTTGTGGGTCAGAGAGATGGGGAATGAATAGAATAATCTGCCAGCAATCAACTCGGGTTTGTGATGAGAAGTGGGCGGAAATAAGATCATGGACAGATGAGGACAATGAAAACCAACTTCTTGGATTGTTCTGGTACGCACCGACATTGTGGACATCTCGTACTTAGAAGGCCGCAATTGGTTCGGATTCGCACTACTTACTTTTGTCCAATCGCTCACTTTACAATACGTGCAGGGATAAATACGACGGACGCTAAGGCGGGCGATGAAGCTTCTTCGAGGCGTGTCACCCAGTGACGATCTAACAATTCCAAACTGTGGATGACGTAGCAAATGAAGGCATGTTCTCATTCTCATGAAGCGATGCCTGAATTCTCGAAGCAAACACACTTAGGCAGTTGCAACATCAGATTGTATGTACCAAATCGGCTCTTATCATCCCTCCATGAGGTGTCACTTTGAGTTTGGCCGATAATCAGATGAACCATCCATTCGACTCGGAGTCAATATGAGCATTACGAGGCCTCGCCGTCAACTCACGACATACGCGTATTTCGAATTCCTTACGGGTGACAACGCGTCCACGAGACGGTTTCTTCGAAATCCTACCAAAGCTATCCGTAGCACAACTGAGTATAAGATCTCTGACTACCTTCAACATTCTTTCTCAAAAATCCCCGTTCTGCAGTGATTCCATTCTTATCGAAACCATGCACTGTCACCTTTTCAACGAAGCTGGGTGAGCTGGAAATGTCTCCCTGGGTCGCACAGTGCGTGACCGAGGGATATGCTTGCTAGCGGGTCTTGGGACTGGACCGAGACTTTAAAGGAGTCTTTCTGCCCTTCCCGACCGTGTTCCCAGCGTCATTGATAGATTGATTTCCCTCTTGCTTTGTGAAGCCATTGGTTTTCTAGCATCTTTGCATGAGACCAACTGCTTTTGCTCCATATTCGCGCAAAATTTGGAAGCGAAAGCCCCTCGAAGACCATCGGCATCTTCATTCTCCAGCTACATCACTTTGCCCGACTGTTACCAGAAGCTCGTCGCAGAATGCGCCAGCGGACACCCCATCGGAAGTCAAGATTCGGGTGCAAGGAGTGTAAGCAACGTCATGTCAAGTGCGACAAGTCCCGGCCGGTATGCGTCAACTGCACGACTGCTCTTAGGAGATGCTCGTACCTCGACACCGAGGCAGCAATACCATCATCATCTACGTTCTCGTACCAATGTCCCAGCCCAGCAACATCAATAGCAAGCCCGGCGGTGCCCGTCACCCCAGAACACTCGACTGGTCGTAATAGCCATGCGCCGACAGAGCCATACGATTTCCGGCATATGGAATTGCTCTATCATTTCGAACATAACTTGGGCTACACCCAGGGGTTCGGCGATAATCTCACGCGGCAAAAGTACCAACAAATGTCGCTAAAACAAGGTTTGACGGTTAGTCAGGGTGGCCAGCGGAATATGCATATGTGAGTGAGCAGAAAAGAGCGTCTATTCGTACTAAAGAGTGGAAGGATTACCACAGGCTTATGGGCCTAATGCTACCTTAATATAATAAGTCTCTAGAGCTAGGACCAGGTGGAAATGACAGTCTGGCCTGTTTCAGTATGTTTAGACCATTGCGAATGGGTTATGCCTATGACTCGCATATAAGCATGCATGGATTCTGTCACTTTCCGGGTGCCATTTCTCATGGACGAGCTTCTAGCCATAGCTGCAGCGCACAAGAGCACATTACCAGGAGAGGATCAGGCATATTATAGGAGCGAAGCAACTCGACTGCAGACAAGGGGCCTTTCACAATTCACCGTGGCCAACGGCGAGATGTCTGATGAGGACTTCCTAACAGTATTTCTGTTCTCCACCTGGCTTGGCCAACACGTTCTCTTCGGCACTTTCTCGGTCCCTGCTGATTTTCCAGTAATTCTGGATAAGCTAGTCCACTGTATGGGTCTGCACCGAGGTGTCCGTACGATCGTAGGGGGCTCATGGGAAAGACTCCGAGCTCATTTCGACGCCCACCTAGGCGCGGGGAGCCGCTTCGTGCAGAACATGATCATCAGGCTAGACCGTTACGAAAGCGGCGATGAGTGTAAACATCTGTTGCACCTCTTTGACACGACCGACCTCAACGATGCGTCCAAAGCGGCGTGTCGGGAGGCTGTCGAGCACCTGCAGCTAATGTTCAACATCCACCGCAACACGGAGATACCCGCAGGCCGTAGATACAGCACGGTGCAGGAGTGGTCGATCCGGGTGTCGACCGAGTACGTCAGCCTGCTCGACCAGAGGCGGCCCGAGGCGCTGGTGGTGCTGGCGTATTGGGGCGTGTTGTTGCACAAGGCGAGAGTGTGCTGGGCTTTTGGGGACGCGGGACGAACTCTCGTGCGGTCTATTACGGCTCATCTTGGCTCGTATTGGGGCGAATTGTTGGCCTGGCCAAGGGAGATGACGGAAGCCCCTGTAATTTCAGTATCAAGTCCAACCTGAATATTCTCTATAGAACGTTTCCAAAGGCGGAAGTTTAGACAACATGCAAGAATCTGTGCCGCGGGGAATCTTTATGACCACCGCATTCCCCCTCAATTGCGACATGCTGTGTCCGAATTCGGATGCTGCCGACCCCACGGAACTTCACTTCCACATCCCCACCTACACCTCGACGACCCATGTCATCTTCTTCTTGGTTGATGACCTTGGAGAACCACTTTGACATTTACCGTGGAGTCTATTCGCGTGGCAGGAATCTTTCGGCTTCGGGACGATCTTAGAGGGTCCGGCTCATTCCCGAGCCTTCGATGAAGCACCCCAGAATCTCGTCCCGCTCAGGGGCACAGGCAACCCTGCCTTGTAGATTAAGTGGGAGGTGTGTGGGAGTTGCAGGATTGCTCAAGTCCGACTCTGCTGTGGCTCTTCACGCAACGCATCTTGGGGCACTTTGATATCCTTCAGGGGCGAGAGAGATCCTCAAGTACTCAACGTCACGGTATCGAGGCTGTCGCCCTTGGGCCTCGTCGATGAAAGGTCGGATGTAGTAGAGAATGATGACGCAGCTGACGCACATTTGATAGGACCCCGAGGTATCTGACGTTCATGAACAATATTTCCTTTATTTCGTTATATCAAGATTGTATCTCAGGAGGCCTCTGACAGGGTCCCATTTGCACCATATTGGCATGTGGGCGCGCCACGGTAGATGAGTGACCGATTTAACGCTAAACAAATATTACAGAGAGGCCCCCCCACGTGCTGGATAATGCATCAGTTATGATGACTTGGCTCGCGGGGAAAGATAAACTTTCATCTCCGTCTTGTGCCATGTGGTGAACATCTTTTGCCTCCCTAGCCAGCCTGCGCTGTCAGCGTGTAACTTCATGTCAAAGTTCCACACCAAACGGGCAATGATTGTCCGGATCTCAGCATAAGCCAGACTACAAAATTAGTCAGCCATAGTCAAGAGGAGAAGTGGAGGGAGTCTTGGCCTTACTTCTTTCCGATACAGTTCCTTGGCCCGAATGAGAAAGGCTGAGCCGCCAACTTCTGGTCCGACTCAAACTTCGGGTCCCCAAGCCACCTCTCGGGGTGAAACTTATCGTGCTTGCTGAAGTGAATTGGCGATCGGTTGACGGCTAGGTGGTGAACACCGACTGAGTACCCAGCAGGAACGAATTGTCCACAGACCATTCTTCCGCCGTCAGGAACCACGCGAGGAAACGTCCCAGGACCAGGAGGTCCCAAACGAAGAGCCTCTTCGATAGAAGCGTTCAGGTAGCTTAGTCCAGCTGTGCTCTGGATGGTTATATCGTCCTCGCTCTCAAAGGTGCTGCGGATTTCTGACGTGAGCTTGGCCAAAGTTTGCGGGTTCTCGCAGAGGAGGTAGGTGGCTGCGGTCAGACCTGTCGCCGTGGTCTCACTGCCAGCGACGATGAGGACCTGGGCCGCGGCGTAGATCTCCTCAGTTGACATGCCCTTCTCATCGCTTCCTTGTAGGATATAGTACACTGCAAATCTAGTCAGTGGCCCGCCTTGATTGAACTAGTGTTGGTTGAACCTACTGAAATCAGGACGATCAGTCTCTTGCTCGAGCCGGCGGTTCACGCGCTCAACGCCAAACTGAAACTGAGCAACTCTAGTCTTGATGAGGCGGCGGGGAATAAGAAGCAGAAGCATCTCCGAAAGTGGCGACGGGAACCGACGGGCGGCACGGAGGTAGGTGCCAGCCTGGAAGATATCAAAGACGGCATGCAGCCACCAGTGCCACTTAGCATCGCGAAGGCAGTAGAAGGGCTCGCCAAAGGCTAGATCACCAATTATGTCAAAAGTGGTAAAGTTGTACCACGAGTTCATGTCTACGACAGCCGCGGACTCAGTGCTCCCGCTCGATGCCAGCCCATGGAGCTTGTGGATGAGGAGCTTGACATAGCCGGTGATGACGGATTCTTGGGCCCTGAGGGCTTTGTCCGAGAAAGCAGGGTTTTGGAGACGGCGCATGCGCTTGTGGCCGGCGTCGTCGGCCGTGAGAATGTTCTCGACGCCGTTGACGTTCTTGTTCCACCACTGGGCATCTTTCTCAAAGTTGCCCGTGCCCTCCTTGTTGGGAAAACCTTCATAAGTATTACGTTAATGAACGAAATGCCAAGACGATGATGGTCACTTTGGACGTACCATAAATCGTTTGCCAAGCTTGGCCAGAAGTGTAAGACAGCTCACCCGGGGCGATACGGACCACTTCGCCGTACTTCTCGTGCCACTCCTTGACCTTCCAGTGGCTTACCCCACGAACATCAAAGAACAGGTAGTACGCCCTCGTCACGCCGGCAAACTTCGGACCGGGGTAACGGCTGAGTGGGTGCAGGAAAGCATTGTAAAAGCACTTTGCCACAACCCCCAAAAATGCCTGCAAAGTGCCCTGAATCAGTGGTCTGTCTCTGCTCGTCTCATGGCCACACCTACTGCGAGAGCCAAAAGCCCCAAAAGCGCCATTTTGACTGCTTTGGTCAGTTGTGGTTGTAAGACCCCGCTGGTCGTATTGCTTGCGAGGGGTCGCCGATAAAACAATTGGATCAGAGGAGTAACGTGGCAAGTCGAGTCTCTCAGGAGAGAGCACGGGGGTTCATACAAGGAGTAGATCGGAATGTGGAAAGGGCGGCATGGCGACCCCAAAGGGGTGCGATTGTTCGATGATATGACGCATAACGGTACTCGTCGAATCACTTTACGCCCGCATCACGAGTCAGATGGCAGGTCTCTATCAAGGAAACAAATCGTACGCGGCCAAATTGTGAAATTATCTTTTCCAATTAAGCAGTGCTGAAAGTTTCGTTCGATAGGTCCCACTGTTAACGTAAACCCACGGCCGAAGCATTGGGAATGGGAGCGGATGAGTCCGAGGGTGGTTGAGCTTGCTTCCCTTTTTGGCAGGCCGACGTCGATGCTCATCTTGGCTTCTGGGGTAATCGTGGAGTGTATCCTGACTCGTCGGTAGTCCTGGTTAATATATTATACTTTGACTGGGTGCCGGGCCCGGTTTATCGTGCCGATATGGATAGATACCAAAAAGCTTTGATTTGTGGAGTCTTTCTCAGCTAGAATGACAAGATTGCATTACTGCAATCCGAGCTGCAAGCTAACGGCAAGGCAATCGTCCAACAGTTGTGCCAAGCCATGTAGAAAAAAGATAGCGTATGGAGTAGACTATACTCGTCGTATAATCAATTGTGATTAGCTCCAAGTATGGATTATAACTAATATATACCTGTTTCGCAACATCTCTATAACTACGGCACCTGGAGCGGGCACTTTGGCTTATCTCACCCCCACTTCGACCGTTTGATAACCCAGCCAGCCGGCGACCATCGACCTTGCAAACTGTGTTGCCATCATGGATCGTCCAGGATCCCCTGATCGGGTCAAGCTATCACGAAACTTCACAGGCCTATGCCACACATTTACCTTGTCATCCCACGAGTCGATGACTTTGAACCCCTGCCTCAACCTCCGCATCGGATGAACCAATGAGCTAGGCAAGAGTCGTCACCTACGGATAGACCCCGACGGTGAATTCGAGGGGATAGCAAAGATCTGGGAGCTGAGTAGCCACTGCAGCGGCTGTTGTCGCGGGGTTTCTGTCGCGGCATGTGATATAACACCAGCTCGATCGTCCAGGGGTTCTGCTGAACCGCCTTCGCCTTCGATCTTTACCTTCTTGTTTGCCCCAGTCACCACGTCCTGCGCCGCTGCAAAGCGTTCAATATGGGTGAAATGATCATGTCCAATGACCCCTGGGACTTCCTGAACTCTGTCTTGAGGTTCAGGGACGATGACTCCCAGTTCTGGTGGGACAAGACGGGACGCATGTTCTCCAAGCTCCTAAAGTACGCCGGCTACAGCGCAGCAGACCAGTACCGCGAACTCAACTTTTACTCTCTCTTCGTCGCTCCTGAACTCGGCCCTTCACCAGACTGCCACGGCAATGTTAGAAGATGGAGAAGCCCCGGTACACCAGACTCTACTCCCATCGACTTCAGTTGGGAATGGGGTCGCGACAATCAAGCCGTTATTCGCTACTCCTTCGAGCCCATTGGACTCCATGCAGGCACAGAGCTAGACCCTCTCAACAGACACGCAACAAACGACTGGATCTTCAAGCTCCAACAACAAAAGCTGGTTCCCAATCTGGACCTGGAGTGGTACAACCACTTCACAAGACAAATCCTGCCCCATGGCACCCGGACAAAGACCGTAGACTGCTTCATCGAAGAGACAACACCCAAGGCAGGCACTGTGGTGGCCCTCGACATCGAGAAGAGCGGTCCCGTCATGAAGATCTACATCTACCCAGGACTTAAGGCCGAAGAGCTCGGCATCACGAACCTCGAGCTAGTGGAGCAGTCTATCCGCAGCCTCCCGACCGAACAATTCCAATCACTCGGCGCCGAGCCACTCTTAGACTTCCTTAGGGAAGGCACAAAGAAATACAACTTTGAGACGGGCATTCTCGCCATCGACTGCCTGGCGCCGAAAGATGCTCGCATCAAAGTCTACATCAGAGCAAAGCACACAACCTTTGAGTACATGATGGACTGCCTGACCCTCGGAGGCAAGCTCGACATGTCGGGTGAGGCAATTGACGACCTCAAGGACTTTTGGAAGACCTTCCTCGCGGACGCACCGGATGTGCTCGATGATGAAGCCCCTGGACGTGCATCACCGGGCTTCTACTACACCCTCGGTTGCGGCAAAGCAATCTCACCAAAGGTGTACATCTCCCCCAATTACTTCAGCAAGAATGATATAGATGTCCTCGCCCGCCTTCGCAGTTTCTTCTCTACTCGTCGGTCGGACTCAATGATGGACAACTACGAACAAGCCTTGAGCGATATCTTGTAAGTCCCCCTCAACCTACACATCGATTGCAGTTGCTAACGAGTCTCTCAGTGGACGCAAAACTCTGGAATCTCGTTGCGGTAGCCATTACTACGTTGGATGCGCCTTGGCCAAGGGCCAGTTGAGGGTGGTAACATATCTCAGCCCTCAGTCTTTTGACTGCGAGAAGGACATGATTCAGGCTCGGAGGCCATGACAATGAGTAATGAGATGGTTGTTGCATAAGGTAGTGGCTTAGTTCTTCTTTGTTGCTTGATATCCGGTATAGTTCATGATGTTGGTCACTTGCATTTGCTCCTTATTCTAAAACAACTATTGTGATGAATCTGCGTGTCGTAAAGTCTGGGCTTTCCGTCGGGACGAATATTTGGTCCGTGTTTAGAAGTGGTGTTGAATTTGGTTTTTTAAACTTGGCGTTATCTGCACCATGTCAGCGTACAACGTGGTATCACTTCTTGGCAAAACCCTGACAAACAGAAAACTGACTGGGCTCGTAAATTAACACACATGTGATGCAAGCGAAATGGTACTTTACGGGAACAGAGTTTGCTGTCAGCCTGTCACTGCGCGGATTTTTAACTATCAATTCTTGGAGAGGATCTACGTCATTACTCTTTTCCTCGCCCGGGTTTGTCTCTATGTTCTTCCCGTCGAGGAGCTTAGCTTTACCGCCGCCTTTTCTAACAAATCACACGCCCTCTTGGCACCGCCTTGTGCGTTGAGCTCGTTTCCAATTTTAGTCGCATTCTCCTTGTAGCTTGTCTCGTTGAGTACTTTGTGAACCGCCTCGCGAACCTGGTCCACTGAGGGAGTGTCGGTCTTCAGATCAATACCTGCACCAACCCAAGTTACCCGCGCAGCTGTGTCCTTCTTGTCTTCCGAAGTTCCGGCGCAGACAAGAGGAACGCCGTGTGAAAGGGCCTGCGTCACGCTACCGTATCCACCGTTCGTTACGAGAAGGCGGCAGCGTGGAAGGAGGAGGTCATAGGGAACCCAGTCCGCAATGCGAACGTTATCTTCGACCTTAACCTTGTCGCGAATCTCGTCGGCGAGTTTTGAAGGCACAACCAGCAAATGGCTCTTGTCGTTCTGAAGCGCTTTGATGGCGGGTATAATGAGTGAGGTTGGGTCCATGGCAAATGTGCCCTGCGTGATTCCAATGATGGACTTGGCGTCGAGAATGTCTTGCCACCATGTTGGCACACCAACACTTGCACCTGCAAGACGCGTAACCAGAGGTCCGACATACTGAGCTTGGGGAAGAATAGGCTCGGGGCCCTTTTGGAATTCCAGGGAAGGACACGAAGCCTGGATGTGCAGGAAAGGACTGTAAGAATATGTGTCCGTGACTTTGAGGGCAGGCAGTCCAAGTTTCTCTCTCTCCGGGTTGATTGTAGGCAGCACCAGTTGTGGTTGACTGATGAGCAGTCCCAAAGCAGATTGAGCAGCATGCTCGATGGGCTCGGGCCCTATATCTGGCAAATACAACGGAACAACCCCTAGAGTTGCATACTGAGGAATCTCGCCTAGCTCGTAGAGCGCTGCAACGCCTTGAGGCAGAGCGTCGTTGAGAACAAAGTCGGGCTTGAAGGTCTTGAGGACACGGCGGATATCAGTGACCTGCGCCGTGACACGCCCTCGAAACATGATCTCTGCCGTCTCAGCCATATCTTTGGGTTCGGCGCCCTCCAAATTGCCATCTACTTTTACGACTTCCTCTGCAGCGACGAAGGTTGCCCCTGATGCAAGGACTCGCTGTTCCTGCGGCGCTATTGTCGTCCAAGCGACTTCGTGGCCACGCTCAACTAGCTCCCTGGCGACGGCTTGCATTGGCAAAACATGGCCGGTGGCGGAGAAGCAATGTAACAGGAACTTTAGTGATTGACGGGTTGTCGTGGCCGTAGCCGTGTCTGTGACCATGGCCGCTCCGTCTGATGTTGAGAAGTGCATCGTGTTGATGGGGGCGGTGTAGTTGGACAGAGCTGTTGGGAGGATCTGCTGAACTGGGTGATTGGACGAACACCTGGCGTATTCAATTGGCACTGCAGAACGAAACAAAGACACATAACTATTGCATCTAGCAGGTATTATGAACCTATCGATTTCCCTTGAACTCTAAAGCATCTGATTCGCTCATCCGCACCGATTTGTCAATACCACCATAACTGAGTGATAAGATCACCTGCAATCGGCCCATGGCAAGGATAATTCTAGATAGCTATCTTGACATTATCTTTGCAGAGCGCTAATTGAAAAGTGCCATGCGGGTCGAGATACGACGTTACAAACTCAATTATTACCCCGGACATTGGGAACCCACACGCATGAGTCGGCGAGTATCACGAGTCATTGACGTGTTGACGGAGTTGATAACGAGCCGGGGGCAGTTGGGGTAGGTAACCCGGCAGTTGCGATGGAGTCTATCAGCGGAGGGACATTTGGAGGTTACGAGTAAAAGGGTCAGCGACACCGCGCCGCTTGCACCAACGTACCAACAAACTTTACTGCATCCTTCACAGATCTATCAAAATGTCCCGAGCTGTCGATGTACTTCTCGCTCCCGCGGAAGGCCGTTCAATGAAAGTTATTGGACTCGGTCCTAGCCGGTAAGAAATAGAAAAAAAGCGCAACTTCTAGGTTTAGAATCATGCGGCTCATCTATTTACTAGTACTGGAACTCTCGGATTATGGCAAGCATTGAAGACTTTGGGTTACACCCCCTTCCATATCTCAGAGCTCTTGCCGTATGGCTTCCAGCAAATGAGGGCACTTCAAGAGGCTATCATCGCCAATGACAGCGACAACCCATTTCAACGGGCCGAATTTGACAAGCTCTTCGCCGGTTACGACGTAAGTTGAAATGTTTTGTCAGCTAACCAAAAAAGACTTCATCTAATGTCGTTAGTGTATTGTCGAAAGCCCTTGCTATCTTTGTCCAAACATCATCAAAGAGTACTTGGAAGACCCAGATGTCAAGTTCATCTTGACAGAGCGTACACCAGAGTCTTGGGCTAAATCAATTGCGGGATCCCTCGGGGCCTACCATGCAAAGCTCGCGAAGCCGCCTTTGTCAATCGCTAGGTACTTTGACAGTTTCATCTGGGAGCTGACTGCGCTGTTCAAAGCCATGACGCACAGATGGTCTGGTGGACTGGAGCCCAGTGACCCTGGTTTCAATGAAGCGCTGTCCAAGAGCTATGTTGAGTAGTAAGTCATGGCCTTGAGCTCTCGAAATTACGACAAGCAAATTTTAACGGTTGCGATAGCCTAGAGAGCGTAAAAGCTCTTGTGCCTGCTGACAAGCTTCTGGTCTTGAATCTTGAAAAGGGATTCGGCTGGGAAGAGATCTGCATATTCTTGGGGAAAGACGTTCCGGAGGAACCATACCCGCTCATCAATGCCATGTCAGACTTCCATGTTGCCGCAGAGATGGTGGTATCTCCCGCAATCAAGAAGACGATGCGGATTCTCACGTCGTCAGCAGTTGCCATTGCTGGTGTCGGTATTTGGTATTGGCAAAGGAGGAGGTAGCGCTAGGGGTCTAAACCCGAAAAATCATTTGCAACAATTTTGTAGTCATAAATGCTTCAACAGATACCCTTAGCATGGGTGCTTGATGTCCCAGTTCAGAAACCCGCGCCCAGAGGATCCAAGGCCACTATCCAAGGGGAATCGTGACTGCAGCCAGTTCAAAGTTGTAGTGAACAAAATCATCATTTTCCTGCCTTGTCCAAATATCTACAACAGTCAAGATTTGTTCATGAGCCTATCCGGCCCTGAGGATCGTAGGCTGAAACTTCAACTTCGAGACGCATACCAGGCTGGCCAAGCTTTGAGGCTCCAATACCTGTAAGAATCGGCGCATGGTTCGGAGCCCATTTTTTCATGTTCTCTACCATTTGGCCAAGGCCATCCTCACTCCAGGCCTCGTCGAGGGCATACAAGCGGATGCGGAAAACTTGGGACCATCCTTGGCCGCCGGCTTCCTCCAGGGCGATATTGACGTTTGCAAATGCGTGGTCGATTTCCTGCATGAGGTCACTGGGACCCACTCCAGTTTCTGGGTCCCAGCCTCCTTGAGTTTGAGATTAGAGTCAGCGAGAGTTTAGACAACTAAAGTAATCATCTTAAACTTTTACTTACCCTGGCCGGATATTTCAATGTTGTCTCCAACCCGGACTGCTTGGCTGTAGTGCATCTCCCGTAACAACTTCTCGCCGTACTCTTTGTACGAGAAATATTTGAGACCCGACATCTTGATTTTAGCGGAGTATTTAAGTAGTTGCGGCAATAGGAGGAAGCTGATGTGGTCCGTGGAGGAAAACAGAATCAGATAGGTAAGGTGGTACTTAGTAGAAAGATTGATTTATCGTTGTAACAACTCGCCTTTCAGGATAACTTGAAGAAACTGCCTAATGCTGCATGATGTATCTTAGTCTCTTTGATACTCTGGCACATGGTCCTTAAAAAGGTTTTAAATCATTTCGTTCTAACTTGCTGCCGTGTTCTCTAGGGTGCACTGCCCAATTCACTACATGTGCGCTGAGCATCGTAAGTTGAAGCTTACACCGTTTGTGACACGGCTTAACTCTCGTAGCCGGCTTAGTAATGATATGAATACTTGGCTTGCTGACGACTGTTGCGCCAAGCACACCTCCTCCAATTCGATGCAGGTCCAGTGTTGGTTGCACCTGGACAAGCTTGGTGCTGAGAAATTGGCGGTGGACGACTAGCCAAGAATTACGTCTTACTAATATTGAGGGACGATGGTGTATCAGACCTTTAAGACTCCCCTGAAACCCGGGCACCATCTCAGTCCGATTTCGTCTTGTGGCGAAGCCAAGCAGCGAAGGAAGCGAATGCCAAGACAATTTTCAAAGCAGCCTGCGGGTCACCTATGGGCGTACAGTAAGATTCGAAATCGGTTTCCAGGTTTGTAGACAGAAAATCTTCTACGCACAGACATTTGTGGACCCCCGTTGCTGACGAGCTACTTGACGACATCTAGAGGTACATTCTCTGCTGACTTCCACATGAAAGCCAGAAATCGCTTCACACTGTACCTCTTGTTTATACCCCTTTTGCACAACTATGAAAGCCACATTCATCTGAACAAATGCAGCCATATATTTATGCAGCCTTGCTTTGCCTCCTTGATTATATGCACAAAATACATAACAGGTCTGCTTCTTCCTGTTACTTATCCTCCTTCCAGAGGCAGTTCTCTGAACTGGCTTCAAGCCTGGATTAGCTTACGGGCTCACCATATAGGGTTTGATGCCTAGTTTTCGTGTCAGTAGCAGTGCGTCAGCTATAATGGCTCCGGCCAGCCAGCTGATTGTTACGAGCAGGTCAAGGCAACCAACTGTGGCACAAAGCAAAAGCTTCGATAATGATGACTCCGTGTTACGACCCAACATGCATAACGAGGCCAGGGGGCCCGCCCCGCAGGCCTGCGGCGGCTATCTACTAGATATATGCAGAGAACCCGGGAACTCAAGTGACTCCTCACGGAACGGAAGAACTATAGAACAAGTCACGTGACGATTAGGAAAGTAAGCATACGATAAGGTAATCACAGTAATGTTACGGCCAGCTAGTCGTAGGGGTAGTTTGCAGAAGTTGAGGCTGCGGAACTGGTAACAGTAATCGTAGTCGGGGATAGCTTCAGGGAAGCTATGTCTGTCAATCGTAAGGGTAGGTAAGGCTTCGGTGATCAATCGTAGTCTTGTCAAGGTAGTAGCTGAAAGCGGATGTTAATCCTGATACGAAGTTAATTGCTGAAGAAGCTATGGAAAGTCTGTCCTAGAGCCCAGCTCGAGTCCATCCTTATATACAAGTCCGATCCTAACTGAACAGTGCTGAACAGTCCACTTTGTCTGGATATGTTGGATATGCCGAATATCCAACATATCCTTGACTCGGTTGGATATGTCGCATATCCAACATATCCTTATCCCTTATCATATCTCTTATCATCACGTGACTTGTACCATAGTTCTTCCGTTCCTGGGGTTTCCCCAATGTTCCGTCCCGTCCTGCATATATGATGCGCCGTAGCCGCTAGGCGTCAGCGGGGCACGCCCTGGTCTTCATGTTGGGTCGTAACACATGTATGCGAGCTTTGCTACCTACGAATGTTGTCATTCTTCAATCTTGGCGACATTCCTTAGGCAGTATAGAATTCGACGGTCAATTTCCGGCTTACATATTTTGAACAGGAGGGTAGACGCATTCAAGTGTATGACACAACAGTGGGCCGCTCAACAAAAAGTACCTTAGCTCTATTCCAACTATTCCTACGGACACTGCTACCAATCATGCTACCATTATTGCTATTGTTACTACGACTGCTTTTTATTTCTAATTCATTCTCCTCAGAGTATACTTAGAAAAGTACAGAACGGGAATAATAATAAGGTAGGAGTGGTAACAATAGCAATAACAGGAATGGTAGAAACAGAGCTCGGGGAATTTAGAGACATCCCATTTTGTCACCCACTTGACATTGCAGCAATCCTCCCAGATCTTGTTCATTTCTCAATGCTTGTCCTACGTCGCTTCCGTCAGGGAGATGGCTTGGCTAAGTCGGTTGGGATAGTGAGACATGGTTTCACCTCTTGGGTAGAAGATCTGCCTTTCACGGGCCGAGCACTGGCGCTGAGACCTTGTGATCGTGGCGCAATCAACACGGCCAGGAGTGGATTTGTAAAGGTTTCTGTCATTCCGAGTAAGAAGCTAGCGGCGCCCCATAGATCACATACAGCGTGAGGAATCTGAGCAGGCGCTATCGGCGTAATACGCCGGCCCTTTCGTCCTCATCTCGACGATGTGGCCCGGCCCCGAAACAACCTTCGGCGTCCAAGGTAATCCTGACGCAGAGTTTGACCAAATATCATGTCCAGGACCTCCAGATTTTCATAAACGCCAACGCGATACCAGAGGCAGCTACCGGCACGACCAGATACCTCGCCGCAGCCATCAGTCCTCTCCTCACCTCCCTCCGTTGGAAATTATTCATCCACAGCTCGAATTCTTTACCATCATTAAGATGCGGAAAAGCCTTTTCCGGTATTTCCTTATCGAGGAACTTGCACAAAGGCTCCCACCCAGACCCAAGCTTGTACTCCAAGAGACGGTCCTTAGGGACAAGCTCCCTAATCTTCTCGGAATGTTCCTGGCATATCATCTTGGCGTTCCTTTGCCATTCCGCTTGATTCTTACATCGAAATATTGCGTATTGTAGATCCCGCGTAACAGTGACGGGCTTCAGAATTTGGAGAGGCTCAATGAGATTGAGGACAGCCCACATCTTCCAGGTAAAGAAAGACCTGATGACACCTTCGTCATATGACTTGTACCACTTGTTCGAATCTCGATCGACAAGCGCAACTTTGGCCTAGATAGGGAGGTAAGCCAGTTGATCCTTGGAGTTACAAGTAGTAGCTAAGTAGATGTGGCTCACCTCGGGATAAGTTTTGAGAAGCTCCTCCACAAAGCCAATCGCTGGGTTATCTGAGACGACAGCCCAGTCTCCCACTAAATCATCAAAATCTTCAGCTGTGAAGGGCTTGCCCTTCCCGTAGTACTTGGCTTGCACTGCATCGAACCAGCGGAGATGATCTTCAGGTCTCTCAATATATACGAATCCGTGGTAAGTAGGCATTCCAAGCTCTTCGTATGCAGCCTTCATGAAGAAGCTACCGGTCCGAGGTAGACTCATGTGCAATACTTGAACGTTGGATTTTTTAGCCATGCTGGAACTCATTTGTGACCGAAATTGACAAGAGAAAGAAAATACTCGAGAATGTAAATTTCAAGACTTTGGGGAAGTAACAGCTTTTTATGTGAAGCTTCTGCGCCGCTGCCTATTGCCCATATACCTTTGTAAGCTGGCTGCAGCCCGAAATTCCTGTGATGATAAGACCATGGTTTTCTGTGCGCCTACAGGCGTCGGGTGACCTTATCTTTGACATTCGTTCCCAGTCCAGATTCAAGTGTGTTTCTACAGTTGTTCCGTCCAATCATAACAAGTCAACCGTAAATATCGTGACGAATTATGTCAAGTCTTCGACGCCAAAGCGCTTAATATTATGCATGTCGCCATTTATGTCAACTCGACTACACTTACTCTGCATGATTGAATTTTCGAGCCTCGAGTGCACTGGGTTCATTATCGCGTGCACTGATTTATTTACTAGTAGTTATGTGAGATATTTGGGAGCTTAGAAGGGGGGAAGGAAGGGGATTTGAAATCTAGATGCGGAAAACAATGTGATAGTTAATCATATTTATAAAATCAGATCGTCTCGATTTGCGACCTTGTAAACCACACAAAATAATTACATGTACTTTTGATCGGTCTCTTCTACGCAATAGAAAACGGCTGAGCCATCAAATCAGACGTTAAATTAATTACATGGCTTTCTTTCTGGTTGGACTGCGGCCAGCATCTAGCAACCTAGTATTTATTAGTACATTCGTTGACGGCCGTTGGTAGAAAATCTTCCGCGGCGGCGCGCCTGCTCCACATAAGAACCTGTTGGAACAGCAAAGGCTGATAAGGAGTAATGGGAAGGTACCATGGGCTGGCTGGCACCTGCCCTGGGCGAAGTGGGACAACTGGCTTAGTCATCACGGCCGGATAAAAGGTGGGACAACCACCCAGGCCGTCACTACCTACTTCGACCGACTCCTGCCTACAGTGTAAGATAGAAGAACAACAAGACAAGAACAAGCAATAGGATCACCAACAGACGAGTGATAATTGCTACCACTATTTGTCGTATACGACCCCGTGAACCAACAGAACCTTTTATTACCAGCAACCAAATCTAATGGGTATGCTCCTTACCTTCCAGTTAAAGAAGTGTCTACCTACCTACCAATGTGAAGTACGTTGATACTTTACCTTGGTAGTTTCTTTGCACGTGACTTGAAACCCTCCGGCAACCTTGTTGCCTAGATCGCAGCTAAATTAGACACTGGATGACTAAGTCCCCGTCCAACTACAACGTTCTCAACATCCCACGCGTGTTTCACCTTATTCTTGCCTTCTTCGATCGCTTTAATCTCACAGCATCACCAATAGAGAGAAATACGGACCCATTATGTCTTCGTCTCCCACACAGCAAGACGCGGAAGAACCCACACCGATCGCGCAGTCATGGCATCAATACGAGTCAACGACTAATTCGTGGGAGACAGTCGAAAACCACGACATCAATAATCCTCCACCAACCCCACCCCAGAATACTACCGATTTAAGTCCTCGTTTTGTTCTTGCCACATGGAACGTGGAGGCATTTGATCGAGAACCTGCCCGCCGCATCATCGCAATTTTCGATCATCTCATCAACCATTCACCCTCGCCCGATGCTATTTTCCTCCAAGAAGTGTCGAGACCAATGCTGAGTGCGTTGCTGACCAACGACACAGTTCGCGAGAATTGGATCTCTAGCGAAAAAGACTCAAAGAACTGGATCGGCGCTCCCCTCACGGCTTTCGCCACCATGACTCTTCTATCAAAGGCCAAATTTGGTCACGTTGGGAAAGCGGCTTTGGCGGGTCTCGGACGGGTTTCGCGGATCAAGTATCGATCTTTCTACAGACGGGATGCACTATGCAGCGAGGTGCTTGTGCCATCACCGCAATCGGGAACCCAAACGACCACATACAAGCGACTTCAATTGGTCAACGTGCATCTGGACTCTTTATCCAACGGGGCGGCATGTCGTCCAGCTCAACTACAGTGTGTTGGATCACTTTTGCATGATGTCGGTCACGGGCTGGTAGCGGGAGACTTCAATCCTGTCACTCCACATATCGATGCAAGCCTGGTAGAAGACAACGACCTCCTCGACGCGTGGAAAGAGCTGAAAGGCGAGGAGACTGGGTACACATGGGGGGTTGACGGCACCGAAAGGTTCCCTGCAAATCGGATGGACAAAGTCGCCATGGTGGGGTTGAGTCCACTGCATATCGAAGTTTTGCATCCAATGCAATTACTTTTGCCTGGCGAAGATAGATCTGTTTCTTGGAGCGACCACTCGGGGCTGAAGTGTACTTTCACCCTTGCCTCACCTTAATGATTCAAATCACTAGAACTGAATTGATACGAATAGTCTAGATGTTTGATACCATCTTCGTAGAAAGTCCGTCTCTCGTCGTTAGTGTGTCGTCATAACACTGGTCCTGGTGCTCCAGCTGTGTCAGCGCTAGCACCGATGTCAGCAATAGGCAATGTAGCTGCCTAGTGACCCCCTCGCAAGGAGACGACGAGCTATCACAGAAGCCGCATGCTCATTGGTTTACCCCAGTTTTCCTATGGAAACTCTTCGCTCCTTACTTCGACCTGTAAATTCTTTGATTATTCTCACACAGCTTTTGCACAATCAGTTTCAGTTGATATTGAAAAGGCCGGTGCTAGCCACGACAAATGCGGCAGCTGATTGTTTTGGGCGACTCGATCCATTGGAATACTTCAACATCGTGCGTTTGTCTCGTCATGGAACATCTTCCGATTCCCCGCGACCCAATCAGTGGGCACCAAACAATTTCACGAACCTGGACCTTTCCTCAATTATCCAACGCAGCATGGCGAGGTTCTTAACGCACATTATCCACATGTTCCCACTCAAGCCGATGCCCTTCAAGGGCGGTTCAAAGCCGGAATATCGCATATGCAGGTCATTGACTATTACCAAGGCTGGCTGCTCTACTCCTTGATACAAGAGTTCCTGGGAGGCTTGTACAAATGGCAAAATTAAAACATCTTGGAAGCACGACAATCAAGGAAATCTCGATACTGTCAGCCTGTCTACACGGACTTTGCACGAGGACCTTGCAACATTACGCGCGAGTGGTCCGCTGGCATCCATCCGACCTGACGACACATATGAAAAGCACCTCAAAGAATGCTTGGATCGGGCATTCGAGGCCTTTGATGAAATCGAGTTCAGGTTTCCAGGCTTCTCAGCGGCATTCGCCGAGGAATTTTTGTGCCTTGCCAGCTTAGCTGAGACATTAGACTCTGCGGTCCAGACTGCCCTTATCCACGGACCAGTCGCCGGTAAGTCACACGTCCTCCAGTGCCCTGTTGAGCTGATCCCAGTGGAAACCGGCAAGGTCCATGCCCCAGAGCTAATGCTGATGTGACCTCTTCACACAGAAATGGACCAACGTGTACAGCACTTCCCGGAGTCCGCCAAGCGCTCCTGGTTCTCCAAGTTCGCCTCCTTGCTTGATCTGTCTTCGGGAGACAATAAGCTCGCGGTGATCAAAGCTGGCTGGTGCCCTGGAGACATCACTAAGATCGGCGACAGCTTCAACACCATCGCCACCTTCTACTACTTCAGCAAGTTCAAGGCGGACCCAACCGTAGCGGACTTGCACGAAAGATGCCCCGAGTATGGCTGCGGCCTCAGAATACCAGCAGAGCCTAAGCACATGAGCGAAGGTTGCGACTGCCCGGGAATGGTTTCATTCGACGAGGAGGATCTCATAGAAATCTACCAAAAGGGCGATGTTCCTTGTTTTTGCATTGGAAGGCTTGAAGAAGGCAGTCTGGGTATTGCTTTGAGTTCCTGCAGCATCGACGAGGAGTCACAGAAAGACTCCGATAATCACTATGTCGCTCTCTCGCACGTATGGTCAGAGGGGATGGGTAATCCGGCGGCGAACGCCTTACCCTTTTGCCAGCTGACTTACGTACAACACTGGGCGATGATGGCATATCAAGTTGTGGAAGAGAAAGAAACAGACGGGTCGAAGGATGGCAGCGGCATCTTGATCCAGACGAAACCAAAAATACGCCAGCTCAATATCTGGATTGACACTATAGTCTATGTGTTGCCCAGCGACTCCAGGATACGGAAAGAATCTTTGTCTCTCCATGATGCGAGAAATTTACTCAAATGCCAATGTTGTAATGGGGAGAAGCGCAGTGCTTGAAGCTTTGAAGATAGGCGACATTGTACGGGATCCCTCCAAAGGGGTGATGGACGTTGCAGCGCAGGTTTATCTGTCTCCATACATGCGCAGAATGTGGACACTACAAGAGGCAGTCCTAGCAGGAGCTTCCAGAGCTCGAGGTATTGGCGACCGGCTTTGTCTGTCATTCGCTGATGGCATTCTCTCGCTTGAGTCAATCATCAACCTTCTGAAGCAAGCACCGCGACAAGAAGCCGTGTTGGCATACCGCTTCATGGCGGAGTTTCGCGACCTTAGCACTCACATGTGGCAGCTGGGGGACGATGATGACGACAAACTGGTGAAGCACAGTCTCAAAGGATTCGACTTCTTCTTGAATATGCTCACCGTTGCCTTGAAGTACCGCAACGTCACAGTTGCGTCCGACGAGGTGATTTGCCCAGCTACGCTGCTCAACCTGCGTATCAACAGCACAAAAGGAGTAGTACCTCTTATTGGTCACGGAGAGACTCCCGAGGAGGGCATGTGTGAGTTGTGGCGGAGGCTCCAGGCCCTCGGCGGCAGTCTGCCATCTGACATTATTTTCTCGTCTATCCCGCGAGTCCAGGTACCGGGATACCGCTGGGCTCCCGCAACTGTCGTCCAGTACGCAAAACACGGCGATCTCTATGTTTCTCATTCCAGTGCTTATCCGGCGAAAATCACCGACAAGGGTCTACACGTGAGGCTTCCTGGGGCGCGACTCACCAGGCCGGCTGCCACTGCTGGTACACTCGGCAGGTTATTACCAAAGGTACTAGTGAACGACGGGAAACAAGCCAATACGGGGGACGAAGCTATGCCCCCTTCGGTATTCATGGCAAAGCTACAAACAGATGAAGGTGGATGGTTTGCTGTCAGAATCCATCACGTTGACAATGAGACCCAAGAGTCCGGATCTGTACATGAAGGAGCACGCTCCAATACAGATCACAGACCAAGCCTTTTTCGACTTCTCAAGAGTAGGTCTGCAGCGCTGATATACCAAAACGCCAACATCAGCGGGCCAGGCCTGCTCGTTTCCATCGCCACGCCACCATCAGATCTGAGCTCTCTCGACATCCTGAGTCTGAATCCGGAGCCCTTGCAGACTACAAGCGATTTCCCGGTGAAGATAATGCCACTGAGCGGCGGTGCCTGCGTCATTGCCGAAGCAGCCAACACCTGCGTCGAAGAGCTGAATCGGGCTGTGGTGGCTGAATCGAGACAGCGGGGAGGCGAAAATGCCGTTAACAATGTCTGGGAGAATACGGCTGTCATTACCGAGCTTTTCAAGCAAACGGCCGAGAGAATTGTGGAAGACTCCGGCACAACCCTGAAAGAAGCCTTGTATTTCGAGGTGTTGTCCAGCAAAGCCTCTGCCACTTATGAGGCCGCAATTGAGCGCTTCATGCAATACGTGCGCCAGGTGGCGTCTTTTGGCGGCGGTATAAGGTGTGAGGCTTATCCAGAGGACCAAGACTGGTATGTGGATTGATCCTGGCCAGGGTCGAGGTTGGGCCCTCGCGGATTGGTGCATTAATTGTTACTGCTTCATATTAGTCACCAGAGCTTGAGTCCCTTCTTATTGGATGAAGTTGCGATTGAATGGCTGTAAAACACATGTGCGGAAGGTGACGGTGTCGAAGAGGGTCCCTTCGCGGGCGTTGAACCTGAGCTCCAACTCGATCTAGCCTCGACGCAAAGATTCACTCTTTGAATCTGGACTTTCCAAGCATTTTGGGTAACCCAAGGTTCCGAGTGGGGAATTCAGAATTCGACCCTGAGTTGGCTGAATCACAAATGGGAGTGTCTCTTGTATCCCTGTCTTGAGTAGCTCGTTGTGGCTTTGAGACAACTAGATAGCCGAGGGCAATGGCCGGCCTGCGGGGCCACGGACGCTTCCTCCGTATCTTTCTACTTTAAACATGCTCATGACGTTTATTCACGGAAACAGGCACGACAGGCAACCTCAGTTGAGACACGGGTGGCTTGGCAGACCGGCGAGATTGGATCGCATGCTCGATCACGATCGGGAGAAGCTTGCACAGCATTGTGACAACTCAATGCATACAACATTTGACCGCTGTCCGTACTTTGGGTGAAAAGCCGTGGTTTTCAAGCCTTCACTATGATAAATCATTCTATTACAAGCCAATTGACTTAGGGGTGTGAAGAGAGGGGCCTTGAAATGCAAACTCCTCGCCGTTCGGGGCGTTCGGCGAGAACACCCCTCATATCCCGACTGTCTGGTGCTTGTTACTGTGTTACACGCGCCTTTGAGACATCCAAATGTACGAGTCATCCGAGTTATCCGCGGAAACCTTTTTAACAGTCATACAGTCAACACCTCTCTCAACTCACCCTCAATACCCCTTTATGCCCTTCATAAGTAGGGACCTCGATCGCAACCAGCCATGCAGTAGCTACCGCCTCAACCGGACGTCTCGGTAGCTCGTGCTACACCCATAGCTTCCATGTAAGGCGCATTGGAATCCGACCTACTTCTTTCATTTCGTAACACAAAGCACTCGCATGGAGTATTGGCGGGCCGCCGAGCCACAAGAGCTTCCATTTTCTGCGCCCTAATTCAATCGGTTTGCCCAATGAGGATATCATGTAGGCGATCAAGTCGAGACACACTGATCCGGGTCTTGAAGATAACATCGCACGTACATTCCTGTCATTTTGAAGAATCTCTCAACAGTCAATTGACATTGACCCCATTGTTCTCTTTGCTATGGAAACGGCTGCTTGGAGCCCATCTGCAACCGGATAATCAGATAGCAAAGACTTGGCGGTAGAGGATTAACATGTCGTTACGGTCGAGATGGTCATAGACTCTCCGCCTGGACTCCTCCGGATCGATTTGAACGCATGTAGAATGGTCCTTTCGACGATCGTTCTCTATGAAGTGATATCTGCTGCCATACTTGTTGATTTCTATTGTTAATGAAGGAAACGTGTTGCTCTGGTCACCGAAGAGTGCTCCTGGGAAGATTGTTGGAAGTTTCCCTACCTTGCGCCCATCAAGGACCGAGCCTTGGGGCATTGAACACCCAGTTCGTGACCAAACATGTCGAAAATGCCAAGCTTATGGAGGCTCATCTTGCCATCGCTGCTACTAGGGGGCAGCAGTCTGGCACAGCCGTGCCTTGAGGCACTCAACAACGACCAGGTCGACGCGTGTGTGTGCTACTCTCTGGAGTACATCGTCAGTTATGTCGCCTACATTGCTGTTTCTACGTCATACACATCAAACTGCGAGGCTCTCCCCACGATCTCGGCTACCACATCCGCTGCCCCCCAGCTTTTAGGGAGCAATCCCGCAGGGGGCAACTATTCAGGGTACGTGACAATTAGCAATGGCGTTTACACGGGCACAGATATCTTGGCCGGGCCGACTACGAGGGCAATTCTGGGACTTGATGGATCAGGGACACTGGTAGTGGAGGATCCGCCCTCGTATACGACGGTTTCTCGAACTGGTACGGCAACTATCGCCCCTGGATCGCTTCCGAACTTGGTCAACTCGACGAGTTTCCTGACTACGAACCCCATTACGGCACCGCAAACTATTTTTGTCGCCAACCCCACGCCGGGGGCTTCCATAGCTTCTCGAGGAACTGTGGTCATCGCGGTGCCTGACCCGCGATTATACAACACAAGCACACTCGCTTACTCTGGGACCGATCCCCTGGGCGCAGCCCGAACGACCATTTCGACTATTGCTGAGTCTGGCTTCGTACCTGGCACCTATGTTGTCGCTGTCGCGACGACAACAGTACTAGATGTGTCCTACGATGTTTCTACCGTTGCGCATACTGGAACAGCCGTTCTTTCGGGTCCAACGGTAGTGTCAGTTATTCAGCCTACAGATGGAAGCGGTAGAGGGACCGTGGTCATTGGAGTTCCTCCAACCGGGGTTCCTCCTCCTCAAGTGACGTCCATTGTTCCATATGAGGGCACGAATTCTATTACAGGACCGACGACGATACTCAACAGGCCCTTCGATGGTACCTTGCCTGGAATCCTCATAGTCGGACTGCCACCAGCATCCTTCATCACCCAGACTGTGCCATTCACGGGCAAAGAGGTCCTTACAGCCCCGATAACTATCTCGATAGCACCGCCCAGTGGCTCTCAACTCGGTACCGTTATCATCGGAAGTCCATCAGCTACATTTTTGGCCAGCTTCGTTCCTTTTACCGGGTCTGCCCAGGAGACACTGTCTGTGATCCAGCCTACAGGCACATCTCCAGGAGTCGTGATCATTGGGCAGCCTGTAGATTCTGATCCAGATCTCGAGGATCCCACATCTACGACTTCAGCGCCTCAAGTCACGCCAACGCGATACGTCACGTCAATTGTGACCTACACTCCCGCCTCAGATGCTCCCAACACACCATCCACTTTGGCTGTCATAGACAGTACGGTTATTATTGGGTTGCCCCGGATTATATCTCCAGCTGCGACTGGCTCAGACTCGTTCATCACTTCGGCGAGAAGAGGACCCTTTGTCACTTCCACTGTCGACTTCACTGAAGGCGTGGACTTGCCGACAACTGTTTACCCCGTAGGAACCGCTCCTGGAACGGTCTTTGTTTATGACTCATCGAGAGGCGGGGATTCGAGACCTTCGTTTGTCACTTCAGAGGTCGTCCTGCTGGGAACAGCAGCTGGCTCGGCGCCTACAACCATCTCCATTGTGCAACCAACAGATGGACTCCCTGGAACCTTGATCATCGGCAGGCCGGCCATTTTCGTGACTTCAACAGTCCCTTGGACAGGATCAGTTCCTTTGCCATCTAGGACAACAGTTGCAGTTGTGGCCCCTTCAGGAGACACCCCTGGAACGGTGTTTGTGGCAGATCCCACGACACTAGGTAGACAGTTTTCGACATCCTATTTCCGCCTGTCCGGTACCCAAGAAGAGGGCGCTGCAACAACGTTGACTCTGATCCCAGGCGAGGGCACTTCGCAACCCGTCATCGTCATTGGAGTCCCCGGTGACTACATTACTTCCACAGTGGACTTTAGTGGCACAGATATCTTGACGACGAGGACCACACTTTCGACTTTGCCGTCGAATGGCGTGGCACCAGGCTTCATCATCGTAGCCGACCCGCCAACCTCTGTATCTCCAGGAACTCCTGTGATAACAAATGGGGCCTCTGGTGGCACTCAGCCAGACTTCATCACCTCGACGGTGGTGTATGCGGGCTTGACTACATCTGTTCTGACTAGTGTCCCACCCTCAGGCTCCAACAGGGGTACGATTGTGCTTGCAGTACCCTCGGTGGCCTCGTCATTAAGAGCTGGGGGAAATCCCGCGTCGCAGGTGAACAATCCAAGCGTGGCTCTGGCCTCATTCGTCACTTCGACCGTAGTCAGTCTTGTCGGCTCTTCTGTTGGCTCGCGAACTACGATCTCAACTGTGACCCCTGACGTTGCGAATTCCATCCCTGGCACTTACATCGTGGCCTTGCCCAACGCCTACGTCACCTCCACTGTGCCTTGGACTGGAGCCATGCCCTTGTCGACCTTAACTACAATTTCGACCATATCACCTTCCGACTCTCAGCCGGGTGTTTTCGTTGTGGCTGCTCCGAATGCGATAGTCTCATCCACCCCACAGGCAGTGGGTAGTGGCACAGTCCCAAGTCCGGTTCCTGCGAGCAATGCTTCCCCTGGAGACTCAGCCACACCGCTTCCTGCCACACAACTACCAGATCAGACACTCTTCACAACCTCGACAGTTCTCTTGGCGAGCAATCTCGGAATTTCCTCAGCAACCATTTTGACTACCCTGCAAGCTGATCCGGGCTCACCATCCACGGTATTGCTTGGCGTTCCTGATCAAGTCGCAAGTACGGGGGCCTCCATCGCAGGAGAGACACAAGAGGCTACCCCTGATGTGAACGCTGGGTCTGGGTCACCTAGCAGCTCAGAATCTGCAGTCTCATCAACTTCATCGGGCAATTACATCTCGACAGCCACTCCCACTGAATCTTTGCCTTCGACAACCGCTCTCGCCAACTCCGCAGTCGGCTCCGTCGTCACTTCAGACATATTTTACAGTGGAACCAACTCATTTACCTCGCCCATCCCGCTGACTACTCTGCCTGCTAGCCTAGGCAGTCCTGCAACTGTGATACTGCTCCAGCCGTCATCGGCCATTGTATCAACTAGCAACTCTGCAGGTGGTTCCGGCTCTAATCCGCTGGCAATCGCTTCGTCGCTCACACCGAATAAATCACCTGCCCCATCTACCGTCGTCTTTGTTCAATCTGGGACAACGATTTTGTTGCAGGCTTTTTTTGTCACATCTACTCTAGATGCAGGCAGTAGCTTCTCGGAGGGATCTCAAGGACTTGTCCCCATTTCTACCATCCTACCGAGCGCAGGTCAACCAGGTACCATTTTGCTAGGACGGCCAGGAGCGACAGCCACATCGGCTCCGGATACAACCTCATCTTCGGGACTGGACCCAGAGGCTACACCTTTTGCACAATTATCAAGCTCAGTAGTTCCATCCGAAGCTTTTTCCACTCCTTCCCAAGCCTCAGGCCCGCAAGACCCTGCCCCGAGCTCGCAGACTGAATCAACCCCGACAACCAGCGCTTCTTCTTCTTTCAGCGGCACAGCTAGCACGGCGTTTGCAACTGTTGCCAGCACAGCTGTCCTTGCGGACTCCAGCACTAGTACTTTAGCTTCTTCTGGGCGCTTTTCAACCCAATCTCCTTTTGGCACAGCCCCAGACTCAGCAGTGACGACTTCTTTTACCACAGTCTTTGTCGACTACACAGGCACTGGAATCCCCAGCGAGTTCTTGACGCTCAGGACGACTTCGGGTACCGTAGTAGTTCAAAGACCACGACCTCTTACAACTGTGCAGACATTCATCCCTGGAAGCATCTCCACTGCAATTCTTACAATCATCCCATCAGGCACGGAGCCTGTCACCATCGTCTTTGGGATCCCATCGCCGGTGGACACAACACCCGTCACGGTGGAAACTCTGTCGAGCACAACCTCGGTCGCCTTACTCACTTCTGCGGACCCTCAGATAGCTATTAGCAGCACCACGAATACAGGAACGCCGGCATCTCAGCAGGATGTTCCAAGTCTGCCTATTTCCACGTCAACCCCCGCATCTATTTCGACTGACCCAAGCTCTCAAAGCTCATCTGGTTCATCATTTCCTGGAAGTACAACTTCGGTGGCTGTCAACCCAGGTCTTTTCTCTCAGGGGACTCTGTCCGCGTCGAATTCGGATTCGACCTCCTCGGCTTCGGAGGCGTCTGCTTCTGCGAGTCAGACTTCTACGGAGCTGATATCAGAATCGTCTCTCCAGATTCCAGCAACCTCTTCATATCAGTCTACTACCTCTGAGACTTTGGCCCCATCCGGAAGTTCTGGCACAGACTTTCCCGCACTTTCTGCGATCATTTCTCAAGTTTCCGGGGCTTCGACAGCCGCAGATTTGACCTTGAATCTGTCTTCATCTGTAGCAGCTCAGTCACAGCCATCCTCGCTGACTAGCTCGACGACTTCATCAACGGATGCAGACCCCAAGTTTTCGTCGGATCCCGTCTCCGGTCCAAGCAGCTCGTCTTCCGCCTCTGTTTTTCCGAACCCACTTGCTTCGCCCATGTCTTCATCTCAGAGCACCAGCACAGAGACCACTAGCTTGAGCCTGACTAGTGTAGACTTCTCCAGTTCAGTTTTATCCACAGGAGCTTCTGGACCATCCGACACCTCACTCTCAGACACATCCGCCCCAGCCTCATCGAGCACATCAATTTCGGTCACAGCTGACCAGAACCTGGTGAGCACATCATCTTCCGCCGAAACATCAACATCTTTAGAATCATCGCCTAGTTTATCTCAAAGTACTTTCTCCCAGGGAGCTTTGGTGTCATCAACGCCGGGTCCGATTCCTGGAAGCACGTCTAGTACAGAAACATCAACTACCAGTGTTCTCTCAGCAGTTCCAGGGGTACTTGCACCGGACACTTCGTCTCTGTTTGAGTCTACTGCTACAACATCAACATCTCCTAGCTCATCAGCAAGCATTCTACCCAATTCCCTTTCGAGCAGTGAATTGAGTAGCACTGTTGTACCCACTTCAGTGACAGGTATTCTGGGTCAATCAAGTGTTCTTCCTTTCACATCTACATCTGAAGCATCCTCTTCGACCGATGGTAACAGCTTGTCTCTTTCGATCACTGCCGATATATCTACCGACTTGAGCATCTCTTCAAGTGCCACTGAAACATCTTACAATCTGTCCACCGGCTTGAGTGCTTTGCCCTCTTCTACTATAGACATTTCCAGCAATGACGCAACTTTCTCGTCTTCCAGCGTAGTTGAGTCACAAACCTCGAGTTCGACAGACGCTGCAGCTGGCTCATTGTCCAGCCCCGAACTCTCAACCCAACCTGGGTCCTCAATCAGCTCGGCTAGCACCGAAGTTTCTACCACTTCTGGCATGACTATCTCGTCTTCGGCACTTCCCAACATTCTAAGCACTCTATCACCGAGCACAGAACCACCTTCCACTGTTATTCCCTCTTCCTTGGGAGCTTCCACTTCTGCCAGGGCAGATTCGACCACCGCGAGGTCTGACGTCGTTTCCACTGACTTGTCAGCCCAGGACTCTACCTCAACCTCTGCCATCTCACCTGGTTCTAGCATCTCTTCATCCGACCTGAACACAAACGTCGACTCTAGTAGTCTCTCTGCGTCACCCACAACATCTGGCTCTAGCTTGGTGACACCAACAGCAACTTTTGTGACGTCTGTGGTTTTTCTCACAGGGACTGAGTCCTTCACTGCCACAGGCCTGGTCCCTCTCACCACTATTTACCCAAGCAATGGTGACGCCCCAATCCTGGTTTTTGGCGCGGCTAGAAGACTCTTTGCTTCAGTTGCTGTGCCTTATTCCGGTACGGGTATCATCACCGGACCCCAGCAAGTGAGCATCGTGTTGCCAAGTGGTTCAGGCTCACTAGTGGTCGGAACAATCGTCTACGCAACACCTGACCCTCTTGTGACTACTGAGGTAGACTACACGGGACTAGGCACCCTCACCTCGCCTCTTCCATTGACCACCATCTATCAATCTGGTACTGTCCCCGGGACCGTCATTGTGGCAAGGCCGGCCATCTTTGCTACGTCTGGAACCAGTTCTACTGTCGGTTCCAGTGCTTCGAGCGAATCCTCCACTTCTATCGACTTCATTACGACATCGCAGTCCACAAGCTTGGTTGGAAGTAGTTCGTCGTTAGAGACTAGCTCTGTTTCAACATCCAGTTCTCCGCTTGACTCTATCTCAACCTCTGTTTCCTCTAGGAGCTCATCAAGACTGAGCGATGTTTCCGAGTCTATCACCTCGAGCTTGCCTATTGTCCTAGCTGATTCCAGTACATCGAGCGAAGTACAGCTGGGATCAAGCAGCCTTGCAGCGGTTTCCTCATCAACTTCATCCGATAGATCCACTTCGACGATTGGTGATCTGAGCTCTTCCTCAATCATTTCAGTCTCCTCAGTCGGTTCCACTCCAAGCCCAGAGCCGATAAGCTCCAGCGCAACACCGACGGATGTCGGCTTCTCAACCAGCGGCAGCATCGATCCGGCGTTACTGAGCATGTCTTCAAGCTCGACAAGCGATGTCATTTCGTTGGCCTCCACGAGCGAAACCTCCGCTTTCCCAAGTCCGACGACAACATCAGCTGAGCTAGACACCACAGTAACCCAAGGAACATCGCAGTCGTCTGAAACAAGCATCGGAGTGTCTTCTCCCAACACTATCGAATCGAGCGACTTTGCGTCTTCGTCTCTTGCGTTAATATATTCTACTGCTTCTTCTCCTGATATCAGTTCTACCACTGATACTTCTTCGATCGATGTCACGACTACCATCGAGTTTCCTTCGTCTTTGGGAAGTGGCTCTTCGTCCGAAAGTACCATTCCAATTATTCCCTCGACCTCGGATCAGACCGTCATCTCTAGTTCAGCTCCTCCAGCATCTGCCCTCTACGACAGCATCCAGGTACCCTTCACAGGTACTGATCAGTTATCCACTCCGATTCCTATCAGTACGGTACTTCCGAGCGGGAGCATTCGTGGAACCATTGTCTATGCCGCGCGGTTCCTCACGTCGACAGTGTCGGGTCCGGGTCAATCCACCGTCACCCTTTCGACCATCCAGCCTTCTGGAACACAATCTCTTGGCTTGGTAGTCATTGCAGTCCCTGCCTCTCTAGAGCCGTCGACGACGCCGTCTGTCTCGTCTGATAACGGAGGAGCATTTCCCAGCGAGATCAGCTCTGAGTCATCAGCAGCTTCACTCACAACTTCGGTAACTTTGGCATCTTCGGCAGCTGAGAAAAGCAACACCAGCTTGAGTGGAAGCACCGACAGCACTGGAACTATCGAACCTAGCACAAGTCTTGAATCAACTAGCGTCGCAACGACATCCAGCGAAGTCGCAAGCACGAGCGCCATCAACACCGGAACAGATACAGCCTTTGCTTCTCTGCTTACAACCAGCGATTCGAGCTCTTTGAGCGACGCTCTTTCAACGTCTCAGAGTAGCAGTACCTCTTTCGAGGCCCTCAGTACTGAGACGAGCGCTAGCACTTCGAGTACTATCAGATCAGGAGCCAGCAGCTCCATTTCTACCGATGGAACCTCAACTGAAGCCAGTTCTTCGATCTCTTCCACTGTCTCGAGCTTCTCCATTGGGTCTCTCACCACAGCTACGGAAGCTGACAGCAGCGACAGCGTCTCAAAGACTAGCAGCACCAGCGACTTCGAGACAGTTCCCACAGCACTTGCTTCTCTGATATCCACCACCGATTCCAGCTCCGTGTTTGGCTCATCCACTACAGTGAATGATATTACTTCAGGGTCCAGCAGCTCCATTGATGAAACCGACAGTTTGACCTCAAGCATTGAGATCTCTTCGACAGCTCCTTCAAGTCTTTCGTCCGAGACAACTAGTATTTCCCCTGAGATTACTACCTCCGCAAATGACCCTTCGAGCGCGTCAAGCAGCTCGCTCACAGATGCTTCTTCGTCCCTTTTGTCGCCTAGCCCTGATGCGGCTACCCTCTTGTCTTCGGGTTCGACAAGCAGCGGTCTAACAGCAACCGCTTCAATCCCTTCTGAGACTACGCAACTCTCAACCACGTCAGAATCTGTGGACGCTGATTCTTACGTCACCTCGCAACTCATTTATACCGGCACCTCTTCGCTGTCTGAGCCCTTCCCATTGAGCACTGTCCAGCCAACGAACGGATCTCCGGGTACTATAATCTTGGCAGTCCCAGCCTCGTTCTATGCCACTTCCACTTTGGTCTATACTGAAGGCGACTCATACATCGTTCCGTCTGCTATCAGCACAGTTGCCCCGTCCGGAACAGCTAAGGGTACCGTCATCTTTGCCGCTCGCTACGCAGTGGCTAGGGTTGTGTACTCGGGAACTTCAGTCATCACGGAGCCCATCCCCATTGCCACATACCCGGGCAGCGGGACAGTCCTTGGCACCATTGTCTATGCCGATCCTCCGTCAAGCGCAGCAACATCAGAGATATCGCCTACTCCGTCAACATCTTCAAACTCCCTTGATTCAATCACCTCTTCGGTCACCTCAATTTCGTCAATTTCCTCCGACGCGGAATCCCCTTCCTCATCGTCAAGTAGCTCACTTCTCTCTGCTGTTTCTTCGTCACTGGAGGCTTCCACTGAATCTTCAACATCTTCGAGCGTCAGTATCGCAGTCAATCCTGATACATTGCTGTCGAGTTCAACGTCAGAGTCGACGACGGAGGAGCCGACAACCTCGAGCAGACTGATTTCTGGGGCGACATCATCTTCATCGAGCGACTTGGCAGACTCCGCAGCTACGACAACTTTATCTATGACTAGCTCAGATGGCCAACAGTCGTCTACTAGCACTTCATTGAATGCAGAGTCAGCTACTTCAAGCACTTTGATCACTGAATCTACCTCAACAACAATCACTTCATCGTCTTTGCTGTCTTCAAGCTCTTCGGAAACGATTGGCCTCGATACGCTGTCACCTACGTCGAGCATTTCGTCATCGGGCGTGGAAAACAGTGCTTCGGCTACCTCATCTAGCGATTCTTCTCTGTTCACTCCGACATCCTCATCTGACTCAAGTTCTACAACCAGTAGTGACCCGCAAACGCCATCAGCGACGCTTACTCCTAGCTCAGCCACCACTGTCACATCGACAAGCGACTCTGTGGATGGGACCTCGACCAGCTCCTCGGCGGGCTCTTCGTCACTATCCTCGAGCATAGCGACCACTGTTGAACCCGATACGGTACTTCCAACATCGACCGGCACCTCCACCAGTGAAAGTTCCTCTGTATCGAGCATCTCAACTTCAGACCCGAGCCCTCCATCAATATCGAGTTCTTCTGAAGGTTCATCCTTATCCATGAGCACTCGGAACACAGTCGAGATCAACACCTTGCTGTCAACATCTAGCGACTCAACAACGACAAGCTCAGTGTCCTCATCTGATATTTCTTCTGTATCGAGTAGTGCAACTTCAGAGTCCAGTTCTCAGTCGACCTCAAGCTTTATCGAGGATTCGACATCTTCCTCTAGCACTCAGATTACTGCTGAAATTAATACCTTGCTACCGACATCTACCGAGTCAACAACGGCAAGCACCGAGATAAGTTCTTCGTCTTTCGACTCGAGAAGCTCATCCGGAGTTCTTTCTGCATCAAGCTCCACTGTTACATCTGATGCATTGTCATCCATCACCAGCACCACGTCCTCGTCAGCAGTCGATCCTTCAAGTATCTCTAGCAGTGAGAGCTCCGACTCTGTTACTCAGAGTTCGAGCGTTATTACCGCCAGTCTCAGTACGCCAATTTCCTCGACTAGCCCTTCAACAAGTGACGATATTAGTTCGTTAAGCTCAACTGGATCAGAAACATCAGCGTCAACCCTGGCGCAGTCAACCTCGAACAGCCCAACTCTTGAGTCCACAGCCACCACGTCTGAGAGCTCTCTAACTAGCTCTTCGTCTTCAAGCGTGACAGTTGACCCCAACACCCTGCTGTCAATATCATCAAGCACATCTACTGAACAAAATTCAAGCTCCACAAACACGATTCAATCGTCCTCGTCAAGCTCACAGTCGTCTTCGATAGTAGACTCTTCTACGACCTCGGACGCCTCGGAAATTTCTTCCGGTTCTTCGTCCAGCCTTAGCCTTGCTACTTCAATTTCCGTCAGTCCGACCTCAAGCTCCACCTCATTGGATGTCTCCAGTCCCACTTTCTCTTCGCCCAGTCCGACTTTCAACCCAGAGAGCCTACTTTCAACATTACAGGGCACTTCGACTGGGAGTGTCATAAGCACCTCTGAGAGCGTATCTCTGTCCTCTTCAAGCTCCACGGGCTCCTCTTCTTCAGTTACAACTAGCGTTTCGGTCACAGAACCAACTTCCGTGAGCTTGGAAACAAGCTCTGAGGGAATTTCAATCACGCCAACGTCTTCCTCCGCTAGCACATCTACGAGTAGCTCTCAGTCTACTTCTCTCAGGGTCGACCCTGCAACTCTACTTTCGAGTTCGACAACTTCAAGCACCTCCGAGAGCGATTCCCTATCGTCGTCGAGTTCTGCCGCTAGTTTCACTGGATCCTCCATCCCGTCACCGACTGGCACTTCTACTGCCGAATCAACCTCTACAACTCCCCAGTCAAGCTCTGATGAAGCCACACTCGTGACATCTGTTTCATCTTCCGTCACCACGTCTACGAGTAGCTCTCCATCTGCTTCTCCAACAATTGACCCCGCTAGTCTTGCCTCGACGTCCACAGAATCGCCGACGACTGGTGCCACGTCTTCTCTTTCCTCGAGTTCAGATCGAAGCTCGTCGTCCGTATCCAGTTCCGAAAGCTCAGCTGAGGCCACGTCTAGTTCATCGCTTTCCTCTTCGTCAAGTTCGACCGGGCTGTCTCTCTCTTCGAGCCCAACGATTGATCCAGCGAGTCTGATTGCAAGTTCAGAGTCATCTTTCTCGAGCTTCACGACATCTTCCGCCAGCTCGACCGCCGAATCCACAACTACCATTTCAAGCTCGACTTTACCCTCATCTTCTATTTCTTCCACCTCTGCGTCCTCCAGTACGACAAGCGATACCTCCTCGGCCGCACCAGATGCCACTTCCTCAAGCTCGTCTGACTCAATATCCAATTCAATTACTTCCTCTACGTCTTCGAGTTCAACATTCGATGAAGAAACTTCGCTTTCTACTTCAGAAACGTCATCCACTAGCAATTCGATCTCTCCATCATCGTCAACATCATCCTCCACATTTTCATCCAGCTCTTCCTCTGGACCTGCTACTACCCCGTCTGTTACATTTGTGTACACGACCATCTTCCTCACGGCTTCCGACTCACCAGACTCGACCATTATTGCTTCAATTGGTCCAAGCGGTACTCAAGCTGGCACCATAGTCGTCGGAAGGCGGGCACAATTCGTCACGGTCACTCGCCCATACAGTGGAACCAACACTCTGAGCGGCGGTGCAACCACTGTCAGCATTGTCCAGCCGCAAGATGAACAGCCCGGGACGGTTTATGTTGAGACGACTCTAACTGCGGCAGTCTCGATTTCCACAAGCTCTTCGACGTCTGAATCGCTTCCAAGCGCTTCTTCCACGAGTCCTAGCGCTTCGTCGTCAAGTACAACAAATGCTGTTGAGCCAAACACTTTGCTGTCGAGCACGAGTGTTTCTTTGACGAGCTGGTCTTCCAGCTCAGACTCGCTCTCGTCGACCTCAACTTCACAGGTATTGTCGACTTCAGCTAGCACATCCGAAGGTAGTACGGGAGTGTCTTCTATGTCGACTTCCAGCACATCTCCCGGTACCTCCAGTATCACGTCCTCAACTCCATCTAGTACTATCGAAGCGAATACTCTGCTGCCGATCACGACTGTTTCTTCAACGAGCGCCTCGTCCAGCTCGGAGCCCCTGTCATCGAATTCTACATCACAGACCTCATCTACGTCTACATTACAGATTTCATCGACATCAAGTAGTACCTTAAGCCAGTCCCTTGGGGGCAGCTCAAGTAGCCTTTTGAGCGAGTCCTCCAGCAGTTCATTCAGCAGCTCTTCGAGCGCTTCTTCTTCTTCTTCTTCTGCCAGCTCAGCTTCATCGAGCCCGGCTGCCAATCCCACAACTTTGTTGTCGACATCATCGACTGCCGCGTTATCATCAACTACCAGCACAACCGAGCTATCTAGTTCAAGCTCAGTTGGCTCTTCCAGCACTTCCACGACCACAAGCGTTTCAAGCACATCGTCGACGTCCTCGCCAAGTAGCTCCACCTCGTCAAGTATCACAGTCGATCAAGCCACATTACTGCCGACCACCACTAGTGCTTCTTCGACTTCGACTCCGGGATCAAATACCAGCTCGACCGCATTCTCTTCCTCGAGTTCCTTCAGCACGAGTCAAATATCAAGCTCATCAACGACAACGAGCGCCTCATCGACATCCACGTCTTCAAGCATTACGGTTGACCAGGCCACCTTGCTGCCGACTACCTCAAGGGTTTCTTCGACGTCAGCGTCAGGCTCAAGCACTAGTTTGTCCGTGACTTCCTCCTTAACTTCGTCCTCCAGTCTCTTCAGCACAAATCAGAGCTCATCGTCATCCGCACCCACATCACCGACACAGACCTCAACGAGCAGCTCGGCAAATAACTCTTCCCCCACAAGCCCCACTGCGAATGCTGCTACGTTGCTCTCAACATCGACTAGCACCTCATCAGATCAAAGTTCGAGTTCCTCCAGTACAGTTTCGACTTCTTCCAGCTCATCGATCAGCATTTCTGTTTCTCAAACTTCGTCTCCTTCAAGCAGCCTTCTCACCAGCTCATCGTCACCCAGCTCATTCAGTAGCTCTACTTCTTCCAGCGTGTCTGTTAACCCCGCCACATTGGTACCTACAACTTCTAGCGCTTCGACGAGCAGTTCTTCAAGCAGCTCCCAGAGCAGTTCATCGTCAACAAGCACCTCTTCTAGCCCTGCTACATCTTCATCTGCGTCTAGCGGTACCTCAGCGCCGACCAGCACCTCCTCGTCAATTATCTCGAGTACAACATCGTCAGTCAGTGCGACGGCGAACGCCGCCACGCTTCTTCCCACAAGTAGTAGTACTACATCGTCCTCTTCGAGTAGTTTCGGTAGCAGTTCTTCTTCTTCTTCTAGCTTTACAGTCAGCGCAAGCTCCACTACTAGCGGTACAACATCTAGCAGTAGCTTGTTCAGTAGCTCTTCCTCTGCCAGCCCAACTGCCAACGCCGCCACACTGCTTCCTACGACAAGCAGCACAACAGTGTCATCTTCAAGCACTGTGACTAGCAGCTCGTCGTCATCGAGCTCAACGTCTAGTTTGGGCTCCACTACCAGTAGTACCATCTCCAGCACTACTTCCTCCGCCACTGCAACAGCCAATCCAGCTACGTTGCTGTCATCAAGCACTGGCTCAACAGCGACACCATCGAGCAGCTCCACAAGCAGCTCTTCATCCTCTCTCAGCTCATCGACCAGCTCAGCCACAGTTGCCTCTACTAGCAGCAGTACAATTGCTAGTAGTAGTCTGTCTAGCACGTCTTCTTCTTCTTCTTCTTCTTCAACCAGCGCAACAGTGATAGCAGCCACACTCCTGTTAACGACCAGTAGCGCTCCTACGAGCAATCTTTCGACTACCTCATCTTCATCTTCAAGGGCAACGACAAGCTCCTCATCAATTGCAACGAGTATCTCTTCTGTCAGCACTACATGGTCCTCGTCTTCTTCATCCAGTCCAACGATTAACGCGGCTACTCTGATATCCACCTTCACTAGCGGGACGCCCACGAGCAGCAGCTCTGCCACCAGTTCTTTCCCCAATACCGCAGCAAGCTCTTCGAGTTCAATCTCCACCACCAGTACCACTTCTACGAGTACGAGCAGGTTCTCGAGCAGCTCCTCAACTAGCAGTTCGTCTTCTTCAAGCCCGACGGTTGAAGCAGCCTCATTGGTATCCACCACTAGCAGTGATTCTACAAGCAGTAGTTCTTCTACCAGCTCAGCATCTCCCACTGCTACCAGCTCTTCGAGCTCGACATCCACGAGTAGCGGCATTACTACCAGCCCATCATCTAGCAGTTCTGCTCTTAGCTCTTCTTCCACTTCTTCGAGTGCGACGGTCAACGCAGCCACCCTGCTGTCTACAACGAGCTCTACAACAAGTGCTTCGACAAGTACCTCGACAAGCAAAAGCTCGACATCTAGCACGGCGTCTGTAACCAGCACTTCAAGCAGCTCTTTGAGTAGTTCTTCGAGTAGCTCTACCACCGCACCTACGGCGAACCAAGCAAGCTTGATCTCTACATCCAGCAGTGCCACTACTAGCACCACCAGCTCTACCTCTAGTAGTTCTAGTACTAGCAGTATAGCCAATACCTCTTCGAATTCGTCTACTAGTGTCACGGTCAACCCCGCAACTTTGATTCCCACAACAAGCAGCACAACAAGCAGCAGTAGTAGCACGACGAGCAACAGTACTTCTACGAGTACGAGTAGCTTGAGCAGTATTCTTTCAAGCACCTCATCTTCGAGCGTCACAGTTAACGCGGCGAGCTTGGCCTCGACTACAAGCAGTCCTTCAACGTCAACCTCTAGGACGTCAACCTCGTCATCACTCTCGCCGACCTCGAGCAGCTCTTCCTCAAGCACAGTTGCAACTTCGTCTTCATCATCGTCTTCTTCTTCTTCAAGCTCATCTACAAGCTCCTCATCGAGCTCATCTTCAAGCTCATCTGCTAGCGTTGCGCCCAATACGTTGCTGACTTCATCAAGCGCTTCGACATTCTCCACACTGACGAGATCGTCGTCTTCCTCGACGTCTTCGTCTACTTCAAGCAGCTCTTCTTCGTCTTCGTCAAGCAGCGTCAGTGTCCAGTCAAATACGCTGGCCTCAATTAGCTCGAGCTCAAGCAGCACTTCCTCAACTTCAACCACGACAAGCACAGCATCGAGCTCATCGTCCTCCTCAAGAGCCGGCAGTACCTCAACATCGTCTTCGAGCTCGACTTCCTCAAGTTCGAGCTCAAGTTCGAGTTCTACCTCAATCTCATCCTCAACCTCGTCTTCTTCACGAACTACCACATCAACGAGCAGCTCATCTAGCTCGAGTAGCAGTAGCACGAGCACTTCATCTACTTCATCCAGAGTCGTGGCTTCAGCGACGCAAGGTCCCGCATTCTCGTGTCCTACGACCGGATTTCTCATTCAGTCCCTAACCCTCTTCTCACTGAATCTAGCCACCGGTGAGCGAACCCAAATTGCCGACAACGTGGGCGGAGACTCAGCCCGCAACATCAACGCCTTGGGCTACAACGCAAGAGAGGACTACCTCTACGGTATCTCCCAGAACGAGGGCGCCACCGACTTCAAGATCATCCGCATTCTGGCCAACGGCACAGGCACCTACGTCTCTACGGTCAACAAACTCACAACCGGTCTGTTCAACTCGGGCGACATCGACGAGTACGGTCAGTACTGGATCTCAACTGGTGGCACCGACTACTACCAGTACAACTTCGCTCCCGGCACGTCAAACTACGGAGGTCTCGTCAGCAGTGGTAAGCTCAGCGGTACTGGTGGTTACACTATCGGTGACTGGACAGTCGTACCTGGCGTAGGGGGTGGGGATCTATGGTCCATCGGCGTGAGCGGTCAATCTGCCTACCTGTTGCGTTGGAACCGGTCCACTCACCTCTTCACAACGGTTCGCAACTTGGGCAACCTCACAGGAGCAAGTTCCAGCTTGACGCCTTTCTGGGGTGCCAGTTATGCCACCACAGATGGGTACCTTTTCGCAGTCGAAAACGGCACAGGCCAAATATGGCGTATTGCTGTCGATGGTTCTTCCGCCCCCTTGAGATTGAAGGATGCACCAGTCAGCAGTCGAAATGATGGTGCCAGATGTTTGGACTCCGGTGCCATTGTTGTTGGTAGCTAAGCGTGACCTGATATCTCAATGGATTTTACTTCTTCTTTGTCTTTGCAAGGCCTCTATGACATGTAATACTTAGGCTAGTACCGTATTGGGGTATTATCATTTGCTTCTACAGAGTTCATCGAGAACGATGGTTAATGAACACGACTTAGACACTGAACTAATACATATAACGATAAATTTTCAGTTGTAAATCTCCAAGATCAAGTCGTTCATCCCTGCCAGCTCCCAAGAGTCAGTCCCGAGGCGTTGCTGTCTTGAAGGCTCCATTGCCGCAGCGTACTTTATCCAGTGCCCGACGCCCGTATAAATACGACCCTGGTGCCAGCAGAAATTGCCCAGGCAACCAAGCCACTTATAGTCGCATAAGGCGCCGAATTTCCCACGGAGACTAAATATGGCATCGATGCTTCCGAGTCGCAGTGAAGACCAAGCTACTTCGCTTCGAGGCCCCAGGCCGGTGCTGGCAGTAGACACCAGACCTAAATGTAATTCACTTCCAGGCATCATCGCCTTGCACATATACCTGTATGTATATATACGAGAAAGTATCTGAAGACATGCGGTTCTTGTGATAAGATGATTATTGTAAGAGGTTCATATCGAGTTATGGCACGATCAAAGGCCCTACCTCCAACTATCCAATACGACCCAACCAATACAGATACCATGCTCAACGTAGCTATATGTAGGCTTCCAGATCCTAGGGAACCTAATCACTGGGCTATAAATAACCAAGTAATTACGAAGTAGAGAGGGTTCTCTACACCAAATTCACGATAATATCAGTGACCGAGGTTGTCACATAAGGTAGCTCCAACACGCAGGGGCATTAAGGCCTAGCCATGCCCGTGCGATTAGCCAGCACATGCTAATTGATTAAGTTTTCGACTTATTTAGCGCAACCATTCGAAGAGTCAGCCTTTCTACATGTGCTCCCCAATGTACAAGTTCAAGTGAGGGCATTCCTAAAGAAACCCTCACTCCAAGGTGTAAGGCTGAAAGGTAGGCACGCAATTTGTGTTGTTGCGAGCGAGCCAAAATGCTCAGCGCGTTGTCAAGCGTAACTGGCAGTCTTGTGCCCGTTTCAAACAGGACTGCATGCTAGCTGCAAATAATCCCCAGATCTTCAATCCCGCGTTGCTGATATAGACTTTAGGGTTATATCACAGACCAGCATCAGTTAAGCTTCAACTTGGTTGCGCGGGCCTCGAAGTCTCCCGAGTCCCAAAGTTCCAACGAGTCAAGACCCATGCTAATTTTGGCACAGATTTGGCACTAGAGGATCGTGTTTCTCTCAGTAGTTACTCATCACAAGGGTCGCAAGGGATCCCAGCCCGCCTTAAATTGCTTAAAATGCGTCCCCAAGCCAACTGAAAACTGTGAAAAATAACGCTTTATGCTGTAAATCAGGCCTAGCTTTACATCCACGGTCGCTATGAACTCTGACGTCGCCGGTTCCGCACAACAACTTGATTTTTCTCTACCTCCCCCATCCTCAGAATTCTCGCCCGTTGGTTGAGAGTCATTCATACCAACAAATATTATATCACACCGGGGTCACCGGATGTCACGCCATATATAGCATTGTTTGCCTATTCCCACTCCACTGTGAAAATCGCCAAGATGCCAAAAGAGGAGGAAAAAAGGGGTTCGCCGTTCATATTGGGTAGGACCCGGAGTGACTTACATGGGGTCTCCACCACGGATTGACCGTTACACTGCCGGCAGCCGAGGCTCGGGATGAGAGATTGAAGAACTACATAGATGGCGGTGGTTCCTCACTCGCTCGTCTTGTTTCTCTTTTGTAATTCCAGTGCCATCACTGATTGCATCCACACTCGTTTTCGACAGTCGTTCTTTGAATTTGGATCAAGATGAGCGCCGTCACCAAGTTTGGGTTTGAATACCAGACTGCCACTATCAATGGCGTCGAATACAACTACATTCACGCCGAGCCGGCAGGCAAGGTAGTGGGCACAATCTTCCTCATCCACGGGTGGCCCGATATGTCCCTGGGGTGGCGCAACCAGATTCCTTACCTCCTGTCCAAGGGCCTCCGGGTCATTGCTCCGGACATGATGGGGTACGGGGGTACTGATGCGCCCGCCGACGTCAACTTCTAGTGAGTCTCTTGCATCCAGTTCCATATTTGTGTCGACGAGTAAAGCTTAGCCGAAGACTGACCAACGCAACCAGCACATTCAAGCACGCCTCAGATGACATTGCCGCCCTCGCCAGCCACCTCGGTCTCTCGCGCATCATCCTTGGCGGCCACGACTGGGGCGGAGCGGTCGTCTACCGCGCAGCCCTCTGGCACCCGGAGCTGATCTCGGCCTTCTTCGTCATCAGCACGCCCTTCGCGCCCCCACGTCTGGCATACGTCGATCAGGCCACCGCGCTGCCCACGCTGCACTACCAGCTGCAGTTCCGCACCGACGCCGTCCAGGATTACATTGGCCTCGGCGACGTCCAAAACGCCACCCGCGTCCGCCAGATCCTCAACACAATCTACGGCGCCAGGCTGCCTAGCGGCGCATCAGCCTTCAACTCCAGTGGGGCCGGATTCGACTTTGACTTGCTCGATGGTGTAACGACGGACACGCCGTTGCTCAGCGAGGAGGAGCTCGACTACTACGTGGAGAACTATGCCGGGAGCGACCCTTTCAACAGGACGCTCAACTGGTACCGCACCGGCGAGCTCAACTGGCAGGACGAGCTCGCGCTTGTCCCCAGCAATGCTACCGCGTACACGGCCAAGTACTCGCAACCTGCGCTGTACATTGGCGGTTCGCTCGACTCGGCGCTGCCTCCGATTTTGTCGACGGGTATGGAGACGTACTTTGATAGCTTGTCCAGGGGCGAGGTGAATGGCACGCACTGGGTCATGTGGGAGAAGCCCGAGGATGTGAACAGCTATGTTGGTAACTGGTTGAGCAGCTCAGTATTGGGAAATCTGAGTGTCGGTGTGAACGTCACGGCTGGAAACGCTCTGGCTTTGCTGTGATCGGCGAGATGTCGGTAGAGGGCCTTGCCTCTGAAAGGACAATGATGCGTATGACCATAAAAATCAGCATTTAATAGAAGAATCTTACCATTACTGAATTTCAATCTCAAGAAACGCCGCTATGAAATCTGAACGCAATCGATCGCTTGACCTCATGATTTAAAGTCGTCAACGCTGCATTTAAAGGTGGGGTGAGGGATGTGCGGTGATGCAGCTGCAGGAAGAGACCATCCGTTCACTGCAGGCCCAGCTGGTTGAACCCCACCGGAGCCACTGACGCCGACCTCCGACTCCACTCAAAATTTCCAGCTCACACTTCATCCCACCTCAGACAAGTCCAAGATCACATCGTATTGCGCCTCAATTGAGAATTCTCTGCTTTCTCGTTGATCCAACGGACATCACGACAATGGCTACCTCTAAGGGCCTCCCTCGCGACACGTTCGCCAAGCTCTCCCCTCACCCCTTCCTCCTCGCAAACCTCCAGCCTCCCGCGCCCGCCAACGCCGCGAGAAGCAACGGCCGCGCACCCAACGAAGCTCGAATCCCCAATGTCAACACCTCCAGCTTGACCCATGCCAACGGAAGCGCTGTGGTCCGTACGGGCGATACAACCGTCATCTGCGGTGTCCGTGCCGAGACACTTCTCGCCTCCGATATCCCCAACTTCCGCACCGCCGCGAATCTCGATGACGACAACGGCAAGCCCAGCTCAGAGCTGAAGGACTACGACCTGCTCGTCCCCAACATCGAGCTCGCCACCGGCTGCGCGCCGCAGTTTCTCCCCGGCGTACCTCCCACCACACTCGCTCAGACTCTTAGCACGAGAGTATACTCGCTGTTGCATTCCTCCAACCTCGTTGATCCAGAGAACCTGAGAATATGGTACACTCGCCCTACCGAGAATGCCGGAGCAGAGGACGATGGAGATGACAAGATGGACGAGGACGAAGAGAAGCCCGAGGGCGAAAAGGTTGTCATGGCGTACTGGGTTCTGTACATCGACATTTTCTTCATCTCCTTCGACGGCAACCCCTTCGACATTGCCTGGGCCGCTATCCTGGCCGCCCTCCGCGACACAACAATCCCCGTCGCACGATGGGACGCAGACCGCGAGATGGTCGTCTGCACCCGAGAGAGCCTCAAGCCCCTGACGCTGCACGGCTTTCCCGTCGCGTGCACAGCCGGCGTCTTCACAGGAAAGGAGACGGCGGACCGGCCCGCCGCCGGCAAGTTCTGGACTCTGGTCGACCCGGACAGGTTGGAGGAGAGTCTATGTGATGAAGAGGTTACGGCAGTGGTGGATCGAAGTGAGGGAGAGACGAAGGTATTGGTGATATCAAAGCATGGTGGAACGGTACTGCAGCCGCAGCTCATACGGGAGTTTGTGGGCGTTGCGGAGCAGAGATGGGAGCAGTTTTACAAGGCCATGGCATGAAGATAATGATACCCACCAAAAGGAAGAAACAAAAACCCAAGACGTTCGGGCAAAGGAAGCTTTTCTCTCTGATGTATCCTCAGGCTATGCTCTACCCGTCCAAGGTGGCAACCGGTTCCCCCTATCGTGAGCTTTGATGTGCCAGCCGCCTTTCACCCACCAGCCGCCTTTGGTGCGGTCCGGGTGAAGGTGAAGGCGCATACCTACTTGAGCCCATCAACTTCCATTATCTTTTCTCTGACACGTTCTTCTAAAGCTTCCAGGCCTCTTTCCTTACATCACCTTGCAAAATCAGCATCGCTGGAGGAAAGAAAAAAAAAACATCATCACCACTTTCTGGGAATTTTACTTCAGAAAAACCAAGCATCATCATCCAGCCATGGCCCCCATGCATTCTCGAATCCAGGAGGCCTCGAAGGAGGAACTCGTCATGGTCCTCAAGGCCGTCTGCAGCTTCGCCGGCACCCACTACCACGTCAAGAGCGTCCTCGACTACCTCGACGAGAAGAAGCAGTCGGACGCCGCGGCCGCCGCCAGCCGTCGCCGTCGCCAGTCTACCCGCGCCTCCTTGTCTATGAAGAGCTGGGCTCAGCCGCTCCCCAAGGTTGTGAAGCGCAACATCAAGATGTGCTCCAACTGCGAGTTGCCCTTCACCGAGAACGAGAACACTGATGAGTCTTGCCGCCATCACCCTGGTACGTTGTGATCCAACCAAAACACGCCCCCTACTTCATTTTGTTCGGTATGGAATGGAAGTATGCTGACGAAGCACGTTCAACGCAATAGGCAAGTGGCTTCTCGAGTGCGAGAAGGGCGACAAGATCGAGTTCGTGGATCTTGACAAGGCCGGCGAGGAGTTCACTTCCAACGAGCAGGCCCTGCGCATCCTCGACTGCTGCAACAGCGAGCGTGGCGTCAGCAAGGGTTGCATCGCGGGCAAGCACGTCGCCATGGTCGCGGATGTCGACACCAGCGAGATCTCTGTCTCATCCAACAACGGCCCGGCCGACAACTAAGGGCAAACCCGGCAACACGATAACGAGACATGATTATGATACCACAAGAACCAATCGAGGGCATTTCTTTTTAGGGTTATAGGTCTGCTTGATTATACAGAGTCGTCGGTACCCGAGTAAGGTACAGCAGAGTTGCGCTAGGAATTGTTACGAGGCATACGAATAGGTCACGGCAGGTTTTCGCTAGGTGGCAGAGGACTATCAGTAGGAATGGACGGAGGCCTAGTTCATTTGCTTCGGTTCATAGAATCAACTTAGCAAAAGCACAACGCTTCTTCATCTCCCTGCTAAACACACGAGACACACAATGAGCGTGAAGCGGTGAAGATATGTATTCCACAATTCGAGCCACCTTTTCAGACGTTATTCTAAGGCGGCAGATACTAGGGAAATTCCTTCTACCGCCCGGCGCCGAGGAAGCCTAATGAAAGGCCCTCATGAGCTGCGAATCTACAGAATGTTGACTCGCGGCTTGGTTACCGAGCGGATGGTGAAGGAAGGAGAAAAGTAAGAAAGTCGCGCTTTCCTTGCGAAATTTTAGGCGAGCCAGCTACAGTGCCGAAAGGACAGTGCCCGCTGTGGCTTTCACACATTCCAGCCTCCGTTTTCCAGGTTCCCCACCACGGAGCCCCATCGTCAATCTTCCAGGTTCCAACCTCAGCTCTCGACTTCTACCGCAAATTTTCCCTCATCGCTCTTCCTTTCGACCTTACACTTCCAACACCATGGAATCGCTGGCCGAGCAGACGTGGGATGTCATACTCCACGGCACTGGCCTGCAGCAGTCGCTGCTAGCCTTGTAAGCTCCTCTTCTTCCTGGCCTCTCTTTTCTTTCCCAGCCCAAGTCGTCGTCTTTCGGCATCGTTGTTTCTTGGAAAAGCCTCGGTCTGACTGACGCAGTCTCGCTTGGCCGTGAAGAGCCCTCTCGCGGTCAGGAAAGCAAATCCTGCACCTCGACCCCAACGAATACTACGGTGGCCCCGAAGCCGCCTTCAGTCTGCAGGAGGTTGAAGAGTGGGCTGCTGCAAACGCCACTGTCGCCGACGATGCCACAGGATCATCGCGCGTCTTCTCGTCGGCGGTCGTGAGCAAGCCCGACGTAGCGACAGGCTCTGGGCCTTCACTCTCCTTCCCGAGAGCCTACTCCCTCGCTCTCGCGCCACAGATCATACACACCCGCTCAGAGCTCGTGAAGCAGCTCGTGTCGTCGCGCGCGTTCAGACAGATTGAGTTTCTTGCCGTTGGGTCCTTTTTCATCTATACCCCACCAGCCGTCGGCAGCGGGTTCGAGAATGGAAGAGCGAGCCTTGTGCCGATCCCCTCGACTCGCGAGGCCGTCTTCTCCACGACCGCGATCCCTGCGAGGGCGAAGCGGTCGCTGATGAAGTTCCTCAAGTTCGTCTTCGACTACAACTCGGAGGACAACAAGGGCATATGGGCTCCGCATGCCGAGAAGCCTCTGTCGGAGTTCTTGCTGTCCGACTTCAAGCTGGACGCCGCGCTGCAGACCTACTTCGTCACGCTTACCTTGAGTCTGGACGGCAAGGTCACGACCAAGGATGGCCTGGCCGCTATCCACAGACACCTCTCTTCCATGGGTGCCTTCGGGCCGGGCTTCGCCGCAGTATATCCCAAATGGGGCGGCCTCTATGAGATTGCGCAAGTTGGTTGCCGCGCATGCGCCGTTGGTGGTGCAGTCTACATGCTAGGCACGGGCATGAAAGCCACGCGCCAGCTCGACGAAGGCCAGGACGGTGGCGCCCGCTTCGGGGTCGACTTGACCAGCGACGTCACGGTGAAATCCCGGACGTTGATTCGCGGCACTGAAGAGGTTGCCTCCGACAGCCAGCGCGTGAGCAGGTTGACTGCAGTCATCAACTCGCCGCTCTCATCTCTGTTCGAGGCTGTTGTCGAAGGATCACCTACACCAGCTGTAGCAGTTATTGCATTTCCGGCCAAGTCCATCGCCGACGTTGCATCATCATTCCCCATCTACGTCTTTGCTCATTCAAGCGAGACTGGGGAATGTCCAACCGGTCAGAGTAAGTTCACACAACTTTCTACTTTTCCCTCACAAGCCCCCCATGGTACACATGATGATTTCAGAAAAAAACTTATCTACATTGCCTGAGCCTTGCTTTGACGTAAACTTCTGTGGAACTGATTGTACACATCCTCTTCACACTTTGACCTATGATTACCTCGTTGTTTTGTCACATGACTAACCAGGTCACTGTTTAGGCGTTCTCTACTTCGTCACTCCAAAGACATCAACCTCAACCGAAGCCTTGGAAAAGGCTTTGGCGTCGTTGCTCTCTGCCCTCGGTAATGGCGAAGACACGCCAGAGGCGATTTACAAGGTCGCGTACCAACAGGCACATGCGGCTGTGTCAGTTTCCGCGGATGCATCAGACGTCATTCCCAGTTTGCCGCTCGATCTCGCCTTCAGCGACACGGCTCTGGAACCTGTCAGGGACGCTTGGAGGAAAGTCATGGGCCCCGCAGCTGAGGACCCCGATATTGTCTACATGAAGTTTGAAGATCGGGAAGGCGTTGGCGATGAGGAGGATGATGTATACGAATAGTCTCTAGCTTTTCAAATGAGTGCACGTAATAATGAATCGCGATGACTTTTTTCGAAATGAAGTACTTTTCTTTGAATGTAGCTAATGTGTGTGTGATGTCTAGCAAGTCTGTTGCCCGTATGTGATCCCAATCCCCTGAGATAGCAATTCTGAGTTCCCAAATTCTCCTCCCCGACTGATACCTTGACTGCAGAAATTTCTGGGTGTCTTTCGATCTTCGAGAAGAAACCTCTTACTTCAATGACCTTTCCGGATGAAACACCTTCATCCTGACCCGAAAAATCAAATGCGTTGCGCGGCAAAGTTGAAAATCAAAGACGCAGAAAATGAAAAACGAACCTCCCTTCCCGAACCAAACTTTTCAAGCAAGCAAATCTCTCCCCCAATGTTTACGTTCAAGCAACTTGCAGCATTTGATATCCCATCTCGTTATGTCGTGTAAGAAATCGATCGTTGAATACGCTGTTCAGTCGTCACTCCTCGCTGTTGATGTGCGCCGTCATGTCAACTCCAATTCGAATGGGTCCGAAGGGCTGAAGGTCCGCGACATGCTGCTCGACCGTAATGGCGTCCTTGGTCGCTAGAGACAGCACGTGGTAGAACGCCTGGGCCGCGACGACGTGGTTCTGCTTCGTGGGCTCAATGAGATCATCGAACTCGACCCATCGGCGGTTCTTCTTCACATCACTCTCCTTAATCTGGCCCGTCTTCTTGGCCTCTTCCTCGGTCCATTGCAGGAACTCCCCACTTGCGGTGTCGAGCATCGATCGCATCCATTGAGAATCGTTCTCGCCTTCCTGCTGGGCATCGACCAGAATCCCGGCCGGTCCATCGGATGCCAAATCCTGTGATGCGGGCATGTCGAAGGGAAGGGCGTCGAAATCATCCGTGTGCTGCGCATCATGAAGCGGCTCGAACGGTGGCATGCTGCTTCCGCGGATGCTGGCAGACTTCTGACGACTATGCCGCTGAGCGCTGTGGCTGGCAACGGAAGAGCCTCTGCCCACCGAGGGGGTTTGGGCCCAAGGCATCATGGAGGATGAATGGTTGTCGCGCATTGGCTGGCCAGCTTCCATGCCCATCTCGGGCATTGAATCATCGCCGAATTCCATCTCGAAGCCAATGTCGTCGTCCATAGAGCGGCCCTGCTGTGGAGTCTCGTCGACCCTGGGCCGAACGTTTCGGTCCATATTTCCATCGCCATCCTCTCCAAATGCATCGCCTGCTCGTCTCCGACGGCTCTTGGGGGAAGGTGTCTGAGCCTCGCGCTCTTCTTCGGTGGGTGGGCCGTAAATGATATCCCGAAGGCCTTTGCCCGCGAACATTTCAGCCAAGGGAAAGTCAGCCCCATAGGTACCCACGCCTCCAATGCCCTTTCCAAAAACAAAGAAGTAGGCGTTCTCTTTGGCTTGGTTGGAATTGCCCTTGCGCCTTTTGTTTGCTCTTTTCGCGTTGTCGAGATAGTCTTCCTGCCAGGATTTGAGGGTTGAACGGGAGAGTTGCGTGCCGTTATCCAGCTTTATAATGCGGCGACGCTTCTTGGAAGGAGCAACAGCTTGATCACTCTGAGCTCCCCGCGGAGTTCCAGGGACCAATGGCGCATCACCCGAGACTGGAAGAGGATCGCTTCCGAGCAAGGGAACAGCATCTTGAGCGTCGACAGCGAAGACATCGCCAGCAACCTGATGCGCGTCCGCACCCTGATCATGCTGAATTGGAAAGTCGACCTCACCCATGTCGATTCCTGCAAGCTCGGGTAACTCGAGCTCATGTTCGTCCAGGATCACTGCTCCATTTTCGTCAATGGCTAGCTCCACGCCACCAAAGTTATCGAAGTCGTCCAGAGCTCCAAACGGGTTTGCATTCATGTCGAGTTCCATATCGTCCCGAGATCGAGGAAGGAGCGTCTTCTGTGCAGATCCTTGAGCGAAGGGGGAAGGCAAGCGGAAATCCGGGATATCTGGCGACTGGGAGAAGTCGAGATGGAAAAGCGAATTTCCGTGGCCGCTGTCGTCAAGGAAGTCAATGGGATCGGGAAACGGACTGAGTTGCGACTGCGACTTGTTTTTAGACCCCGAAGAAGGCTGACTTCCAGCAACGAAGCAGGGATTACCGTCCTCGTCGATGGTGAAGTAGGGCATGACACTCGTAGGAACGAAGCCCGGGTCGTCGCTCAAGGTAATTTGCTCGCGCCTGTCAAAGTCTGTAAGCGTGTTGAACCAAGTGACAGTTCTTGGTGAGTTTACCTCGCTCTTCCGGCTTTGGGGTCAGTCTCGTTGTTGGCAATGAGTCTGAGGAAGGTTCTCATCGTCGTCTGAACCTTCTCTGTATCGGTGAGCATGTATTTACACTGCGACGAGTAGACGCGAGAGACGCCATAGAGCAGATTGCTCTGCAAGCGCAGAGAGATGGGCGCTCCCGGTTGAATGATCTTCTCGCAGGCCTTCCGAATATCTACATCTTCGATGGCCCGACGCGACACCTTTTTGTGAGTACCGGCGCCACGAGGACCAACGGTGGCAATGACCCTGGAGATAAAGAGTCAGTATCAGGGCTAGTTCAACGGACAAGATCTTTACTCACCAGATTGTCGCAACGCCGAACTGGTGGCTGGTGAGGACTGCTTGGTATTAGAGACTTCTCGGGCCAGGGCTAGGAAATAGATGACCAACTCTCGTGGCTATAGAACATGATGGCTTCTACACAAGAGATCAACGCCGTCGTGGCGGGTTTTCGAGGCTTCGAGACAACTAGACTTGGCGGAAAGCAGGAGGTTGGGCGTGGTCTTTGTGATGTTGATGTGGAAGTGACTGGGTGAGAGTGGAAGAAAGAAGAAGGAACGAGGTAAAGGAAGTACAAGTAGTCGCGTCGTCACGTTTCGACGGAGGAGGCAGGTTGGAAGGTGCTTTCCGTATTTGGGCTTCTTTGCCTCGCGCTTGCCCAAATGCTCCTGCCATGTCCAGAGTTTCCCAACGTCTGGAAGGCATGTTGGCCAGTGGGCACCTGCCTCGTCTTGCAATAGATCAAAGCAGGTAGAGGGAGCCCAGTTCCAGACTGTCTGACTTACGTCTGGTCTGGTGCTTCAAGTTTCGCCCCAAACATCAGACTCAAGGCATCAGTCTGGATGCCCCTCTCTGAAGACTCGATATGTAGGCTAGCGGACACATGAAGACTCATTTGTTATTATGACTTGGCCAGATTTATGCGCCTCATAGTTAGGTAATAATTTCTCAAGATTTGTTCATCTAATTATTCACACTCAAACTGCTGATGTTATAATCTTGGTCGGCCGTCGTCATCATCGATACTGTTTCCTCATGCATGAGTAAGGTAGTCTCAGAAACTTCACCCGGCCTGAAGTTATGGCGAAGCTTTTTAGCATCATACAGTATGATTTACTGGTGCTTTTAAAGCTTAGGAAGATATGGCATCAATACCCAGCTAGATTATTGACGTGGTATTCTTACTTGAATGGAGTCCAATCCAGTGAGATGTGCGAAGATGGGGGCATTCGGTGCCTTGGGGACTACTAGAAAGTTTTACTCTCCTCGAGTACTGAACCCAGAGGTCAGGCTATGTATTTACAGCATTGCAATGAACAAGATGGCACCACGTTGTGAAAAGATTCGCATCCGTGGTCAACGAGGACGGCCAAGGACAAAGGCAGAGCTTGAATTATTGAGTAATATTGTCCCTATATCGAAATACCAAGCTTCGACTCAAGTTTGGCATTGTATTTCAATTGAGAAGTGTTTCAAGCTTTCCCAAGAGGATCAAACTAAATGAAAGTGTAGTACTTTTCTGTGAATCGCTTTATCATCTAGGTACTCCGCGAGATCGCGAGCATTAATTCATCCTTTGGTTGAAGTTGCGATTGAACTCCATATGACATAAGCATTGGGCGCTTGCTTGACAGATCCGCCAGACGAGCACAGACCCTTAGACCCCTGCAAGATCCGACCGGGCCCACCTCGAGTAAGGTAACCCCCGGAGGTCGGCAGGCTGATATTCCGCTGGGTCGTTGCTGGGTCAGGCCTGGATGCCTTTTCGCATTGGAAAATCATCACTACGGGCCAGGTAAAGTCGACCATAGCAAGGCACTTTCTTTGTCCCCCAGAGCCAAAGGCACAACAGCACCTCGGCGGCCACCACACACTCCTTTTACCAGACTCCTTTACCTCCCTGCGTCCGAGTTAGAGTACGATTGTTTGTGTTTGCCTGCTTCGAAGCACGTCGAAGCTCCCCATACCGCCGCCTCTGCGACAGCTACCCCGGACGGTATTACTCGACGAGGCAGCATCCTCCTAATCCCAACAAAACGATGGCGCCCCTTATCCTCCACAATGTTCCCGACGAGGAGCTTTACATCGGCGACGACGGTATCAAACGCCCTTACGCCATGGTTTTCCCGCAGTACGTCTCACGCCCAATGGCGCGCAACTGCAAGCTCAATGCCACGCGCAATGACATGCCGCTAACACAGACTTTCCTCCTCTTAGACAAGAAGGCCTTCCTGGCGCCCGTAACCGCCGCGGTGTAGCAGAGACAGGTTCCTTTGGCAAATCCACACGCCGCTCGCGGTCACGAACAGGAACCCCAGCCGGCCGTCGCGAAAACCCAACAGTAGTAGCCGCCGACAAGATATTCGGCGACTGGATCTCCTCCCAAGCCATAACCTCCAACTCCAACCTCGCTCCCTCATCAGCAACAGGAAGCGGCGCAACGAATGCTTCCGCCTCCGGTGCCAACGCCGCACCCCAGCGCAAGACCTCTGGCCTCTCGCAGCCGCCCCTCCTCGCGGCCGACGACGCGCCCGCCGCTGCCGCCGAGCCCCGCGTAACCCGTCACGTCCCAACCGAAGTCGTCCTGCGCGGCTACCGCTCCCCGTCGCAACAGTACGCCGCAATCTCTCACTACGAGCTGCTCGCCGGCCTCATCTGCGAAGACTACCCCCGCGAACCGCCCCTCGAGCAGCGCCGCTACAAGTCGGAGCTCCGCGACCCGGCCTTCACCCGCCGAAGGGCCCTCACGCCCGAGGAGCGCGCAAAGGTCAACCGCGCCGAGGGCGGCCAGCACTGGATCAAGGTCACCTTCGAATCTGCCGACGCCGCCGATGCCGCCGTCTATGCCAGCCCCCAGCGCGTACAGGGCTACCTCGTCTACGCGGAACCCTACCACGGCCACCCGCCCGCCCGCGACGAGCCCATCCCGGACGTCGACTGCCTCGTCCCCAGCCACGATGATCTAGGCCGCTCACAGTCCGTTCCCGGAGGCAGCTTCGGCACCCACCGGACGCCGCGCAGTAAACACCGCACCGCATCGTCCAACAAGCCCAGCGGCGGCAACCTCTTTGCCCTCCCCAACGCCCGCTCCATGAGCGACCTCTCCCCGCCCACATCCCTCACCTCCTCCGACACAATCGAGACGGCCACAATCTCCAATGCGACAAACTCGTCCGCAACAGTGACCGCCGACCCCTTCTCGCAGCAAGGGTCCTCATCAGCGCTGACCACCGCCCCAACCACCGAAGACAGCCTCTTCTGCCGACGCATCCCCACCGCGCGCAAGGCTAGACTCCTCCCCGCCGAGCAGGCCCTGCTGCCGCAGCAGAGCTACACCCAGAGGCTCGTCAACATGGTGCCCTTTTTGAAATGGTTCAGCGGCTCCATGATTGGCAACGAGGTGCCGCGCACCGATAACGGCGACTTTGACTGGAACCGCGCCAGCTTGTACTGGAAGGTCATTTGCTGGCTCGATGCGACGTTTGGGCTCTTTGGCGGCGAGATAATGAGTGCTGACAAGGATGATTAAGGGGCGTCGGTTAGAGCCATGGATTCGGGGGCGAGTGAGAATTTTCAATAAAGGGGGCTTGTGGATTTTACTTGACGGGTGAGAAGGATGGCGTTTGGTAGGGGGAGGGGAAACGGGCGGGTTTTTAAAAAGTTTCATGTTCTATACGAATACCACGCGCATAACTACTTGTTTATAGTTGATAGATTGGGCGAGCAGAAGCAGGTTTGGTCAGAGACCAAGTACCGAAACAGACAAAGATTCGAAGAGGCTCAGGCGAAAAGATACATCATAGCTTGAGACTAAGAATTGTGAGATGCAGAATTGTGTGCAAAAAGACTTTGTCAACCAGAATATGTATGAAAGACTATGTATCTATGCCAAGCGCCAAAAGGGGATAGCGAGAGAGGTGCGTACCGTCCCCTTAATCCACCAGGTAAGGTAAGTAGAAAAATAAAGAACGCCGCCTCTAAATGGGTATAACAAGAATGAATCATGACTTCTTTTTCGCCGCCGTCAAAAACCCCGAGCAGAGCAAACCGCCGCCGCCGCGACATACAAGAAAAATCTAGGCGTCGTCTTCATTTACACTCCACCGCCGCCCCGGCCGCCCTCTCTCCTCCGACCCGTCTGCGACTTCCGGCGCGTCCTGCTCGGCAGTGTCTTCTACGATGGCAGCTTCTCCCAGCAATGTCGCGGTGTCGCCTTGTTCTCCTTCTCCTCTCTCGGAAGGACTCTTGGAATCAACCGGCTCGTCGCCCCAATTCGGCCTCTCCTCAAGAGTCTCTCCCTCGTCTTCCTCCTTGAGCACATCGTGCTGCCTCTGTTCCACCTCATCCTCTGCAACCCTATCCTCCTCGCCCCTCGACTCCTCACTCAACCCGACCCCCAAACTATCAAACGTAACGTCGGTAGCGTGCCGCCGGATAGGCTGGGGCGAAAACGGCCTCACGCCCCTGGGCCGGTTGAAATTCGTCTCGGAAAAGATACTATCCGTATCGTTATCGTCCCCACCAAAACCAGGCGACGGCCCTCCCGCGGCAGCAGCAAGACTCTGGTACCGCTCCGGATCGCTCAGCAGACTATCGCCCCGCGCGTGGCCGCCTCGCCTCGTCATGTCCGACGCCGCGTCCGCGAGGATACTCTTGGGCGGAAGAATGCTAAACAGCTTCGCCGTCTCCGCCGACCCGCCGCCACCGCCTACACCACCGCCAATAACGCTGCCTAGCCCAGAGTGATCGCCGACCTCGTCGCTGGCAAACAGATCCGCGCCCTTTTCCAATAACTCATCCAGCCCGCCGCCGCTCCACCCTTTCCGCGCAAGCGACTCAAAGATGTCGACCTCGGCGCGCACAAGACTACACGACGACTCGAGGATCCGGCCGCTGGTATCCTGGCTCTCCCTGAGCAGCGTCCGCGCGTGCTCCCCGTGCAAGGACGTCAACCCGTCCAGCCTCGTCGTCAAGTCCACCAGGTGCGCCCTGAACTTGCCCACGTCCCGCCTGCGCTGCTTATGCAGCTTCAGCCCTTCCTTTTCCAGCTTCCTGATCTCGGCGTTGCGGGCCTTCACCTCGCGCACGTAGGCCTCCTCTTCGTCGTCGACGCGCTGTCGCCATTGATCGAGCTCGTGGAGCAAGGGGACCTCGAAGTCGCGGTACACGGTCTCGGAGAGGATCTGCTGGTGGTTTGCGACGAGGTGGTGGACGCCCGAGGCGGAGAGGAGCAGGTCGGCGGTGCAGGAGCCCTTTGGCCCGCCGGCGGTGAAGCTCGCCGATAACAGGCCTCCGCCGCCGCCTCCTCCGCCTCCCGAGAGACCGTTTATGCCGCCTGATAGGGACTCGGCGCGGGCTTCTTTTAGTCTTGCGCAGGACTCGAGTGCGGAGCCGAAGGCGGATGCGGCGGTGGAGAGGGAGGCGAGGGCGATGCGGTAGGCCTTTGCGGACTGTATGAGATCGGTGTAGGCCGTCTGGGAGGACTCGAGGTCGGACTTTGTGAGGACGGCGTGGACGGGCTGCGGTGGTGGCGGGAGGGGCAGGTGGTAGGAGGAGAGGGGGTTCGCGGTCGAGGCGAGGGAGTAGACTGGCGACGCGGGGACGGGCGGGAGTTGTGAGGGCGTTGGGGTTATGGGGCGGGAGTCGCCTGGTGCGCCTTGTGATGCCATCGTCGGGCTTGGAGCTTTTTTTCGTAAGTTTCGTGGTGGCCTTTCTCTCTCTTTCGCCGTCTGGGCACGCCTTCTTTTCTTTTTTGTCCTGTTGACGACAGCAACGGCTGCGGTGAGAGGGGAGGAAGATCTCGGGGCTTCGGGGTTGCTATGTGCCGGGGTGTGTGTGCGACTGGACGTCGAGTTATGGGCTTTGTTTTGTTTATCGTGCTCTGTACAACGCCAGTCCGGACGGTGACACGCTCGGGTGTTCGGCGAAGGCCCAAGAATAGGAAAGAAAAAAAAAAGAGTGAGAGCTGGCGATGATAAGTGCTCCCGCAGGATCGATGAAGATAATAAAAAAGGAAAGAAAAGGAAAAGTTGTGGTTGGAGATCTTTTTTGGAGAAATGCCAGACGAACGCCGCCGCTGGCTGCCCGGGTTGCTGCTGGATGCACCTCAGATGCAAGCTGCTGCAGCTTCCCAGGACGGACAGCACAAGGACACCACCCGTTGGGATTTGGGAGGGTTCCGGCTGGCTCAGACTTGGGGCATCTGGCGCATCTAGCGCACCTGGGGCTGGCGTCTTTTTGGCCATCCATGGGGCCCATGGCGCTGGGAGACCTTGTGATTCGGGGGGGACGATGGCACATGGGTGGGGGGAGGAGAGGGACCCGCAGGTGACCCTGGAAGCTGCCCTGCTTTGCGGCAGGCGGGAGTGGAAGCCCAAGGCTAAAGACCAGTTGCTGCGGCACCATACACCACAGTGAAGAGTAGAGGTGAGATAAGACGACGACCCTTGGACGAGACAACGCTAGCGCCATCAAACGGCGGATTGACGAGCTTGCCACAACTTGCTTAGCTTAGTCTGACATGGTTAGGTAAGCTGTGTCTACGTTTGTGGAGACCCTCTCACTGAGTTGCTTAATGAGAGACATTGTCCATGAATGTCACTGAGCGTGATCTCACTCTCATTTCCCACTCACGGGTCTACGAGGCCATTTGAAACGGGAACGATTCTAAAAAAAGCCATCAAAATGAAGGCAACTCATGTCACATCCTCGACTTCTCTCACTCGGGCTTTATGCCCCAATACAATCTCATCGAGCTCCTGGCGTAGTGGGTGCAGGCTTCTGGTATTGTAGATGATGTATCACGTTGTTTATCATCAGCAAGACTGAGCCTATCGAACTTCTTCGCGGTCGAAAAAAGACCATCCCCCCGTGGCTCCTGGGCTCTACCTACGACCCCGTTGCCTCATGCTCTTCCCTCATACATAAACACTTCTTCCAGCCAATATTGAAAAAGTTTCTGCCAACAGCACCCTACTTCTGGGTAGGCGGGAGTCTCTCCAACAAGAAGGCCTCGACGTCGTCCAACTCCTCAGGGCAAGCAGCGTGGCCCAGACCCCTGTGCGTGATGTCAGTATTCCTCTCTAAATGGAATCCAGCCCTAGTTCTCCAACGAGGACGAATAACAAAGTGAGAGAAGGACAAGAAATACTCACGGGTAAAGCGTCCTCGAAACCTTATACCCAAGCCCCTTCAACGCATCCATACTCAGCGCCCCCAACTCAGGCCTCACAAGCGGATCCGCGTCCCCGTGGCCCAACCACACGGGCGTCTCCTGGTTCGCCTTCTCCGCGGGCACAAGCCCAGCAAACTTGTTGCTCAGCAGCAGCCAGCACGACAAGCCCACGATACCGCCGATCCGGTGCTTGCCCGTCAACCCGGAGAAAATGGCCATGGCGCCGCCCTGGCTGAAGCCGCCGAGGACGACGCGCTCGGCAGGGATGCCTGCGTCCACCTCGGCCTGGACGAGCTGCTGGAAGTACTCTGACGAGGCGAGGATCCCCCGCTCGTCTTCGGATTCGCGGAGGGCCTCGACTGTGCCGTCGAGGACTTTCTGTGGGGTGGGGGTGGTGGTTAGCTTTGGTGATGATGGGGATAACGAAGATGATGATGATGATGCTTGTGCCTGTTGTTGGCGGTGGCGGTCGAAGATTGTAGCGCGACTTACAATGTCGAACCAACCCGTCATGCGCATGCCCCAGTTCTGTACAATAATGTTAGTAATCAATAATCAACAAAACCTCCAGTCAGGAATTCTTAGGGAAGAATATGAGTCCTGAAGCTTCGGCAGTAAGCAAACTTACACAGGTAATGGGGATCTGAGGTGCATGAGGCAGCACGAACTTGACCTCATCAAGCCTCTGCCTCCGCCGCCAGTTCTCGACGGCGCTCGCCCACCCGTGGCCCGTGTCGCCGAGGCCGTGGGCGAAGATGACGGTGGCCGTGTGCTTTCCCGCAGCCGGGAACACGAGCGGGGCCGTCCGGGCGACGGAGGACGACATGGCTTCGTAGGTGGTGGGGGATGAGATGTCGATGCCTGCGAGAGGGGGGTGGTGTTGCTGATGCTGAGGTGGCAAGGGGTGGAGCTGGTCTGCCTCAGAAAGCGGATCCTGTTGCTGTAGGTCCTCGAGGTGTTGTTGTTGTTGTTGTTGTCGGTCCTGTTGGGGCGTCGCGGCGGTGAAGGGCGCGAGGAGGGTGAGGAGGATGGTTGTTGCGGTTACTCGCGAGACGAGCATTTGCGGATTGTGTCAAGCAAGGGGAGAACAGACCGTGAGAGACGACAGGGCGAAAGCTCGGGCGGCGGGCCGAATGAGATGTGGGTTTTTCTTACCCTTTCTCCGATGGCGTACAGAGCATGCGGGGCGCTGATCCGGGCTCGGTACCGTCTTTTAATGCAGCTTGCACTGTCTTACCCGTAGAAACGGACGTCTACTTACGTGCTTACTTACTTACTACCTTACTAGAACAGACGAAGGAGACCGAAAAAAATAAAATTCACCACCGGTATGGCTACATCTCTTGGTGCACTTGCTGGCAATCGAACTCGAACTCGTAGCCTGTCGCCGAGTAGGCTGTGGGCGTAATTGATTGTTGACCTTTAACTACCTACTCCGTCGCCCAGCCCAGTTTGACCTGACCCGTCGACCTAGACGGGCGCCTTCTGGTTGTGGTGATGGGAATGGGATTGAGGGGGTATATAAAGGCTCTTACCGGTGTGTATTCTGTATGTTCCTGGAATTTCCTGCTTATGATGTTGTGGTGTAAAGTCGTATGCACAGTAGCAGCAAACGGCCTTCGCCTCACCGACGAACAGGGGGAGCTCGAAGCTCACCTGGAGCTTAGACTACTCTAGAACTCGAGCTTCACACTGAACTGTCAGGCCATTGGACCCGTATATGGTCTCTACCTTACCTATTATTCAAAGTTCGACTCATAATCCGTGATTCCTGAACCACCGGATAGGCTCAGTTGGTGCTCCCAGGTGCATGTCAGTTCGTGGTCGTCAGAGCTGAGGAACTTGGCTAAGCACTCCGATGCGGGGTGGACAACGTGTAAATAGAACAAGTAGACGTTGCCTTGTATTACTTTTGATCTTAGGCATATTCCTTAGAGAATACGCTTTGAGTAGAATAGTAAGGTGGATGTAATGATCGAGCGTTGACCAGCACCCTATTTTGTCACCCACCTACGGCCCTCCCACCCCGCCCGCCCGCTAAGACAACAGTGGACCCGGCCGCGCGCGACGAAAACAACCACCCGCCATCCGGCCCTTCCGACTCCCCGTGCCGCATCCCTCATCCGGGCCGTCGGGTAGCGCCCACACAACCTCCGGCGATCTTATATGCTTCAAAACTCCTGCCATACACCAAAATATTCCTCAACCTCACATCACGGGCGTACCAATAATCCCAGACAACCGTGCCACAAGATGCCTCGTCTAAACCCCCTCTTCCTCTTCTCCCTCACAGTTGCCCTAACAGCCTACATGCTCTCACCAACCCTTCGCGCCTTCCTCACGTCAGTGACGACAACTCTCACAAACTCACCCTCCTCTCAATCTCCAGACTCATCAAAAATGAAGAAGCCTCGAATGCCAGTCTACTTCTTCTCTCACGGCGGCGTAAGCAACCCCTTTCCTCCCCCTTCCTTCCTCCCATCCCCTCACCCCACCTCACCTTTCAACCCTCACCCCCGAACTAACATCACAAAGCCAGACGTGATGTACAACAAAGCCCACCCAGTCTACCCAACCCTCCAGCACATAGGGCGCGAAATAACATCCCTCAAATCCACCGCAATCCTAGTCTTCTCAGCCCACTGGCAATCCCCCTCCCCCTCCACAATCTCAATCAACGCCGCACCCGGCCCCGCGCCCCTAATCTACGACTTCTCAGGCTTCCCCTTACACTACTACTCCGCAACCTACCCAAACACCGGCTCGCCCTGCCTAGCATCCCGCGTCTGCTCCCTCCTCTCCGCCTCATACGACAGCAACATCACCTGCGTACCAACAACAGACCGCGGCCTAGACCACGGCGTATGGGCAGGCTTCCACGTAGCCTTCAACCCCTCCACAAACCCCCTAAATATCCCACTAGTCCAGGCCTCTCTCTTCCGCTCAGAGGATCCAGACGCCCACTACCGCCTCGGCGCCGCTCTCTCCGCCCTTCGCGACGAAGGCGTAGTCATCATCGGCGCGGGAATGTCCGTCCATAACCTCTACCACATGAGCAGCGACCCGCGGTCCATGCCATACGCCGTCAGCTTCGACGACGCGCTCAAGGAGGCCGTCGAGGTCGCCAACGTCGGCGAGAGGCAGGATAAGATGGCCCAAGTTTGCAGACGACCTGATGCCAAGCAGGCTCATCCGTACATGGATCACCTCATGCCCATTCACGTAGCTGCCGGTGCTGCGGGAGAAGACCGCGGTAAGCAGCTGTGGACCATGAAGGAAGGCAGTTTCGCGTGGGCTCAGTACCGTTTCGGGGACGTCCCGAAACCTGTGATATGATCACGTCAAAAAGCGCCCTTGTAAAAAAACCATGTGTTAACATTGAACTTTGTAACAACGCATTTATAATACCCAGACGATTCCCAGACGTCTCCACATCATCTCATTTTGAATGGTTCGGGCGTACAAAACTAAGTATGCGTGCGTCATCTATTAGGGAGCCGAGGCCTTTCGAAGAATCAAGTCTACCTCATTTGGTATCATCCGACTTGTCCATGAGTCATTATTAACCATAATAATTTTCTCTTCTCAGCCTTGCATGAAGAGTTCTGCTGAATCAGACGCGCGTTATGAAAAATTCAGTGCCTTTTTCACAAGAATGCCCCGTGAACTGATGGCCGCCGCCTGCTGCTTAGGAAGTTCTCCACCATGTGATGGCTGCCAGCTGCTTCGGCCTTCCAGTCGTCAAGGCTTGTGTTATCGGACCTCTCGTCATCGCGTGAGTCGCTGTCCAGTAATCGACGAACTGATCCTCGCCTCTCCCTGGGAGACCCGCGATTAAATTGTTGGCTGGCTAACATGGGGCCGAACTGTTTCTCGACGGCCATTGTAAGCCCTGGACTGGAAGCAGACGATTGGAGCCCTTTCTGTAGCCCAGTTCGTCTGACTAATTTGACTGGAGATCGTGTCTTGGGTGGGAGAGGGGCCACCAGATTTTGGGCCTTTGGTATGACGTCCAAGCTGCGCACCTTGGAAGCCTTCTTGTCCACCGACATGACAGGTAAGTTGCTGTGAGAAAGACGCGGTTGCATGAGCGGCATCGAAGGAGTCGTTCTCAAAGAGCTTCTGGGTGGAATTGGTGGAGGATTGTAAATACCACGAAGACGTCTAGTCACGCGTCCGTCCGTCTTAGGGATCGTGTTCTCGTCTCTAAAAGGCGTTGAGAACTTTGAATCGTCTATGCCAAGCTCTATGCGACTGGTGGACGATACTTGACGCGGATTGTGGCTCGTTACTCTAAGTGGCGTTTGGAATTTCGTCTTTCCTGTGCCCGTCGCCGCGTATAATGCCGGAGACTCAGAGTCTTCAATTTCGGCGCGCTCACGCACATGACCCAAGCTTCTGGGAATACTTGGCTTGGCGTAACGAACTTCCGTCAAGTGTTGGGTTTCGGTATTGGCTAACTTGGCGTCGGTATTCGCCGCATTTGCAGAGAGCCAAGTCTTCCACTCCACAGAACTTGCGTTTGAGACTGTTCGACCCTGCGGCGTCGTCGGTGTATAAGTATGTGGGCCGCCTGATAAGTATCGTTTTTGATGTACATCCGTTAGAGGAGTAGTGTCAGAGCTGTTTTTCTTCGCAACAGCCTGGGAGTTGTCGGACGTAGAGGGTGTCTGCTGATGATCGGGATCAGCTGCTTTATGGTTGGGGTGTCGAGGTGGCACTGTTGGTTCTGTTTGTTCTCCCAAACCCTTTGGTATTGTCCGTGGAGAGAGGATGTCGTCAGAATAAATACTTTCAGAGTACGCAAGTCGGGGGTCTTCCTTAGATAGACTCGGGCGACGCCTTGTGGGGATAATGTCCAGGTTCAGCATCGAAACCGATGGGGAAAGTAACTGAGCTGCAGCTGGAGCTTCCGACTCTGATTTGACCTTTTCTTGTAGGACCTTGCGGTACGGACTCGTTGTGCGGAAGAGATGGCAAGTCGGGCTGCCAAAGAATGCAGAACTGCGAGTGGACAAGGCTCTTGGGGGATTCGCGGCGTTGTCGCCGTGCAACTTGTACGGCTTCGAGGGCAAGTGGCCCTGTCTATCCTCGGCCGTAGGTCTTTGACAAGGCTTGTAAGATCCGATGGTGGTCTCAGAAGCCGAGCGCTGGCGATGGTGCATTGCACCGTCAGATGAAGACGTTGCTTCGTCACGACCCGACTGAGGGGCCTCGGTTTCGACTACTGTTTGCAATGTTTGTTCCCACGGACTGTCACGGAAAACGTCGTCCTCTTGCAAGACACATCTTATGGTTGGAGGGTCTTGATTGCGAGCTTCCTCAAGTTCCTGGCCGCCGATGGAGTTTGACAAATCAATTGTGCCGTATGCCTTGAGGCCGGTACTCCCAACGCTGCTATGCCGTAGCTGCTCTTCTCGTTGACCATTTTGCTTACATTCTTTCAATCGCTTCATGAGGGCGGAGTAGACTCTTGCGCTATCGACGGGTGGACCGGGGCGGGCCGGTCCATCCTGTGGCGTAGATTGTGTTACGGTCTCAAATGGGTTGCGATCCGCCAGACTCGGTCGCTGGAAAGAAGATGAGGACTTGTGTGGTCCAATCTCTTTGATGATAGACAGCCGCTGCCGTTCCCGCTCCCCACCCCAAGTACTTTGACTGTTGAGAGTATGGGTGCCTGAGCTTGTCCAACTGGTAACGCGAGACTTCTCATCCGATGCCTTTCGTTCACTCCCAATGCTCTCTATACTTCCTTGACGCGAGCGGAGCTTTTGCGTTGAGGTGGCATCGTGAAGAGACGGAACTCGCGAAGGTACTTGCGAAATTGAACACTCGTCCAGCAACACGGGATCCGTAATGTCCATGTAAGCATCATCCTGTTCGTTGTCGTCGCCAATAAGACCGTGGACCGCATTCGAAGCCTCTAGCTGAGGTTTGCTAGCTGTCACAACCAAATCATCCTTCTTGTTTCGTCGGAACATTTCTTTCAGCTTGGTTTTGAAACTGCTTGAAACTTTTCGAGCCTTCTTTCGAAGAGAAGCGTCCTTGTTGACAGCCAAGCTATCTTCCGCACCAAGAGATCGAACATCGGCGCTGAAGTCTCTCATGGATCGGCGTAAACTCAAAGACGCCTGGCCCTTCTTCGCTTTCGAGAAAATCGTCGACGGTCGCGGTTTCAAATGCCGTTGCTCTTCAATGTCTTTGCGGAAACTGTCCTCAGCTTCTTGGACTGCCAAATCGATCTGCTGGCGGCTGCCAATTCTGTCAGATTCCAGAACACTCCGAATCTTGAGAAAGCTCATTGACTTCGGGTTCCTTAGCCCAAGCGTCTTCTTTGGCGGTGGTTTGCTGTCCTTCATATCTTGCATTGACTGTCGTCGCAACGCAGGCTGCACATTCTCCTGCTCCGGAGATTCGCTGAGATATATCTTACTTGGTCGGCGCAGACCTGTCGGATTTAGGGGGGACAACATCGAGCGCGACTTGCGAAGTCTTCTGTAAGATGCCGGGGCAGGTGCACACTCATCTGGAGACACGAATGATTCGCTCGGGGGTAAGGAATTGATGTAGTTGGTCGTATAAGTGCTCACAAATGGTCGCTCGATAGGGCGAGAAATTCGACTAGCAGGCTGGTTAACAACATCTGTGAGGACGCCCCGGTGCCGAATAGTCCCCAAATCAGAAGAGTCATCGTTGCTTTGGCTTTGCTGGCGCTTAGTTCGGGACTCTTGTTTCACGAATCGAACACTCTGCTGTCGTCGTAGACCCCCGTCGTTGTGGCCGAGCTGTTTGAATTCGCTTTGAGGCGGACTTGAGGGATTCTCTGGCCACGTCTCCATGTTGACAGACCGTTGGCATTGTCTCGAAGTTTCAAGTCCCATGCCCATGTCGATATTGGGGTTCGCACGGGAGAAAGATAACGTGGCAGCGATATGTGCGTCCCTTTTGGCAGTGTCTGGATCAATGTGCTCTAATCGTTGAATAGCCGAGCAAACGGAAGCCGTAGACTTGCTTCGAGTCAGAGTCGACCTCGACTTGGCACTGTTATGTCGCCGCATAGGGTGGACTTGAGTGTATTAGGAGGATGGTCTAGGCGGAAGAGAGACGCCAAATCTCGCAGCGGCTTAGGGATAAGGGGAGTAGAGAGATTCAAGTGAAGCTGCTATTTGTCGGTCGAAGTTTGAAACTCGGCCTGGGGCTAACCAAAAGCAAGCTGGGAGACTATGGAGAAGTATCGTCGAGAGTGTCAAATGATGAGCCATGAAAGTCTGAATGGAGGATGTGGAAGAGGGATGTCGTCCCTTGAGCAGGGCCATGAACAACAGCCAGCATTCACACCGACGACGAGCTCCATGACTGCTCCTTCTCCGGTGCTGAGTGAACTTTGCAAAGAGAAGAGATGGGAAGGCACGTCATGTTCAGGCGAAGGAAGGAGAGGAGCTGACTGATCCCTTCCCTTGGCCTTGGGAAGGCAGGTATGAGGTGGCACCTGGGCAAGAGCCTACCGTTGTGTCATTCCTCCCGTGGAAAGACCGGATAACATTCCAATCCTCCCTCCTGCCCTCCTTTCCCCCCTCGCACAGCGAGCGCAAGGTGCAGAAAAGTCGGGCAAGCCAAGACTGGCTGGGGATTCAGTACTGGGTTGCTGAAATGCAATGTCTCAACGCCAGATTGACTCAGATGACGGAAACTAGCCATGGTTCCAATCGCCTATGCATTCATTCTATGTACCTATGTGCGCTTAACTCAGTCCTATTTTAGCTTGACAAACTCAACTTCAACCGCATGACGGGCTTACTCATAAACATTGTTAAACTTTAGGCCAACTCAGACGTGTCCAACCTTGTGAGAACACGGCCGGTGAGACGATAGCAACAGTCCTTTGGCAAACATCAACAGTCGAAATCACCTGAACTGGAAGCGGTTGCATTTAAGAAAACTTATTGGTTGTGCTATGAGATCTGTATGTAGCTATGAAAGCGATGCATCCATCCTGTCCCATCCCGCAGTAACCCTATGCGTACACTCTCATGGACCCAAAGAAAAAGGAAATAAAAGACCAGTCTAGTGCTCTATTACAACGCTTACAAAGAGGTCTCCCTGAGGAACTCCTTAAGCTCCTCATCGACCAAGTTGTGGATCTTCTTGGCAAACTTCTCAGCCTTGGTGCCGACGGTCTTGGCGCCCTTGACAACCTTGCCAGAGAGAACCTCGAAATCCTCCTCAATGGCCTTCTCGAGGTCATCGATGGTGGTCTCCTTGGACTCCTGCTTGACAGTGTAGCCGCCAGCCTTGACGATGGCAGTGTAGTTGTTGCAGCCACCGCCGTTCCAGGCGAGGACGTTGGGGGTGTCGCGGGGAATGTCGCTCAGGGCACCAACGGTACCGACGGCAATAAGAGCATCCTTGAGCTTCTTGGGGGTGATGGGAGCAACAGAGTACTCGGAGTCAGAAGCGGGCTGGAGGGAAAGGTAGTAGGCCAGGAGACCGCAGATGTGGGGGGAGGCCATGGAAGTACCGGAAATGGTGTTAACGGCGTACTTGCTGCCAATCCAGGTGGACTTGATGTTGGTGCCGGGGGCAAAGATGTCAGTGCACTTTCCGTAGTTGGAGAAGTAAGAGCGGCGGTCACCGAGCTCAGTGGCACCGACGGTGACGGCCTTCTCAGCAGCAGCGGGAGAGTAGTTGCAGGCATCGGCGTTGTCGTTGCCGGCGGCGACGGCGAAGTGAATACCAGCATCGACGGCGGCGTTCACTACAGCATCGAGAGCCTGGGTCTTGCCACCACCAAGGGACATGTTGGCGACGGAGCCCTTGAAGCCCTTGCGCTTGCCATCCTTGGTAGCCTGAACCTGCTCAGTGTGGGAGGTGGCAGCCCACTCAACACCCTTGACGACGTCGGACATGGTGCCGGAGCCGTTGGAGCGGAGGACCTTGACGGCGTAAACATTGGCCTTCTTGGCGACGCCGTACTTTTTGCCGGCGATGGTGCCGGAGCAGTGAGTGCCGTGACCGTTGCCATCAGCGTCCTGGTCACCAGAGGGAATGGTCTTTCCCCACTTGGCGCGACCCTCGAAGTCGACGTGGTCGACGTTGGTACCGGTGTCAATCACGTAGGCATCAACACCTTCGCCAGCATCCTCGGCGTAGAGGTACTTGTCATATGTGCCGAAGCCAAGAGACTTGCGGTGGGAGACACGAGCCAGACCCCAGGGGGCCAGCTTCTCGAGCTCGCCGTCACATTTGTCCTCAACCTGGGACTTGACGGGAACCTGAGTGTGGACAACGGAGTCGACCTCGATGAACTCGACCTGTGAATAAGCATGTTAGCACTTGTGTCGAAGATGCTGTTGAGTAGCCGAATGCGGCCGAGCCGAGCTAGAGAGCCCGAGCCCGTCAAGGTCCGACAGCCAAGACCGGCTCTGCCGTGAATTGCAGTGATTGTGGGTCCACGGGTTTGGGGTGCGTCTTGGATCTCGGGAGGAGGGTTATCAGGGTCGGACTTACGTCAGGGTGCCTCCGGACCTTCTCGATGGTGGCATCGTCGAAGTGACCGGCGTAGCCCAAGAAGTCCTTGCCAATCTTGTATGTGTGCTTCAAGCCGTGGAAGACATCATCAACCATGGGCTCTTGGCCGCGCTTGCGCAGCTCGAGACGTTCATCCTGAGCGGAGGAGTGAATATTCTGGACCCAGTTGTGGTGGTCCGAGGCGCCGGAATCCGAGACGTGCTTCTTGAACTTGACGATGTACGAATTCGGGACAGCCTCGGCGTTGGTGGAAGAAAGAAGGGGCGCAGCGCCGTCGTGGACAATCTCAATGGAGAGAGAGGGGGAAGCGCTGGCAACAACGGCCAAGCCGGCCACAGCACCGATGAAGCCTCTCATGATGGGCGGTGTTGTGGTGGTGAGTAGAGTCTACCGGAGACGCTGGTTGTGATGACAGAGAAAGAAACTGGAGCTGCGAAGGACGCCAAGGACAGACGAATACTCGATGGAATTGGGAGGATGGATGGTCGATGGAGGAGGGGGAGGGATGGGAGAGAGATGGAGCAGAGAGATAAACGATGGAGCTGTCGGAGAGCGGGAGCGGGTAGATATAAAGAGAAGGCAGCGACAGCGGTTGCGTGCGCACAGCTGTAGGTGAGGTATCGGCCTTAGGATGGTTGCGCCGCCCCAGTGTTGCCAGTGTGTGACGCAGCCAACCAAGATAAGAGCTGGAGGGTGGCTGACGGAGCCGAAACCGGCTTAGCGCAATGGCGAGAGAACCAATGGAATGACTCGATAGGGTTTCCTCGGCAATACGATAAGGGAGGTACTGGGACAGTCTAGGAGGATCACGTTTGGGGTTTCCCTGGGACCAGTCCCCGCCTACAGGCAACAGGTACGTACCCAGTACCTTACCACTTTAACCCGAGCAGCTTGTCACTTGTTCGATACGGAAGGCTGCTTCAAAAGAGGACCTGACGGCAAGACGGGGGATGGGATTGTGCAGATGGGCGATAGCAAGTGACTTGTGGAGGTACCTCTTCTTCTCCTCTTTCTTTCCGGCGGCACGCTGCATCCGCCAGGAACACAACCAATCCGGTCTCCGTCTGTTGGGGAAGCTTCACCCAAGCTTCCCGCCGTCCACAATGTGCCTGCCATGCTATGCCATGCCATGCTGTTTTTCTATCGGCTTCCAACGTTCTCGCTCGTCTGAATCTCTAGACAGCCTTTCTCCCATGTCTCAGCAACATCGTCGGATTCTCGTGGTTGCAACCGACAAGGAAACACGGATGACCGATCATTGCACCTTGAGAGGCAGAGTCAGAGCTCTGAGGGGGCGACGTCATACCCTCGAGGCTATCTGCCCGAGTCCTAACAGCCAAGGCCGATACGGAGGCAATCAGTCACAGCAGAGCATGGGCGGGCAATGTACTCCGTGCTTCGCCCTACCTTATCCAACAGCCTCGGAGTCTCACTCTTCCTCACGACGACCCATGGCTCATGAATGATAACCCATGGCCACGAGGGTGCTTTTTTCATTTCCAAGGAACCTTCGTACGGATACGGCTGACAGCTTTCAATCGACCATCCCAAGCATCCCCAAAGCAACGGACGATCAAGCCAGCACAGCGCCAATGCCATGCCAGACGTGCCAGGCACCAAAGGAGCAGCACAGCGGCACAGCCTACCAACCAGTCGCAGCTTGGGGCGCCAGCTCCCTGGTCATGAGCAAGTCGAGAAGATGTACCGCGCTATCGGCATTCCTCAGACATTCTTCACCCACTTCTACTAGTCCACAATCAAGCTCCCCCTCCCATCCCACCAGAGCACACCCACATCGAAGCTTTCGCCGTTTTGTTGAGCTCTATGGTCGGCCATTCAGAGAAAAAGAAACCACACTCGTACATGTTGTGTGATGGCAGTCTATGCATTGTCGTGTTTGTCCGGATCTGTGACTGCCTGCCTGGCCTCGGGATGCAGGACGGCGTCTCGGTTCCTCCTAGCCTGCTGAGCTGCCGGCTGCCATATTGAGTAAGGAACCTGCTCAACGATGATGCGATTAACTGTAATAAGGTGTCCGGCGCAGCTGGGTCTTTGTGTGGATAAGACCTACCCGGGGTTAAATCCAAGGCGAAGAGGGTACCAGGTTCCGGAGCCACTACCCAAGCGGTTACTTTGTTGGTCTCATCAATGCCCCCAGCACCCAAAGACTCAAGGTGATGCTGGCCGGGCGGTTGTCGCTCAGGTGGTCCTCGATGCTTGAGCTATCCCGCAAGGTACCTCTGCTGCCCTGCCACCCACTGCTCAAGGGCAAGCTCCTAGGCGGAAGGGGTTCAAGAGCGGCGAGCTGTCTGACTGGAACATGAAGGCGGGGAGACGAGGCCCAGCACCAACGCTACGCTGGTCCGAGCTAGGCCATACGCCTGACCCACGGGTCAGATGAGAGCGTCCCCGTGTGGTGCCTGGCACGTGCCTCTATCCATTCCCCTGTCTTCCCGTCATCGGGAGGCAGTCTGGCGTTGGTGGAGGACCTGCTGGAGACGGCAAGTCAGACGTGCCAGACATGCCAGCCGCAGTTTGGTACGAAGAGCCAACCTGCCAACTGCCAGCCCCGAGCTCTAGCTCACATTCAAAGGACTCATTCGGGTTCTCTCAGTATGGGAGGCGACAATGGCGGCGGCGGCTTGCGTTACTCGCGCAGGTCAGCAGAGCGGAAACATTCGTCCGAATATGACAATTGCCTTTTGTTTTAGTTCACCAACCGCCCATCGGCTCAGGAACGTCTCTGTGGGTGTTGCGTATAAAGGAAACGCCATGAGCTTGCGAGTCGCCTGTCAATGCGAAGACTACCTCTCAACACACCATCTTGATCCATCCGCAAAGGCAATTGGACCATTCACGCCAGTTCGATATGGATGTCTGCGGTACGCGTGCCGTTGTCCATGGACGCAATAACGAAGCTTGACACCATCTCGGCGAACATGTCGGTGAGCATCGTCGCGTTATGAGAATATCTCGGGACTGTTCTCAGTCTTTCACAATCAAGCTTGCCCATGTCTCGGTGTCAAGGAGTTGGGGACGAGGCAGACTGAAACTACCCATGCCGCCGAAGCTTCCTCCCAGATGCAGCAGTGCTCCTCCGAAAAGATGGCCAGCGCCTGAGCCGATGATCGCCCAAGCAAACCCCGGTCAACGGAGTCATGACACATGGGCAGTTGACCGACTCTCTGTATGTTGTTTACCTGCATTGTCATAGTCATCTAGCGTTGAAGGCTGGTAACTGACTCAAAGAGCTAGAAAGACTGATAGGCTGTCGTCGACTGATTCGTGTTTCCATGTCTTTGAGGTCTTTCTAGCTTTTGCTGGTGGGTTTCATGCATCAGTGAGGGTGTTCTCTTCAACCCTCCAGCTACCTTTTGCGATTATGCAGTTGCGAGTACACGTACTCCGTACGGATGTGTACACCAAGCGAGCTAGGCAGGTATTCTTCGCCATCCCAGGCAAGCAAGACAACTCGCGTCAGCTTTGGGCTTGGGGCCCGAGCTGCCGACCGAAGGGCACGACATCCATCTATGTACTATCGATTCGGTACTTGGCTATACGGATACCTTGGTGTCTATATCTGAGAGTGTGCTCGAATGGGATGAAGCAACAATGTTTCATGGGGTCCACTCTGGCTATCCCAGACTCCCAGTCCACTGTTAGTATTAGCACCGGAAGCTATCCGTATCTCTGTCTGCACATCTCAGTTTGGCCGCGATAAGCCAGGGTTTATCTGCACTAAGACGCACCTTGTTTCTGAAGCTCAGCTATAGCTTGTCGGCATCAGGCTCGCATTTTGGAACATGTCACTGCAGATATCCGCAATGGCAGAGTTAAGTTCTCTGGCAGTCAGGTAGTAAAGAATGTGAGGATCTTATCAAGGCTTCATCAAGGTAAATAAGATCATCATGCCGCCTTGCATGTGAAGCTGATGACCATGAAAGTGAAATGTAGCACTCACTGTGCGCTTCATTAGTAGGATCTCACGCAGTGTGAGCTGTTTCCATGAATAGCATGGGGGCAAGGCGTGTCACCATCGTCTCTGCGCAATGCAACGGGGACCCCCAAGCTGACGGAAACATGGACGTGGTGGTCTGCTTCAGTGGAGTACCTAGCTCACTGGGGAGTCCTCTTTTAGCGGTGTCGGCCCTGTCGGGTCCGTCCACGATGACTGAGCTGCTGTAGCACCGCCACCATTCCTACCCCACTCCTTCCCAACGCGGCCGGCACGTCAGACGTTCCTTCCTGCTTGTGCGTGACAAGGCGGCCACTGAGAGCGGTGCAAGCCACACTTCACTGCTCAAGGCTGACACTCAAAAGCATCAGCTCCGTCTCCGTCTTTGCGATAACGCGTAGCTGCAACACGGGGAAATCGAAGCAAACTCGAGGTGAATAACCTTTTTTTGCTATCGAGATATACAAGAATTGCGGCTTCTTCTTTACCCTGAGATTTTACGATTCCACCACCTCAAACCTCCACCCCTACATCCACTACACTTACTCCTCGAATCCCCCACCGACTAGTACCCTCAGCTACGAGCTGCCGTTCCATTCCACGCCGCATCCTACTTTCGATGCCGACTAGCTTGGACCGTTGCCTGGACCCTCGATGGGTGCTGGGATTGAACGTTTTGGAATGAGGGAAACTGCAGTAGCAAAAATCAAACATGTCGACCTTACAAGTGTCGAGGCGTTATCGCTCGTCGACTTCGGCGTCTTCTAGATCGTCCAGCGCCGCCAACTCGAAGGCTCTCGAAATCCTGCGCGGCCTCCTCGATACCCTCACTTCCAACACACAACGGCGGACCAACGATGGATACCCCGAGTTTCCCGTGCTCATCAAGAGCCTACGCCAGATACGACAACACATTGCCGCGACCGAACCCCCGAGCCCGCCTCAAGACGATTTTAGGCACCTACACGGGTTTAACAGGCTCCTCGACGTGCTGAGATCCTATTCGGGCTTTTACAACCCCCAACGCCGGACCAAAGAAGAGAAAGAAGGTCTATTCGGATTACTCGAAGCTGTCTTGGACGTCTGTGCCGCTGCCTTTTTGGACCATCCAGGAAACAAGCGCTACTTTCGCCACAGGGTAGAAGGTGGCGGATGGGAGGCTCTCGAGCAGACAATTGCCAGCGTTGGCCTTGGCGGAAGCGACTCCGACCTGTGGACCAACTGTCAGATGTTTGGGAAACTGCTGGCATTCTCGCTCGGTGACAAGACTATGGATGCCATTTGTCAGTCGGTTGCGACAAGTTCAGAGTCGAAGGACGAAGATGCCAAGACAACGGATCCAGAAGAGCCTCCCGAGGACGATGCCCAGCAACAAAAAACGGCGTCAGTTCCAGAACGAGAAGACATAGTCCAGGAAGTGCGCGGAAGCATGCAGAAACGGGCCGTCTTTAGAAACCCTGAGATTTTGCGTGCTGTCGTGGGCTTCTGGGAATCTATCCCACGAGCGCAGGACATGCCGGCCAATTCCTGCTCGATGGCCGTCCTGGAGATCATGTCAAGCGCGGTTTCCGTCTCGATGTTCAACCTCGCAGCTCTTCACGCAACGGGAGTATTATCACGATTCCTCCGCGTGCTGTTCAGCCCTGTCGCCAAACTCGACCAGGCAGAGAAGGACAAGCTCCTCATCATGTGCAAGAAGCTGATGTACTTGGGATTCAACCAGCCCGCGGACACCCAATTCTTACTATCGAGCACATTGCCGGAAGCATCAGAGTTCTGCTTGGAGATGACTTCGACGTATAGTGGTCCGCCATTCTTCCAGTTCGACCTTTCTCTCCATGGCCACTCGTCCATCGAACTACCCACCCTCGGCCGGTCTTTCCCTCCCAGCTCATCTCCAGGCTACACCTTTACGGCATGGATTCGCGTGGATCGTTTTGACCCCAACTCTCATACAACCCTCTTTGGCGTCTTTGATGCTAGTCAGACATGCTTTCTCCTCATGTATCTTGAGCGAGATACCCGCAACTTCATTTTACAGACCTCCGTCACTTCCAGCCGGCCAAGTGTAAGGTTCAAAGGGATGTCATTCAAGGACAAGCAATGGTACCACATTGCCCTTGTTCACAGACGACCCAAAACAATGACTGCTAGCAAGGCCTCGCTGTACGTCAATGGCGAGTTTGTGGAGCAGATCAAGTGTGCATACCCCTCGCCGCCACCTCTCGCCAACGCTAGTACCGAAAGCTTCGCATCATTTGCGTCGACGAACGCAAAGCAACACCCTGTCCAAGCATTCCTAGGAACTCCAAGGGATCTTTCCAGCCAACTTGGTTCCGGACTGGTCTTTTCAAAATGGTCGTTGGCTTCGGCACATCTTTTTGAAGACGCTTTGAGCGATGACTTCCTCGCCGTTCACTACGGCCTCTCCCCAAAATACCAGGGCAACTTCCAAGATAGTCTAGGCGGATTCCAGACTTACGAGGCCTCGGCGAGTCTAGGACTACGAAACGAGGTTTTCCATCCAGGAAGGGATGAGAGTTCTGATATTATAAGAGCCATCAGAGACAAGGCTGGTAGCCTCCTCCCAGAAAACAAGATTCTTCTCAGCATACTCCCGACAGGTGTCTTTAGAGAGGATGGCGTTTATCAAGATACTCAGCTTTACCGCGCACTGCCTCGGCCTGCGGCAACGAATCTCATCCAAATGACCCATAGAAGCGGTTCAGCCATTGCGATTAACGCTGCTCTGCCATGTCTTCTGGATGCACTGGCGCGATCCCAAGGAGTTGCTGTCCTATCTGGCAACCCAGTGGTGGTGATGCCCTCCTACTTTGACGACAACTTCTGGCGCCTCGCGGGCTTCACACCTTTGGCTCTGAAGATTGTTGAAAGGGCAACTTCAGTGGAAGAAACAGTTCGAGCAGTCGAGATGACGTTCCTGTGCATCAGAAAGAGCTGGAGAAACAGCGAGGCCATGGAGCGTGATAATGGCTATGCTATCCTCGGCATGCTTCTCAGAGCCAAACTGGGCTATACCGTCAACTTGGGTGCTGACAGCGCCAATCTACGCCTGCCGATTTCAAGTGAAGAACGGGACAGGTTGAGCTTCCAGCTTTTGAGCCTTGTCCTCGAATTCGTGGGCTATAACCATGCAGAGCCTTTGGAGTCCTTCATTGTGAACCCTCTGGCGTACCGCATTCTACTTATCGATTTCGACACTTGGAGACGATCTGCTTCCATCACCCAAGAGCTATACTACAAGCAATTCGTGACATTCTCAGTGAAGAGCAAGTATCATCAATTTAATAGCAGAAGATTAATGCGCATGAGTGGGTCGACCCTCAGATCAAAGCCATCGGCACTGCTGACAAGCGACTTGAAAGGAATCGTCAAACGGCTGCTCGATGCGATGAAAGCAGAATCGATATCCGAGGAGGTGCAGCCACACTTCATGGCAGCTTTGGAGCAACTGGTAAAATGTAACTACACAGCAGAGGTGCACAGGTCACTCGCTTTGTTCATCACATATGCCTTCCACTCGCCCACAGCCTCTTTGGTAAGGTCACCGAGACCGGTATCTGCAACTGCCCGAACCCCTACCTCCGGATATGCCAGACGGGCAACCTTCGACTCCAACAGCTCATCGAATACGTCCCCCTCCCGGTTTCTGACAAAGAAGCAACTCGGTGCTAAGATTCTTGGAATGTACTCAAACCTGCTCTGCGAAAAGGGCAACCTGGCCAACATCCGCAAGTTTGCAAGGACAGTGACGAACAAGGTGAGACCACCATTTGGAGAGAAAGAAAAACAGTTATATTTATTGAGTATGGACCAGTGGCTGCTATATCTCTTGGCCAACGACGACCCCGAAACAGTAGTATATGGCAGCAAGATCCTGGCCAGACTCCTCATCACGCACGGCTCCACGTACACGGCCAAGTTTTCCGGTAAGACTGGTGGCTTCACCATCATGGCACATCGACTCAAACGCTGGTGGTACATTCCCTCCCTGTGGCCAATATGTTTCAGCATCCTATTCGGACTTGATGTGGCCAATGTCGACTTGGATCGCAACTTTGAGTTTTCAAGCTTGCTTGACACGTTCGGAAGGGCTCGCGTTCTCTATCCTGAATGTCTTCAAGTCTTGACCTCAATGTTGCAGCATGGCTTGAAGGATGTTATGAAGCATCAGGATGACCCAAATTCGCCTCAAAAGTCACATCACCTTCAGGCAAGCGGGTTTGAAGGCTTAGAACCCCGGCCACGGGCCAAGTCTATGGAGACTAGGGGCCTGGATGCAAGAAGTGAGTCGTTGCCTTAATACGGGATTCAAGAGACTGACATCTGCCATAGTAGCGGAGAACGGACCGCGTGACAGCGAGCGCATAGCAGATCACGCACCCATGCTGCTGACGGTTATCCGATTCCTGGCAGACTTGCACTCCCGCTCCTCAGACTTCAAGGACTTTGCCTTGACGTCCGAGTACGTGAGGTATCTCTTGTGGGCATGTTATCCGATCATCGTTAGCACCGATGCTGTCACGCCAGATACTGAGCTCAACTCTCGAGACTCGGCCCTGACATTCGAGGGCGGGGATGTGATGATTCGCCCCCTTGCCGGTTCTCAGCCTGGCCCCATCGTGCGGACGACGAGCACAGATGCGGTTGCTGCGTTAGCAGGGAACCCCCGTGGAACCCCTCTACGGAAAGCATCTGGTTTCGTTCTGCTCACCAACCAAACATCTCCTCAGGCCCCGAGCCCGGTCCGATTTGCACCTGTCATGTCACCGAAGAAGAAGGTCGCCTCTCAACAGTCAAGCAGCGCCACACTTGATAGCATGGTAGACCTGGTCATCAATGTCTTTATAGACCAAGTCTTTACGCGCAAGGAGTTTCCTGGCTTCGGTCTCTTCCTCAAGATCCCGCCAGGGTTCAAGGAGCACCAAGCCTACTTCGAGTCCTTTGTTCTCAGGAGGACGCTTCAACAACTGGGAAGC